TACGCGGGGTGGCGATGCTTTTTTTTAAAACGGACCGGTCAATAATAGGCATATTAGAGACCCCGAAATAACTCCGAACGGATAGAAAGGAAACAGTCAATCTTATTCTAATATTATTGTATGTAGCATCTTTAGTTTCAGCTCAAACTACGAAACGGCCTAGCTTATAGTTACACCTGTTCTTTATACCTAACGGCATAACGGGCGGACTCCGAGCCTCGGAAGTTTCATCTTGACCGGAGTACGCGGGTTTTCCGCCAATATATTATTATACATTATTATTTTGTACCGAGGTACGTATTCTGTACAGAGTATGTAACAACTTTGAATAATAAGATTAAAATAGGATTGTTAACCTATTTCTTTGAGATGCCCTTTGAATGCCCATTAAAGCATCCTAAACTTCAGGAATACGAAAGGCGGTGTACTCGAGAGGGCGCTAACAGATGGAAGGCTGCCCAACTGCTTCTGCCGCGTTTCTAGCGCCAAAGCCAAGACCTCGTTGTGTTCCGACTGAAACTTGAGAATCGCCACTCATTTCCAAGGTTGGAACTTATAGTTTCCAGGTCAATTTTCCGGTCAACGGCTCTGTTGACAATACCCATAGAATAGGGGGGTCTTAGAATATACATCGGACTACTATACGTACTAGCAACAACCCCAGCCCCCGGTTATTGATAATTGCTCCTTAAAAGGCTATGCAATGACGAAGTGTTCAATGCGAAGGCAAATCCGCCACCCAGATCTCTTATCTGAGATTACCCCTTGCAGATGACCCCGGATTTTATAGGGAATCTGAGTTTCTTCAGCGCCTCGATCTATCTATCGCTTTACATTTATAGATTTACTTACAGTTACGATTCCCAGCGAAGATGTGTAGAAAGTGGAGAATATCTCTTCACAGTGAACCAGAAAAAAAGGTCGATATTGGCAGGAGAAAGTGTTACTAGCTGCTCCACTTACGGCGGTGGTCGGGAGACATACAACATAATAATAATAATGAATATCATTCCCCTCCGGATGGAGTAGAGCTATTCAGTCAATGTAGCTTATTGCGTAACTCAACACAATCCAGCTATACTACTTGTTCAGAACAGCAGGATATATTTTTCCCGTTGGTCTGTAACCCAAAATTATCATCATCATCGACTCGGCCAGTTATGTAGGGCAGTTATCCCAGGTAAATAGTCCCCGGCCAATTAAACCAAATTAGTCATAAGATACAGTACACTAGCTGTTTCAGGTAATTTGGTACATTACGGATCATGACGTTCGCATCCTGCAAGCGGTGTGTAGAGAACATCCTTGAATATACTACTACAACATATATACGCTTTCAGGTAGTTTGGTTGTTATTTCTAAATGTCTTGACTGTGATAGTCAAAGATCTACGAAGTCACCCATCAAACGACATTAATATTACTCGGCGCCAATATCCGTTTGGAAAACGATCACGTGGGTAATACCGTAACAGCGCTTGTCCCAAACCGGAAGCGTTGCCATCTCATACCCCGTCTTCATGAGCCCTTGCCCCTGCTGTTTCTCGACTTATCACTCTTCGATTGCAATATTACTCTCCCTGATCTGAATCCTTTCCCCCAGTCTTGAGATTATTATTAAAGAAAAAAAGAAAAGGGAGCTGCACTCCTTCAAGTGACTCGACAACTTTCTGCCAAAGCGGGACATCATCCGAGGGTGGACTCCTGCGTGTGAACCCGCCCAAAAACCGCCATCCACTCAAAAGTCCACTCATCGAGGGGCACCGACTGTCTCAAAGTCGCATTCTTATTCTCTTCGGATTTTATCTGTGTGAGCTTCGCGCTTCAACGCGGGACTCAAAGAAACCCTGTCATCCATAAGCCCCTCGGGTTTGGCGTGACATCGCGCAAAGACCGGACAGGGAACTAGGATATCGATTCGTCAAACCTCGACTTGGAATTCTCATCATTTTTACCATCAAAAACTGTTACTAGCAGTTCGTCACGATGACTGGTGCCACGCCTATTGATATTTCCACTCGGCAGACGACCTCAGTGTCGCCGCCGGGTCAACAAGCGTCCAATTTGACCTCGGCGCTGCAAAGAGCGGGCAACGGCGAGCGTACAGGGAGCTTTTCACATCTTCCTGGGGGAGGACTCGGCGTGTTTAAGGCCCCCCCACCTCGTAAGGACTCGATCGGCGCAGCCACAGCACAATGGGGGAACGGGACGAAACCTATCTCGATGTCGGGATCTGCCCGCGACAAAGGTCGCCGTGAGTCGCTCGCAGGGAGCTTGGTGGGTGGTATGAGCTGGGGTGGTGTATCCGTCGGTAGTTGGATACGTGATGAGTGAGTGGCCTGTCTGGACCTAGAAGCCGCAAGGGAACCGCCCACCGTGTGTTGCTATTGTCGCACTGCATCAAGAGCTGACCAAGGAAAATTTCCGCAGTATCATAATGACTGGCACGTCACCATTTACCTTCCAGTCGCCATCTTTCCATTCCTCATCGTATCTCCCGAAGCTGGAAGCGAATTTTATGCGAGACTTTTCGTGCTGCGGTGTGACGTTACCGACGCTCCATGACCTGTTACAACACTACGAAGAAGCCCATGCGACCAAGTCGCCCAATCAAGGCCACCGCCCAAGCCAAGGTGAAAATCGAGCTGCCTTGGCGGCTGCCGCAATCGCACAGCAACAGAACCAACAGCATGGCAGCCAAGGACGTGGTCTGCAGCCCGACCGGACCCTGGACATGCAGCGTAAATTGGGCCAGAATCCATCACCATTGCAGCACGCAGATCTAGACACAATCGACGACATGGAGTTGGACGACGCCCTAGGAGACGGAGACGGCTCAGCCTCGCAGATGTTCTCTTCTCAGCTGCATGAGGGTGGACAGGGCGGGTATGGTAACTCCAACCAGCAGCAGTTAAATCTAGGTATGCTTCCAAGCCACCAAGGATTTAGCACACCCTCGCAACCTGGTACACCGATCGGATCTGGACGACCACTTTCACTGCAGAACAATCCGACTGTCTCTTCCGTCAATACCCCAACTTTGATGGCCAACCCGCTCCAGAATTCGCAATTCCGAAATACGCCCGATTCATCCGGACCAGGGACCCCGGCCGAAATTGACGAAAGCATGATGGGTGGATTCGGTGATCTCAGTATGCAAAATAACACCATGGGCCAAAATCAGAATCAGTTTGGCCGCTTCAATGGGAACAATAATGACATGGTCGACCTTTGCATCGATGAGCCGGCCAAGCGGCTGTTCAGCCCCAGTGGCGGCATGGGTTCGCCCAACGCCCACTTTAAGCTCAGTGGAGCTCAATATGGTCCGAATAGCGATATTGCACGACGGATCCGGGAACAACAATTGCTCGCTGGGGTCCCCGACACCACTGTTATTCTTCCCAACGAAGAACCCAAACCGTTCCGATGCCCCGTTATCGGTTGCGAGAAGGCATACAAGAACCAAAATGGACTCAAATACCACAAAGCTGTAAGTTTTGGTTTGATATCCCCCGCATTCGTCTTATTTTTCTAACCACTCCTTCTTTCATTCCAGCATGGCCATAATAACCAACAACTTCATGACAACGCCGATGGCACGTTCTCAATCGTCAACCCAGAGACATCAGCGCCATACCCCGGCACGCTTGGCATGGAGAAGGAAAAGCCCTACCGCTGCGAGGTGTGTGGCAAGCGCTACAAGAATCTGAACGGACTCAAGTACCATAAATCGCACTCACCACCCTGCAATCCGGATTTCCAGCTTGGAGGTCGTAACCTCGCCCTTGGCGGTGGAGTCATGCAAGGGCAGAACATCAACGTTGCTGGAGCTGGCCTCCCCGGCATTGGCGAAGAAGGCCTTCTGTGAACCCGTGAACAAATATGTCATTATGTCCATACATAATTCCCAGCTAATTGACGCGAACGATCTCGACGGCTTTCGGGGGTGAGAGCACTCCTGCACACACACGATGTCATGATTTTGAATTGGGCCCGGTGACTTTGGAGTTATTACTTTTCTATTTCTCTCTTCGAAAATTGTTCCCCCTGGCTTACTTATTGACTGGGCTTTGTGATGCCCTTCTTTTGCTTTTCGTTCTGCTGCCTGGTAGATCCCACTGGCATGATCGTTTTCTACGCTTGATATCCCTCGCCGTTTCCAGATCCTATCTACTTGGCCTGGTAATAGAGCAAATTCTTGAGCGATCAAGACCCTCTCTCAGCAAAGAGCTGTCTAGAAGAAACTGCTTGCGCTTGCCTGCTTTTACTCTGTTCATCTTGCTTTGGTTCTTCATACGACATTTGCGTCTTCCATGGGAGACACACTAGGGGAATTGGATATCTCCCGAAACCCCCCACTCCCCATCCATTCTGCTATTCATTTGCTTTTGCTTCTTGCAAGGAGCTTCGTGCCTTGTTTCCGCGTTCGTGTCCCCGTTCATTGCGTTCAGTGTTTTCGCTCATGTGCCTCTCCCAACAATGACAGTCGCGATTCCGAAAACGCCGCCTTGAGCACCTGGAACTGAACACCACCAAAAAGTTGGCGAAATGGGATTTGGCTTGGTTTATCTGGAATCATGTGCGAGGTACGAGGCTCCTGGGGTGGCTACTATTCTCCCCTCCTCTTTCACACCCAGTCGGTGTTCGCTTTTTCTTCCCTACGTCCCTTCTACCTAGGGATGGGATAGGGACTGGATCTGGGATCTGGGAATCTTAAAAAAAGTGCGGTTTCTCGGCGTCGGTTCATTGTAGATATGGATTTATTTTGTTACGATTTGGCTCTTTTTGCCCCATTGTCACTTATCTTCTTTTTTTCCCCTTGTCTTGCTATTCATTCATTTTTCTCAACTTCATTTTCGGTTGCGTTTGTTATCGTAGGTCCGGGTTCTGGACTTAGACCTACATAGTAGACCAATTGGCTTTTTAGCACCTATCTAATTAACGGCGTTTTGTCTAAACCTCCAAGTGGATGGTTGGAGATGATATTAAGCCTAGTGGGAGTTATTCAGAATCATAGTTTCATTTGTGCTTATTTTGGAAGCTAGTAAGATCGGTCTTTCAAGCTAGTACAAAACCAGCCTTGAAGGCATGGCATGGAGCAAAGAGAAGCATGTAAAAAAAAGGCAAAATCAGAACCCATCCTCACTTGTAAGCGCCATGAGCCACTGTGAAGCTCAAAAACAAAGAAAAAAGCGAAGCAAAGACCGGGTTGCTGACCATGTCGATATTTGGGTAGTGAGAATCATGAGAAATATTTCGCTTGCACAAACCGTTTCGAGGGCGTGATTGAAAAGACGTAGGGATTGGTTTTCGTTTGTGTCATGAGAGAGAGCACAAGTAGAGAAAAAAATTGTTACAGAACGAGGAAAGGGGTGTCGTCAATGGAAATCAGGAGACGGGTTAAAAAAACACGGAGTGATGGTGTCATTTCGACTACCATTCGAATTCACCTTGACCCTTGTGGAAGACGTATCTAGTAGGGTTAGTATTTGCAGAGCATGGCAGAGCATGGCAGAGTGGGATAACTTACTCTTTGCCACCAGTAGTCAGGATGCCATCCTTCAAGGTGCACTTCCACTTGTTCTTCACCCGCTGGACCTTGTCGTATGTGCAAAGCATGACCTGGCCCTCCGATTCATCTGCGTCATGGTCATCCGCAACGAGGTCATCTGGATCATCCAGGTCCGAATTGATAGCGTCTTCATCTTCCTCCTTGACATCGTCTTCTGCGCCATCGAACTGGCCAGTGACGCGGGGGGCAGATGAAGTTGACTCGGTAGTATTTTGGCTGAGAGGTGCGGTGAGAGCCACACGACGAGCGACCTTGGAAGAGGACTCATGCTCATCCAAGGGACGAAGGAGACCTCCGCCCTCATACTGAGACATGCGCTGCTTGAGATGCTCGCGTAGAAGTCGATCACCTTCTCCATTCTCGGCAGCTGCTCTGCGGCGTGCTACCTCTGCCTTCCAGTCAGTCATCGGGTCGCCTCCACCATCGGTCTGTCCAGGACCCATGTGCGGGTAGGTCTGTTCTTGTTTGATTGGTGGCATTTGCCCGTGGGCATTGGGGTGCATCTGCGGGTATCCTTGTCCAGCTTGGGCCTGGGCTTGCATTTGGTGGACGGAGTTAGCGGCTGCGGCGCCGTATTTCTGGTGAAGCGCATTTGCAGCACGGTCGCGAGCCGACTGGGGGTTGAGACCATGCGGGGGCATGGGTGTGGTCATGTGCGGCATTCCGGGTTGGCCGTTGGATCCTGGCTCGGTCTTGATGCGAGGCCCACCCATCGGAGGCATGTTGTGCGAGGGCGCAGCTTGGGGAATTGAAACGGGCGGGGGAGCATATTGCGGCTGGGGAGGAGGTTGTCGGGGAGCGTTGGAGGGGACAGTAGCGGTGGGGAGGGGAACAGAGTGCTGCTGAGCAGGCTGAGGAGCAGGATCCCAGGGGAAATGAGCGACGTTCACAGAAGAAAGCTTGTGTTGCCAGGTCTGTATATATAATAATTAGTACCAGGTTTCCAGCTTTACATGGGATAATCAATGATGAGACAGCCCTGGAGAATCTTGGCGGTCTAAAAGCGCCTAAGCGGGTAAGAGCGGCACATATAAAGGGAAGACTCATAAGCCCGTGTTCCCCCATAAGCATCGCCTCCCGCACCACCTCGACCATCCCCGCTTTTGGGGAAAACATCCACACCAGACTTTGACAACACAAAACAGGAATATAGGTAGGAAAATATGGTACTAACCTCACGGAGATCATGCAGGGTCTGCTGATCGACACCGCTTTCCTCAAAGTCGACCTGGGAGGCATCACAGACCTCCTGGATGACCTTCTCGAAAACCGCACCCTATGAAGCCATAAGTGTCAGCTCTGATCTCGGATCAAAGAAACTTTCAAGACAAATTGGGAGATCATGGTTATAAGTGAAGATTATCATTCTCTATGCGAGCGATGGCTAGGGATAGACAAGGTGGCCGCCGGAGAAGAAGCTGGGACTTACCACTTGCTGGTTGGACATGATTGCTGAGCAAGAACACCTTGATGAGCTGGTGGATGGTTATGCAAAGGGATCAAAGGGAGCAAAGAGCAGGCAATAGGGTGACTGGTGAAATGTACTGTGTAAGGATAGCTTGACTAGGAAGTAAAGCGCTCCGTCGCAACTATCAAGTTGCCGAAGTGCTGATCGCTCACACCGAATGACGCAATATCAAGCAGTCTGTGAATCTGTAGTTTTCACACAAATAGAAAGGAGAAGAAATGACCTGAAAGACAAGTGCCGCAAGGGTAAATGTCAGAGGAAAACGAGACGGTGAGTTTCCCGATGAGTTGGCGAAGGTGAAAGTCACAGCTCTGCGGTCGAAATCCCACTGTATCCCGGAGGCTTAGTCATCGGCGGCCAACCCACCTAGGCACTTTCAAGTAGAAACCCAAGTAAATCGAGAGATCAGAGACAAGATACAAGTGAAAGATAAGATGGGTAAGCAGAATGAATTAAAGCAACCGTAAGAATGGCATTTGGACAATTTGTACAGCCAGTTTACGGGAACGTAGATACAGAGAACACCATCAGAACACCGGAATCATCACCAAAAAGAACCATTACACCGAAATTAATGTCCCAGCCCATCAATGCTTTCAATATCACCATGAACCAGGGTATCCAACGAAAAAAAAGAAACAAGGAATTGTTGCAAAATAAGGCGTCTAGCGGATGGTCATAGACTTAGTCATCTGAGCCTTGCTGCCGACACCACCCTCACGAGCGGAGGAGGCACTGCTACCAGCCTTGCGCTCAAAGATCTTCCAGAACTTTAGGCTCTCATCAGCGGCAGTGGTGGCCAGCATCTGTCCATCAGGGCTGATAGCACTGTGGAGGACGCGAGTCTCGTGAGCAGGGATCTCGACGTTGCGGACCAAAGTCGGGTAGCTCCAGATGCTGAGAGAGTTGTCGGGGAAGCCGCTAGAGCTGACGATTTCGCGGTAGTGGTTGCTCCAACGCAGGGAAGTGACTTGGGAGCCGGTGTCAATGCTGTTGGTGCGGGCACCAGTGGTGGTGTTCCAGAAATGAATGTGACGGTCGTAGGAACCACCGCCAGTGGCAAGGAGGTTGGATTGCCAAGGGCACCAGCTCAGAGCCTTGACGGCGGCGCGGTGGTTGGTCTTGGTGAACTTGGGAGCGCTTAGAGAGCGAGCATCCCAGATGTTGACGAGGTTGTCGTTTCCACCAGTGGCGAGCTGAGCGCCGTCAGAGCGCCATTCGAGACCGCAGACCTCAGAGGTGTGGGAGACGAGCTCAGCGATCTTGTGCTCTGCGATGCGAACATCGTGGTTATAGACAAGACCACTACGGGCTCCAGTGGACAGAGTATGCTTATTCCAGCCCATAACACCGACGCGGGAGTCGTGGCCGTACATGCTGCGAAGCTTGGAACCTTCCTCAACATCCCAAATCTGGACCTCACCAGTTCCCAAGCCAACACCAACATAGGCACCGTCACCACTCCACTTCACGCTGCTAACGTATGTGTCGGGGGAAGTTTCCAAAAGGCAGTTGACAGAGCCAGACTCAGCAGACCAGACATAAACGTTTCGCTCGAGACCGATGGCGACCTGGTTGCCAGAGCTCCAGTCGAGCAAATTGAGATAGTAGTCATCCAAAAGACCCGGGGCATCCAAGACCCGTTCGGGTGCAGTTTGAACACGGCGACGGAACTGGGCGGCTGTAGATTTGGCAGGGCGGAGGGGACGGTTATATTGAGCACGAAGATCAATAGGCTTCGATGACTCGGGAGGAGGAGGCTTAAAGGCGAGGATGCGAGTGTTCATGTTCACACCACAAGCTTCAGCCAGAGATGATTTGTAGGCCACGGCATCTGGAGCCGGGCGAGTGTAGGTAGAAGGCTCATTGTCATCCAGACCCAAGTTCTCCAAAGCAGCAGTAAGGTCATCATCCGATCCACGCGCACCAATGTCAAAGGCGCTGGCTGCCGAGGCGAGGACTGATGATCCGTCAGCCCCACCGCTCTTAGGGCGCTGTTTCTCTTCTGGCTTTGCGGCCCCGCTAGTGGCTAGACCCTCACTTGCGGTCCGGTTGGGGATAAAACGGTCACCAGCGTTGTGAGGAATGCGCACAGTTGTCTTGCTAGCACGAGATCGGGTGGGAATCTCCCGGCGGATATGCTCCTTGGAAGGAGTGTTGGCTGTTGTCGCACTTGTGCCGGTCAAAGTCCAGTCCGAGACACCGAGCTCCAAGTGCTTGGGTGACTTGCGGGTGCGGGTGCTGGCAATGTTCGACTTGTTGGTCTTCGGAGAGTCACGGTTGGCAGTGCGGGCTGCTTTTGAGATGGACTTGGCGAAGTGGGCGGAGAGATTTCCACCGTATACCGACTTGGCTTGACTACGGCCAGCATCAGACTGGCGAGGAGGAGTGAAGGGTGACGAGTGGCCGCTTGCGCGGGGGTTGGGCGAAGGGCTCAGAGGCATACGGCCTCCAGCAGTCTTGGAGGAGAAGAGCCCATGGTGGCTCTTCACCGGAGTTGATGCAGTAACAGAAGCCATATTAATATATGATCAGAGTAGATGTAATGGGACCAACCCCAATAGAAGATGCAATACGAATCGATGCAGAGGCTAATGCAAGATCAATCAACAGAAAAGTATGCAGACAATTGAGGATAGTGAGATTGAGAGGTGAAGAAAAGGAAAGGGAGTTCAGGAGAAAAGCGAATAAATACAGGTAGCTACTATACTCGTTGCTGAAAAGTATGAGGCTCTCCCCATAGCAACGGTTACCTGAGCTACATAGTACGCTAATCCATATTGGGACTAGCATTGACATACCGCGCTTGCCTTTTTTTAGTGACAATTGTCTTGGCATTAATTTCATGTCAATCGCCTTTCAGGTAGGCAAGAACAAAGAAGGTGAGAGCCTATACTCCGTACAGAATATATCTTCCGTAGACCTTAAAGGAGCAAAATGTCGTGACCTATTGTGCCAGTTGCGGATACAATTCAAAAGCCCCCTTTTTCGCCACTGGGATGGCGCATCCATCTCCTCTTTGCAACCCCCACCACGTTCCTCTCACCCAGTTCCACCGAGACCCACCACGACTTCTCCCTACCTGGCCGGGATCTTCGAGGGTCTTTAACCCGATATCCTGCTGTACTCCCTCTACGGCAATGCAGGACGCCTACCTGATGCCCGCCAGTCAGGCCGGCGGTCGCCGGACCAGCGCGGATTATCGACCCAGCATAAAAAAAGCGCAGGGCCATGTCCCCGCCTGCCTGGTCAATGCCTCGGTGACGTACTGCAGCAATGATCGCATTTATGCGTTCGGGGGATTTGACCAGTTTACCGATGAAGGTTGACATTCTCCATCCTCCTTAACCTATAATTTCTAAAATGGCACTGATAATTGTTAGTATACAACCACGTGCTCAGGCTAGACTTGGAGACTTTGCGCTGGGAGCTCGTTGACAACTATGGCGATATCCCCGGAGTTCGCATGGGTAATGATTCTCTCTTCTCATTCGTCCATGTTTAGTGATAAACGCTCTAACTAGAAATCTTATTTTTGATAGGACACACGGCGACATTGTACCAAGGGGATAAATTGATTGTGTTTGGGGGCGAAAATGAGCATCGCGAATACCTCTCCGACGTTGTCATCCTTGATCTAAATACCTTCACCTGGGCACTCCCCGAAATTCGCGGGTCGATCCCGCGAGGCCGAGCCCGCCATGCTGCCGTCATTCACGAAGACAAGCTTTTTATTGTGGGTGGAGTGACAGGTGTAGGAGGCGTGACAGGGGAGAAGAATGTGATCTTGGACGACTTGACCTACCTGGATCTACAAACATGGACCTGGTCTCGGACATGGAGCTTCACTGCTCGCTTCGATCATACAGCTTGGGTTTGGGGCACACGGCTGTGGATATTTGGTGGATTGGGTCCGAACATGGAACGAACGACTGATATCTGGTGGCTCGACCTCAAGGGATCTCCATCGCTGGCCGGAAACACGACCCCCCAAGGTAGCGTCAACTTCCTGGGCGTCAATCTTTCTGCGGCTCATCTTCCAGACTCTATATCTAGCAGCCCTCACCAAATGTCTCCCCGCTCCGGAATCTACGCGGCCAATTCAGGCAGTGTGCAGGTACGCAATTTGGGTCGACGCAAACCAGTTGCGCCTGGTGCCATATCTTGTCTTAGGTTTGATTCTGGTCCTCATGTCCCCTCTCTCTTTTCTGGTACTCATTTCCATTCATTTGCCTCTGGTGTCCTGCTCGACCTAATCACGCCGTCGGAGACCGTACGGTCGCATGATTGTAACCTGTCGGCTCTGGACCTAAACTCGCTGCGCTGGCAACGGCTGGCTGATGGTCAAGAGATCTTCCGGCCCGGCTATCGATGGCACTACTGCACTGTCAATGACACGGGGACCAAAGCATGGCTCTTGGGATGTAGTCTTGATGTCGCGAATGTACCGGGAGGTAGCGACGAGAATCATATGAGTGAAGTCCTGACTATCGACCTGGAAAAGTATGGTTTGCTAGGTAACGGCTTGTCGGCAGAACCTCCCGAGCAAGGTGCACCTTGGCCGTCTGATCAAATGGGCTCCTCTCAGGTTTCCGGGCTTGGAACCGATCTAGCCGCTGTTTTTGACATACCCCCTGAGTCGGGAAGTGGTACGGACTTCGTCATCACTGCTATTCGTGACGATCATGACGGGTCCGTATCGGAAGATATGGGCGACATGCCGTCCGTTTCCCCAACTCAGGCCCAACCAACCTTTGTGGAACAGAACTGCTGGACTTCGGAGCCCATCCACGTCCACCGTATCATTCTGCAGCTCAGGTGGCCACATTTCAAGCGTCTGTACTCCGCCCAGATGGCTGAGTACCACACTAAGCGGATGCACATCCCCGAGCCTTACTCTGTGGTGCGCGCGTTTCTCTATTACCTGTACACAGACAGTATCGCCGGCCATCCAGACTATTGCTCGAGCGTTATCGACGTGGCGGGTATGCTTGTTATGGCCAATCTTTATGATATGCCCAAGCTTCGTCTGCTGTGCGTCAATAGGTTAAGCCAAGAGCTTGATGTAGACAACGCGGCCATCGTCTGGGAACGTGCGGGGCGGACCAATGAGCACTGGTTGATGCGCCGAGCAGCACAATTTTGCCTGACATACTGGGGTCGCGTGGTACGGACAGACGGTTTCAAATCCCTCAGCCACCAGAGTTTGATCCAACTCTGCGAGGTAGTGGATACAGAAGGTCGCGTCTTCGCAGGCCCTGAATTGGAGATGGTCACATTCGGGGCAGATGGCCAAGGTGACCGAGACAAAAGCTCTCGAATGCGGCTGGGGTCTACTGCAGACGAGATGTCTGAGGTTGACGGAGACGATGAAGGGATGGAGATCTCATGAATTGCATGAAATTGCACGAATGGGGCACGCATTATATTCCGGAGTTCTTGGCGGGATCTTTTCTTTATTAGGTTGTATTGTATTTGCATCTGCGCATTCTCTACGAGTTTTGAATATACACCTTTTCTTTCATTATAACCGGGCCGTTCAACCGTTCCAGGGCTTCCAGGGCTGGCCCTGAGGCCATTCGTCGTCACGAGGTGTGGAGCCTCTCGACGCTCTCGACGCGGACTTCACTCCGGATCGCGGAGGTCATTCCTGTCACGATAAGGAGCTCTCCATAGTAGTCTCACGCTTGAGTTTCAACAAAATGAAAATAAAATGTTGAAATTACATAAATATCGATGTGCGCTCGAATTCGAAACAATCTAGTTGGCACACGGCTTCTACAGTTCCTGTGATTGACCATTGACATTCACTTCACCATGGGATCCACCGAGCAATCCACTCTTCCTTCGGATTTCCTCTGGGGCTTTGCTACAGCCGCATACCAGATTGAGGGAGGAGTTAACGAAGATGGCCGCGCCCCGTCAATCTGGGATACATTCTGCAAGGTCCCCGGCAAGATCGCCGGCGGCGGAACTGGAGATGTAGCTTGCGACTCGTATCACCGCACACACGAGGATATCGCCTTGTTGAAAGAATGCGGTGCTCAGGCATACCGATTTTCACTGTCATGGTTCGTCTCTTTGTGTCCCTCGCTTCGATCTTCAATCTCTAGATCGTTTGCTAACCCAGCTTGTCTAAATCTATAGGTCCCGCATTATCCCTCTCGGCGGCCGGAAAGATCCAATCAACAAGAAAGGCATACAGTTCTACCAGAAGTTCGTAGATGACCTGATTGATGCGGGCATTACGCCTATGATTACCCTCTTCCACTGGGATCTTCCGGATGAGCTCGACAAGCGCTACGGTGGACCTCTCAACAAGGAGGAATTCGTTGCCGACTTCGCACACTATGCTCGCGTGGTATTCGAGGCCTTTGGATCCAAGGTCAAGTACTGGATCACCTTCAACGAGCCTTGGTGCGTCAGTGTTCTTGGATACAATAATGGTTCCTTCGCCCCAGGCCACACGAGTGATCGCACCAAGAGCGCGGTGGGCGATAGCTCGACTGAGCCGTGGATTGTCAGCCACAGCTTGCTAGTTGCACATGGAACTGCGGTGAAGATTTACCGCGATGAATTTAAAGAACGGGATGGTGGTGAGATTGGCATTACGCTGAACGGTATGTCTCCATTCTCCCCGCACCTATACAGACCCTTTACTAATCAGATCATCAATAGGTGACTGGGCCGAGCCCTGGGACTCTGAGAACCCAGCCGATGTGGAAGCCTGCGACCGCAAGATCGAGTTTGCCATCTCATGGTTCGCCGACCCTATTTACCACGGCAAGTACCCAGACAGTATGATCAAGCAACTTGGCGACCGTCTGCCAACCTGGACACCGGAGGAAATTGCCCTTGTCCAAGGCAGCAATGACTTCTACGGCATGAACCACTACTGCGCGAACTTCATCCGCGCCAAGACGGGGGAGCCGGATATCAACGATATCGCGGGTAACCTGGAGCTCCTGCTCGAAGACAAGAACGGCGTGAGTGTCGGTCCTATCACACAATCGCCTTGGCTGCGACCATCTGCTATCGGGTTCCGAAAACTGCTCAAGTGGCTCAGTGAGCGGTACGGCTACCCCAAGATCTATGTCACCGAGAACGGCACTAGTGTTCTAGGCGAGAATGATATGCCGCTTGAGGAGTTGCTCAATGATGAGTTCCGCGTGCAGTACTTCCGGGATTATATCGGTGCTGCGGCTGATGCTTATACCCATGACGGTGTCAATGTGCGGGCTTACATGGCTTGGAGTCTTATGGAGTATGTTTGGATCTTGTTCCCTATATGATTTTGGTGTAATGACCGACTAACTTGTTTACTTACAGCAACTTCGAGTGGGCTGAGGGCTACGAGACCCGCTTCGGTGTTACTTTTGTCGACTATGAGAACGACCAGAAGAGAATCCCAAAGAAGAGCGCCAAGGAGATTAGCCAGATCTTTGATCGGTTAATCAAGAAAGCCTAAGATGTATGCGGCGCAGATTGATCTTTATGCTGGTGGACTCCATCAATTGCCATGATACCTGGATCCTATACGAAGTTTTTGAATGCACATGATATTTGATTTTCCAGTTACGCCATGAGCCGTGTAGAAAACCTGCGAGGGTTGTGGGAGATAGAAAACAGGGATAGATGTGATACGGAAATTGAGTCGGGAAATCATGCGAGAAGAGCGTGGAGTGAAGAGAAATCCGGGTCGACTACATGTAGACCTGCATACATACAGGCATTCCCATGCTTTATGATCAATTGGGAGTCTCTACACAGTCCACTTCATGAATTTTGGCTATACTAGTACTACGTCAGAACTCCTACGGCACCCTCGTATTCCCTTTTCTTTCATACATCGCGATGCCACTTGATCATTGTTGAAAATCCGTGCAGGGCATGTTTGCCTGTATCCATGCTACACAAGCAGGTCGTTACTACATACCTACCAGTACATAAATGGAGGCAGTCCCTCGGTTTTCCCAAATATACCAACTTTCATCATCTCTCTCTGCGTGTCTTCATCATCTATAAAATTATCAAAATGCCTCCTGGGACTAGGCTATATTTATAGGACACCGATTTTGTCCAGAGCAGGTATCTGCTTTTGAAATGAAGTTGATTTGATAGCTAATTCCCACACTGGGGAAATATATATAATCACAGTGATATAGGCCCGGGAACACAGAGCCGTGCGGGTCACAGATGCCGCACTTTGCATTGCGGCCGAGATCACATATACTACGCTTCTCGGTGCATATGAAGAACTCTGAGAATTTGAATTAATACTGAAAAGCCTGCCCGTATGTGGTTCTTGCCGTTTCTGCCTCCTTGTATTTGGGATACAACGCTGATGCTACATATGGAGATATCACGCAATTCGCTCGAGATCGTGATGGTAACCTCCTACCTTTACACGAATTTTTAAGTGTCCAGTTTCCACAGGCACTAATCAACCAGAGGACCTCGATCTCGCGATTGATATGCATAGGGGTGATGCTTTTCTGTTTTTTTTTTACCATTTTTTCTCATATTATGAATTGTCCTTTCCGGCCCTTCGGGACATGGCAGCATTATAATAGCCCGCCGATCACTTATATTCCTTAAATCTGGAATGAATAACCCTCACCCTTCAAGGGCCGTTGATTCTTCTAGCAATATATTTACAGTCCATATCCAATAGATCAATTTGCAGTCTTGTGATTAAACTCACTGCCCAAACATGTTCATAGATTGACCTGAGCTCTGCCACTTCTATTTGACCCTGTAGCTCCTGCCTATTTCTGTCAAGTTTTCATAATATTGGATACAAACCAAAGCCAATTGTGAAATTCTAAAGTCACAAGCAAACAATTCTTTCTATTTCCAAAAAAGGCAATATTGATGCCTGCGGACTCAACTCCTGCCTGAGGATTCACCTGCCCCTTAGTTACAAGTTTCATAGTGCTACGTTTGAATAGGTATATCCTTTTATTCGCATATAATCAAGCCTTACCGAGACCTCCATGTGAATTGGAAGCTAGATGCCCGATGCGAATTCTGATACCCGGGAGCTAAGTAAATCCGCCTCCGAATGAGATATCCTCTCCATTCGTGTAAAGCTATAATCTATTTATATTGATTTTCTCGTCAAGAACAACATGGATATATCTCAAATCTCCAAGCAGCTTTTGCCAGCGCCCAAGAGATTCCCGGATTGCTGCTTGGCCATCTCCAGCACTTTGATCACCTACCTTGCTTCGCTCCTCCCAAAAAAGTCCGCATTCACCATTTCAATCGGCAGCGGATCTGGTCTCCTCGAAGGTCTGATTGTACATTGCGACAAAAATGTGTCGGTGGAGGGTGTTGAGGTGGATTCGACTATTAATCGGTATATCGCCGAAGAAGATATGAATATCGTTGGCGGAGGTTGGGGCCTTTGGTCTGCCGCCCAACAGGCTGCAGCGTGGATGTTTGTCTACCCACGCGATCCAAAACTCATCACGAAATACATTGATACCTATGGTAATCAAAATGTTGAGTTTATTGTCTGGCTCGGGCCTCGGGTCGACTGGCCGGACTATGAGCCGCGTTTCTGTCAATCTCCGTTCTCCGAGTTGAGTTTTCCAGATCATATCGGACTAACACCATATGAGACTGTGGTTGTTGCTAGAAGACCATGTTGATATAAAGCCATTCCGCATTGCGAATTTGGGAGTTCGTGTTATACATTGGGTTTTTCTGTTTTGTGATTTACTTATAGTTCCCGTTTGTCTCATTTATCTTCATATATATCACTATCACGATGTCATTTGTTGATAATTCATACAGAGAATATTTTCTCGCTTTCTTGCCTTGCAGATCAGGCTGCGGAGCTTCGAGATCCGAAGGACAAGCAGGAGAAGTTTGTCTTATTCGACGGAGCTGAGAAAAAGAGGCGTTGGGAAGGTATTCAGGACGAGTTCCTGTTCCACGAGATCGACAAGGACGAATACAAAAGCGGCGGTAGCGAGCTCAATCTAGAAATCTATGAACCCCTTTGCCCAAGCAATCGCATGTCCAACCTTGACGATGAGGCTAAAGATGTCTGCCTCAACAGATTCCACCAGAAATTAGGCGATATCTTGGGATTCTTAGCGAGAAATGCAAAGGAAACCGTCTTGGAAGAGTCAGACTCAGAAGAAGCGTGGGTCTATCGTGAGTTCATGCAGCCGAGGAATTGACGAGCTTTTTTATTTTTTTATTTTTGTAGAATAATATGACCACTGGGAGCCTTTAATCTAACAATCTTGAATTACCAAACCCGGGGCAGACGGCTCGCCCGGTTCTATACCAGAATATTGTAAGCTACTCTTTAATAATCATTGGCCATTGCCTGCCCATATCCCAAAGTAATTCATATATTAAATGTAAGTGCGCGAGGCTAAGCTCAAAGCGCATACCTAAAATGCTTAGACTCCATATCTGTCACGTCGTTAAATCCATCCAAGATAGCCTGAGAGGTAACATCCTCCGGGGTCTCATCAGTATCAGCCGCAACCATTGCAGCATCCCTCCTTCCATTCTCCCATTTCATCGACATATACGCCGCACATGCTAGGACAATAATACCAGCATAGCAAACGAGCAGGCCCAGCAGACCCGAGTAATAGCGCGGGGCCTCGTGAGCGAAGAAGATATTCGCACCGGCGACATTACCGGCCGCATATAGCGAGAACCAGAGACCATTAGCGACCGCACGCTTGGTATGGCCGGCAACATTGGTGGCAAGTAAATTCCACGAGATAATGACGGGAGCACCAACGAGATATTGCAGCCAGGTGCATCCGACTAACGTCCAGGGATGATCGAGGCTAGTAAAACGGATACCCAGAAGACCGCCGAAGGGGATCAGACAGACGACTGCGAGAACGATGCAGCGTGAATCTTTAACATATGTAGCTATGATACCGCAGATTGGAACAACCACCGCTTCGACCGCGCCTGTGGGTAGTTGGAGGAGTGTACTGTAGATCCCGCTGAAGCCAAAGCCCTTGATCAAGGCTGATGCGAAATTCGATGAACCACCATTGATCACACCACAGGCTATGCCGACTCCCGCGCAGCAGAGGACTCTGAAATCGTAGAGAATCTCCAGTGCCTGCCGTGGCTTGATGTCTCGGGTCTTCACGCCGATCATGTTTTCGGCGACGCGCTGCACGGCGATCACGCGCTGTCGGTGGGTCAGGAAGCGGGCGGAGCTGGGCGAGTCAGGCATGAGCCAAAGGAAGAGACAGGCACAGAGGAAATTGAGTAGTCCGATGGTTAAGAAAATCAACTGCCAGCTGCGGAGCGCAGTGTTGTGTGAATGGCCGAGGCCGAATCCTAGTAGTGCTCCTACCATCGTAGCCATGCCATTTGCGCTGAGCCAGACAGCCATGCGCAACGGTTGTTCGGAGCGCTTGTAGAACATTGATGTAAGGTTCATCACTGAATAGAACAAATTATGTTAGTGCTCTTCATGTCTTTGGTCTGTGATGAGGGTTACTCACTGCACGGACTGACTCCGGCTTCTGCCATGCCCAAGAGGAATCTCAATACCAGGATTCCTGGGTAGTTTTTCGCTCCAACATGTGCAATAACGAGTACACTCCAGATCAGAAGCATACAGCCCATATATTTTGCGATTGGCAATCGCTGGATTAGGAGGTTGGCTGGGAGGGCCCAGAAGAGATAACCGAAATTGAAAATAGCTGCAACCCACGAATATCGTTGGCCTTCGAGAGCGAGGTCTGGGATTAAAGAGTATGCCGATGCATAATTAAGTGATAGTTTGTCTACACATGCATGTTAGTTGTAGAATAAGAATGGGGAAGTGATATTACATACCGAGGAATTGAATAACATAGGTCAGGTAGAGCTAGAACACGAACAGACTGTCAGAAATAACATTCATCAAGATATCAGAGTGACAACTCACCATCGGCATAATCCTCCAGTCGATAATCCTCAGCACCTCGGCGCCCTCAGTCTCCAGTTCCTCGGCGGTCAACTGCTCCGCCTCCAGATATAGATTTGCTCCGATATCGTGAGCCTCGCCGAGTGCAACATGTGTAACATCTTTCTCCGCAGTGGACCGATCCACTTTTGTGTCGTTGGGGTCCATGATAGGTAGCGGGGGTGAAGTTGAACAGAACTGAGAAGTTCCCATATCGAAGTCCCCCGCTTCTTATATATAACCCCAGCATGAATATAATTCGCTATCTGCGCCAAGGAGATAAGCATCATCACTTCTCTATCTGTGAGGTTATCTTTGAAGTTAGTCGTTGAGATAGGAGAAGCGGCCAATAGTCCGCAAAAAAAAGTGTGGGGAAAGCGGACTATTCTCCGCTTTACGGGGTCATATACTTGGCCCTCTCTAGATCTCAAGGGACCATTCAAGAAATCATATCACTCGCATTTTAGTTGCATTTTCCCTTCATTTCACTTGCATTTCAAAAAAGTCAATACCCCTCAACGCCATGGCTCACCAATCCCAAGACTTCTCGCTACTGGACGCCAGTATCTCCGAGCTCCAATGCGCGCTTTCTTCGGGGTTGCTCTCTAGCGTAGGCTTAGTATCACGATACCTACGACGAATCAGCGTCTACGACGCAAACAATCTAAATCTCACTGCCATCCCAGTCTTGAACCCATCCGCCCTCGACGAAGCAGCCGCTTCCGATGCCCGACGCGCAGCTGGTCTACCGCCTCGTCCATTGGAGGGTCTCCCCTACCTCGCAAAAGACAGTATTAAAGTCAAGGGCATGACTGTTGCAAGCGGATCACCTGCATTTGAGACCCTCATCGCCAACGAAGATGCTGCCTGCATCAAACTTCTCCGTGAGGCCGGTGCCGTGCTTCTCGGCCGGACGAACATGCCCGCCATGGCGTACGGTGGGATGCAACGTGGGTGTTATGGGCGTGCTGAAAGTCCTTATAATACTGCGTACCTGGCTGCGGCGTATGCTTCCGGTTCATCAAATGGATCAGCCGTCGCGACGGCTGCCAATTTTTGTGCTTTTTCTCTAGGCAGCGAGACTGTTTCTTCAGGTCGCTCACCGGCCTCGAATAATGCCATTGTTGCATACACGCCTTCGAAAGGCCTTCTTCCTCTCCGCGGTGTCTGGCCACTCTACTTGACCTGTGATGTCCTAGTGCCTCATACCAGGACCATGGCAGATATGTTCCACGTCCTAGATGTTCTAGCCGTGTCCGATGAAGCCCCAATTGGAGATTTCTACCAGGAACAAAAGATTGTCTCCCTGCCTTCAATCAATACACTTCGACCAAAGTCTTTTTCAGAATTACAAGATGGTACATCCTTGCGCGGGAAGCGTATTGGTGTACCTTCAATGTACATCGGAGGCGACGACTCTTCCCTATCCCCAACTAGCAAAGTCAACACCCGGCCCTCCATAATCAAGCTATGGCAGAACGCCAGAAAGATCCTTGAGTCCTGCGGTGCGGAGGTGATCGAAACGGACTTCCCACTTGTGACAACCTACGAATCAAACGCAGACAAGGGCCAACTCGTCACCGTCGCAGGACTACCAGAAGGCTGGTCCGCGCTGGAGCGGAGTGAGCTCGTCGCGCATATCTGGGACGACTTCCTGGTTAACAACGGCCAAAAGAGTCTCGAGACTCTTTCTCAGGTCGATCCAACGACTATCTTTCCGCTTGCGCCAGGGTCTCTGAAGGGTGCGCCCGATGCGGCTAATGCGCTGCGGTGGGATGAGATGGTTAAATACCCGCACCGGAAGCCGGCGTCTGTTTTCGAGATCCCCGGTATTCAACAAGCAATCCAGGCTCTTGAGAATGCGCGCAAGGAGACTCTTGAGGACTGGATGGATGAGCTTGGGCTTGATGCAGTGGTTTTCCCGGCTAATGGTGATGTCGGGGCTGCTGATGCGGACTGCGATGAGACGGCTTCACGGTTTGCGTGGAGTAATGGCGTCAAGTACTCCAATGGAAACAGACCCATCCGTCATCTTGGTGTGCCTACTATCTCTGTTCCTATGGGTATCATGGAAGATACGGGGATGCCGGTGAATCTTACCTTCGCTGGGAAGGCATATGATGACAACAGTCTGCTTAAGTATGGCTTTGCTTTTGAGGTGGCGATGAAGGGCCGTGTTCAGCCACCGCTTGTGCCTGCTCTTGACTCGGATTGCCTCAAGGGTGGTCAAGACCCTCGGCCATGGGCTTCTCGGTCGACCGTTGAGCTGGTGGTGGAGACTCAAGTGAAGGAGATTCACGATTCGATGGTTGTGGTCCAGATCCAGGGATCGGTGGGACTCAAGGGCTCCGAACTGAGGAATATGGAGTGCCATATCAACGGTCAACCATTCAAGCCGGTCATAGAGGACGATAGATGGTTTATCATGGCTTCCTATCCCGCATCGGAACGTGACCAACCCTGGAAGAGATGGTCGAGTCCTACTTTAACACAGACCATCGTAGTTATCACAGCTCATACGAAAGATGACTCGACAACGGGCACGCTGATCTTATTATGAAGACCTTGTGTCGCAAAAATAAATGCAACTCTTCTTTCCATTAATCGGTTATGTAGCACTCCTGAAATAAGTACAAAGCCCTCATATTTACAATCTCTCTTTAAAATCGTCCTCTAACAAGTCCTGATGTATACTCCCTCTATACATCATATCTTCAATCATTCCCAAGACAGCTCGGTGCAAATAATTTTTCCTCAACTGCTCCAGGTGTAATTCAGCCTCTTCCAGTGATACCGGAGCACTAGAGTTGACGTCAAATGTGCCATCATTCCACATGATCTTCTGTCGTAAGAACTCAAGCACATTCATATAAGGCGTTGCGTCCTTCCACCGATCGACAAAGCCAGCCAGATTGGCTGCACATGTAGCAATGGCTTGTTGGTTGTTCTGCCTGATGCGCTGTTGATCCTGAATCTCAGTGATAGGGGTCGTCGCCCAGACAATGTAAAGCATCATGATTCCTGCTCGGAATTGGAATACAAGCTAATGGTAGATTGATTGTTAGTCACGTCAGATCACTTGGAGTGTACCGCGATAAAGAAGAAAAACTGCGGTTTGACACATACTGCAGACCACGTAAAGCACATCACATGTCCTCCTTCCTGCAAGAGCCGGAAATTGTGACAGGCTTCCGCAATCGTCGCGAGAATCTCCTCTGTTCCGTCCATCTCGATGAAATCGCGTTTCTCTTCTATCAGGATCAAGAGACTGTAAACATATAGCTTTCGCATCCATATAGGATGAAGATAGCCGTGTTGGTCATTGTCAGATTCATAGTGTGGAATCTCTTGTCGCCATCTATCAAGAGCGGACTTGAAGGGGGAGGTATAGCCTTTCCCGTATCTAGCGAGGGGATTTCGGGGCCTGTTCTCCCGCGATCTTCTGATGCTGGCTTGGATCTTGCGTAGTCGGAACAAGTGGCTTATTGCGGGGTTTGTGCTTAGGGTTGGTTGGAGGGTATCTCCCAGAGTGCACATCTAAGTTGAGAATTAGTGACTGTAAAAAGCTAATTAGAAAGTATTTGGGGATAACTCACGTCATCGTCAACAACCCTGTAGGCAGCTGATACTGGTCGATCCCACCCAGAGACAATAATTTCATTGAGCATATAGCAAGTAATAAACATGTTCTCAGACAGAACTTCGCTAGACTCGGTCATGGATCCATTGTCGCGGCATATCGATACATGCTTCCGGATCTCTGTCATGGCAGCTGTACAGAAAGGTAACACAGAAGACACGCTCGTTGTGATATCCTCGGAAGAAGGAGAATGCATAGCATAGAGTATCATGAACAGTGAAGCTTGGATTTGTAAGACCATAGACGAATGTCCGACAACATATGGATAGTATCGCATGGCCGAGGCGTAATACTCCTTTGAACGGACGGAGTGCGAGGGGTCTCGCTGTAAATTATTGCAAAGAGATGCACCGATAGCATATACCATCTGCAGAAAGAAGGCTTTCCATTCATCCTGCCCATCCAGGATTGCTTCGGCATGCCATGATTTCCAAGCTGCTTCGTTCAAGAAGGGCCATTCGCGGTGAGTCACGGAGAAATACACATTTGTGTAGAGCTCTTTCAGCCAAGGAGAGTCGTCATCCGTCAAAGGATATGAGGGTTCCAAATCAATCCACGGAACGTCGAATGTCGTCTCCGGGAATAAAGAGAATGCGTCAAGCGAGAAAGATGATGGGGATGTTCGTGGTGATATTTGGCTGCTGTGTTGCAAGACTGGCAGAAGCATACGAGAACCGTCATTCTCTGCCCCGTTACTACTCTGATCGGCCATTAGGTAGTCTGAATCCTTGCCTGTATCATTTCGCTTGTGTTCTAGGTCTTCAAAATCCGTCTGGACCCCAACATCACATGTTTCCACCGTTGTTTCTGTAACACTGTACTCACTATCCAGCTCTGCGACCCGTTTCTCGAGCTGTTTCAAGTATTCCAGCGGGATTGTGATGTTATCTCCCGTTTTCCGAGACCGAGCAGGCAAGCATTCAGCACCCTTGCGACGACATTCGCCACATGAAGGTTTCGCATGATCACATTTTCGCTTGTGTCGGAAACAGCGAGCGCATGCTATTTCTCTATGCTTCAGAGGGCGCGACATGCAGCAATTAGGCACATGTAGGAAGTGAGAGGAAATGCGGGGGGGCTCGCGATAACGGAGTTGATCCGCGCCGGTGCGATATCAGTTCCTTATTCAGTTCAGTGGCTGTAATAGGAAAGTCTAGGCGATGTTGATAAGAAATGCTTTGTTAATTATATATACTGCTTCCTGTTAAGTATATAACAAAGTAAGAGATCTTAGGAAAGCATCGTCAAGTCAGGTGAACCGGTAATAAAGTCCATGGTCATCACATCGGTCATAACATTCATACCCGTCTCCTCGAGCGTATAAAGAACCCTCGCTAGGTCAAGAAGTCGGCAGCAACAATCAGCTTTTGATCCATTTTTGAGCCTTTGTATCATATCCAATCAACTTAGGATCAACATGCAGACTCTTTAGCATGAACTCCATCGTGAACTCCTAAGTAACAATGTCAGCTACACAGATTCCACCTAAAACAACAGTAATATCACAACACGTACCTGATCCTGACTCTCTTCCTCATCATCATTCTTGTTTGGTAGACGGCCAGAAGAATCCTCAGCGGCGTAGTTATCAACATCTCCCTCATACTCTTCGATGTGTTCCCGTTCACGATTCTCCTCATCAAACTCCCACCGAGTCGCATCACGTTTCGACCGCTCTTTCCAAGCCGCCATTCCTCCCATTCCATTAACCCTTTCTTTGGCACCGACAAATACCTCATCGGCTGCGTCCTGGCTGGCGAGCCGCCATTTGGTGATGAGAGTTGGAATCTCGATGTATTTGGGATTCGTCTCGAGATTGAGGGCCTGGGTTGCCATTTCAAGTTCGGTGGTGAGTGCGTCAACCTTTGACTTAATCTCCCGGTGCTGTTTTTGTAGTTCTAGGATCTCTGGGTCGGAGATTTGGAATGATTGTGAGGGCAAAGGGGAAAAGAGTTGGAGCACGCGTTTGCGCTTAGGAGGTTCTGGAGTTGTTGTCAGATCTGGTGGATTTGATATTGACTTGGAGTCTACAGGGATAGTAGGAGTCGCTGGGACTTTTGTGTCCTCGGGATCCCCGGGTGCGACAGGCTTAGATGGCGTGTCGTCTGTGTTTGTTGGTGCAGGTCTCCGTAGCGGGGACTTGAACGGCTTTGAGAGAGCGGTAGCTGCGTCGGTGCGACGACGTTTATTAGATGATTTGTCCATCATCCATTGAATACAGACCTCAAAAGTGCGATGTGTCTAAGAAAGGGGAGAAAAGAATATAAAAAAGTTGGAGAAGCCAGGTGAAATGCGGAGATGCGATAGTCTTATCGATAAGCAAACTTGGAATTTATCTACAAAAAAAGGTCACGCTGAAATGCATACACTAAGATCTGCTCAATGACCAACTCCTCCTGCCACCCATTGCCCAAATTCAGGGTCACCAGGCTGGGGGAATAATCCACGGTCGTTTGCGTTCCCATTTCCATTCTGGGCATTGGCATTCGCATTCGCATTCGCATTGGCATTAGCATTGGCGTTCTCGTTCTGTCGGTTGCGCTGCTGCTGTTGACGGAAATAAACCAAAACCAACAGCGCAGCAGCCAATCCGACAATGAGGAGGCCCTCGAGCATTCCTTCGTCGATATCGAGGTCCAGGTCGTCATAGTAGCCATCCTCGTGGCCTTCGGACTCCAAGCCACGATATTCATCATCGTCTCCCCGTTGTAGTTCATAAAGGTCTTCGTAATAGCCGTCCTCATCGTTCTCGATAAAGGCCTTGACCCATTCCTTGAAGGTACGACGGGGCTTCGAATCTGGGGATAAATGTAAGCAAGAAACTAGAAAGACCCGGTTACATTCACGGGGTAAGTGGGAAGGAGCAGCTTACCTTCCTCCTCGTGGATGGGGTTAATGTCTCCGTTCGTGATACGATTCCAGTATCCTCGAATCCGGAGTTTGATCAAGCTGAGCTTCACTGGCAGATACGCTTCGGGGCTGAGGTCAAGAGCCAAATCATAATACCTCTTGGCCATGTGGAAATCCTGATCTACTGCCACGCCATTCTCATGCATCCAGCCCAAATTCCAGTAGCCCTGTGCACTATGGTGGGCTTCAGCGGCATTATGGTAACAGGTCGAGGCCTTGTCGGCATCGACAGGTGTACCCGTGCCAGACAAGTAGTAGTCACCCATCTTGACCAAAGAGTCGACGTTGGCTTGCTTCGAAGAGCGGGTCCAGTAAATCAACGCTAGTCTCGCATTGCGCATCAAGGAGGATCGAGCCTTGTTAGCCCATGGAAGAATGGAACTCAGCGAGAGCACAGAGCGATGCTCATCAAGCAGATAAGCCACATTTGCCTGTGCATTCTCATAGCCCTGCTCTGCTGCCATCATCGATGGGATGAGAGCGCCCTCCTTGTCGCCAGATTCGTAGGCAGCGTTTGCCTCCACGAAGGCTGAGTGGACGATCTCTACTTTTTCGGAAACCATTTTGTAGTAGGCGGCGGCCACGCCACAGTGTGGCTGTCTGCCAATACCGAAGTTGGCCATTTCCGCTAGGTAATAGTATGCCTCCATCCACCCCCAGCGGGCGGCAAGCTCGAAGTAACGTGTTGCGGTTGCCACGTCTCCTTGATCCAAGAACAGAGCACCCAATCGTGATTCTGACGCTGGTGAATCTTGATCTGCCGCTGCTTTGAAGTAGTGAGATGCCTTGAAGCCATCCTGGGGAACCCCATAGCCCTTGAGATACATCAGACCCATCCAATGCTGGCACAGAGAGTCCCCGTTCGCAATACCCCGGCGGAACCATGTGAGGGCAGTCGGGTAGTGTTGTTCAACCCCCTCTCCGCGAAGGTACATCAGACCAATATGTCCTGCGGCCTTGGATGCCAGCTTATCAAGCCCTGCAGGGGGATTTGAGTTGACGGACCCATCCTTGTTCCAATATTTCTTGGTAACAACCTTGAAATACCTCATAGCCCGTCGGAAATTCCGCGGTAGGCCCCGGGCGCCGTCAAAATTCATCTTACCCAGAGTGTACGTAGCCTTCAGCTCACCCTTCCGGGACATGAGGTCCAAGTACTCCAGGATATCTTCCACGCTAGCCTCAGTAGTGACATGGGCAGCGTCCCGCGCATTTTGACCCGAGCTCGACACACTGGCTCCTGGACCATAGACACCACCTTCTTCATCTGCCCAACGATAAGATTCTCTAACCAAAGCCCTACCACCCGGAGGGCCTGAGCGGTAGTACTCGATCGCCTTGTCCGCAACCTTCTTGTAGTAATGGATCGCGTGGTTACAATCCTTTGGTGTTCCAATACCAGTGTGGTAGCGATACGCAAGTGTCATCTCCGAACGGATGTTCCCTGCTTCCGCTGCAAACTCATGGTACATCAGGGCCTTCGCCTGGTCAGGTTCGACCGCACCACCAATTCCCGTCGCATACATGAACCCGACCATGCTCTGCGCTGTGTTGTTTCCGTCCAGCCATGCCAGTTCATGGTACCAGCGAAAGGCCTCTTTGAAATCGCGGGGATGGGAGAAGTTGCCATAAAAGTTCATCTCGGCTAACAGAAACATCGCATCCGGGTCTCGGTCTTCGTCTGCGGCTGTTTTCAGCTCCTCCACTGCTCCTGCGAGGTGTTTGTTCAGTTTCCGCTCGGGTTTTTCGGTCGAAGGGCCATTCAAGAATAGCAGTCGGACTGTTTGGCGGCCATAGTATACGGCGGTCCCTAGTAATCCTCTCGACTTGTCGGATTGAAGGACTGGGTTCTTTATTGTGCGGAGGGTATCCCAGGCGTTCTCAACTCGTTCTATTATCAGACAATAAAGGCAATCAGTATCAAGCGTCGGTCGATAAGGCGGAAGCTGTCTATACTCACGAGTCATGGGTCGGGGTTCTGCTTCCCCTGTCTGGAACGTAAATTCGTGGTCTGCATCGTGGCCGATCGCCCCGGACGCTGTTTGATCAGTGAGCGGTTGACCAGGCCCAGCTGCGCATGTCTGCAATAGCACTAGAAAGGGGTGTCAGCTTCCGTTGTGGCCCTGCAGGTGCGGGCAGACTTACGCAGGGCCGAGAGAAAGTGTGAGAGCGGCGTCCTCATAATACCTGCGAAATATTGATGTAATGTTGGAGTGTGAAGCACATTGCGACTCTCAGAGCAATGTGAATCACAAAAGCGACAGAGCTGGAGATCGTGATATGATGCAGTTCCAGAGTACGGGCCACTTGGCTTGACGGAGCTTCATTTTGCCGAGGGCCAATCACTACATCGTACCTGCGTACAATGTATGCTTTCTATGTACACACATTTTTTTCTATATATACAGTATGTATATGTTCCATGAGCCTTCTTGTCTGTCTCATTTAACATCCATATCCTTCAATTCGTACGTGATACTAGGACATAAGCCTTTCATAGCCTAGACTTATCTAGACTATCTATGAAAGCGGTGAGAATCTATAAGCTGCCAGTCTAAAAATCCAGCGATCTGGAGACATCATTGTTTTCTACTCGTACAAGTTATAGGAAAAAGATTGGAAATGTCATAAACATTGTTGGAATCTACTCGTCCCCTCTGGAGGGTGTGTACAAAACGGAAAGCAGCAGTCAAAATACATCCCCGGTGCGCTTTCCATGCAATAAAAACGATTTGGGCAATTCCCCAATGGCAACCAAAGTCCACACTCCTATCTCACAGTATCCATGGACTGTGTCCTTGATTCTGATCGAAGTATGTGCGGTCCTCGCATTCACGATGGGGGAATAGTGCGCCGGGAAAAGCAAAGCAATCTCAAAACGATGGCGGCTGAAACCAAACTGGCACGTGTTGTTGGTTAATTGGTTTAAAAAAAAAAGACTAAACAGATACAATGAATGGGAGGCAATCCCCGATATCGTGAAAAAAAATTATCAATCATTTCCGAGATGTGTAGCGCGAAAAGATCTTTTTTGTTTAGTGGTTGAGGTTCAAGTTGATGATGGTACAGGTGTGGAACACGAGCCTGAAACAGGCAAGCCATCTTCGTACCATACTCACTGGCGCGGCGACGTAGGGCTGTACGCCGGGGATGTCGGGCTGTACGCAGGAGAGGTAGGCGACGTCGGGGAACCAGAGAAGTTGGGAGAAGTCGGCGAGTATGACTGGGGGCTCGTAGGAGACCAACCAGGCGAAGTTGGTGTGTACTTGGGAGAGGTGGGAGATGTTGGAGACAGGTGCCGAGCACCACCAATCGCAGGACTGGTGGGGCTGTAGCTCGGCGAAGTCGGACTGAACGCCGGCGACGCCGGACTAAAGCTGGGGGAAGTCGGACTGTAGTTAGGCGACGTCGGCGAGAACCCAGGCGAAGTTGGAGAGTAGGAAGGAGAGGTGGGCGACGCTTGGCCGTACGCAGGCGAAGTCGGCGAGTAGGCCGGAGACGTGGGTTGGAACGTTGGGCTGGAAGGCGAGAAACCAGGAGAGGTCATCATTCGCGGGCTTGTCATGCCGATGCCAGGAGAGGTCGGTGAATAACTTGAGGACGGAGAGTATCCAGGAGACGTCGGGCTAGTATTGAAGGGGCTTGTTGGAGAGTAGGCACCGGGGCTGCGAGCCGCAGGACTGAACCCACCACCAAAGGCACCACTAGCCTGGTACTCGGTGAGACCTCCAGTAGGCTCCTGGCCAATCTGGTGCATAGGCGAGAACGTCGAATCGGGGTCGCTACCAGCCATGTATGGGGAACTGGCCATTGGAGAACCAGTGTCATACTGAGTGGCAGCACCGTCGGAGATGATGGCATCCTTCGCGCCGACCGCACCCATAAGGCCGTAGCGTGCATTGTTGGACACGACGGTATTGAGCAAGCTCTGGTCCAGGTAGACGTCGAACTCACCCGTTCCGGCGGGCGCCATCTGTCCAAGGATCAAGTTCTCCGACACACCACGGCAATCGTCGAGCTCTCCGAACGCAGCAGCCTCGAGCAAAATTTCAACTGTCTCTTCGAACGAACAACGCATGAGGGCACCGTTGTCGGCACGGTTGATACCATGACGAGTAACAGGAGTCAGATAACCTCGAACAGTCATGACATCGACCAGCAGAGCCAAGTGACGGTGATTAACGTAAGAACCGTCAAAGGCAAGCACCAGGGTCAATTCGCGAAGCACAGCTGTACGGGCAGCCTCAATACCAAAGACCTCGAAAATCTCAATAAACTGGTTGGAGTAAGTGCGTGAAGCGTCGACGCCCGGAATCGTGAGAACAGCAGCCAAAGAAGATCCACTGGTTTCCAGAACCCATTCCTTGCAAAGAGGATCGGACTTGCTGGTGTGGAGCGTACCATCCTCGATGACTCGGACCTTGCCCTTCTCGTTGATGAAAGCACGGTCAACGCCGGGAACACCACGAAGCGTCAAAGTGTCCAGCAGGTGCTGCTCAAGTTTCTTCAAGGTGACGTCGTACTCAACATCTTCGTCATCGTCATCCTTGTAGTCTTGGACCTGGCGGATACGAATAACTTGCTCGTCGGCGTTGTTATCACTGAAGATGACTGCAATATCACGAGGATAAGCCTGCTTGATTCTTGTAGCAACGTCCTGCACCGTGAGACCCTTGTCAAGAAGAGAGCGGCGACTGAGAACGATACGGAGCAACCACTTCGACTGCTGAGATGCGTCGTCGGCATTATCTTCAGGAATGATGAAGTATGACTCCACCATATCTCTATCATTTTCGATGACAGTGGACTGAATATCGGGATCATAGTAAATCTCCGTCGACTCCGTCACGGACCGCAGACTAGTGTGCTCCACGAGACTTCGAAGGAGTTTGGCACCCTCCTTATCATGGGTCTTCATACCTTCTTGGTACACAGTCATGGATGGCGTCTTGATGTTCGTGGCAACGTTGAGAATTTCCTTGAGACGTGGAACACCAAGCGTGACGTTCTTGGACGACACACCAGCAAAGTGGAAAGTGTTCAGTGTCATCTGAGTCGCGGGCTCACCAATAGACTGAGCCGCAAGAACACCGACCATTTCACCAGGGTTGGCTGCCGCACGAGCGAAACGGCTTTCAACAGCACCCAATACGTGCTGGAATGCTAGCTTGTTGAGCGAATAGTCTGTGACAAGCCGGCGGAAAGCGAGGCGACTGCGCAGTTGCGCCTTGAACAGCAAGGTCGCATTAACCTGAGCCTCCTGTGAGATGGGATCGTTACCACGAACGATGATCAAGCGATCCAAGAGCTGCTGAACTTGAGGAATGACCTCAGCAGGGTGCAAATCACTGATTGTGCCCTCGCGGATACGGAAAGTAGTTCGGGCCATCTCCAGGATACGCTGAACATTAATGGGAAGCTGCATCATCTCTTCATCCTCCTTGACCACAGTGCGCAGGAATTCACGGTCTTTCAGAATGGCCTCCCATTCTTCGTCAAAGTATCTCTGTACTTCCATGTCGCCGGCAATTTCATTGGCTTGCTCCAAAATCTCTGGGCCGAGGGTTCGCTCGGGGTCCATAACATCAACACGGAATCGCTCCCTGAGCTTCGCATCAGAACACTTGATGTGATCGACACGCTGGTTCTCAATGTGAGCACCGTCGAGACCATCCTCTCCGTAGATGAACTGAATGATATCTCCAAGGGAGTTTCGCACAGTTCCATCATATTTGACCATGACTTCCTCGAGGGCCTTGACCAGCTTACGCTGGATGTAACCAGTTTCGGCAGTCTTGACAGCAGTATCAATCAGACCTTCACGACCAGCCATGGCGTGGAAGAAAAACTCGGTAGGAGTCAATCCACGGAGGTATGAGTTCTCGACGAATCCACGAGACTCGGGAGAGTAATCGTCCTTAGTGAAGTGAGGAAGGGTACGATACTTGAAACCGAACGGAATACGCTTGCCTTCCACGGACTGTTGTCCGACAAGAGCAGTCATCTGCGAAATATTGATTGCCGAACCCTTGGAACCGGACCGCGCCATTTGAATAGCGTTGTTCAGATCCTTAAGACTCTTTTCTGTGGCATCACCGGCTTCGTCACGGGCGTTGTTCAAAGCACGAGAGACCTTGCTCTCGAATGTCTCACGCACATTCATACCAGGAAGGGCCTCCAATGTGTTCTCAGTGGCACTAGCCGTAATCTCCTCGACTTCCTGTTTTCTGTTCCGGACGGCCTCCTCGATCTTATTGATAGTAAGTTGATCGGGAATGGTGTCACCGATACCGATACTGAAACCGTTGTGCAGCAACCAGTAGCCAACGATGGTTTGGGCTCCAGTAAAGAATTTGACACAGGTGTCAGGACCGTACTCGTTGAAGATGGTGTGAATGACACCACCGCCACTTGCACCGACCGTCTTCTTGGAAAGCATACCATACATCAGCTGTCCACCATGAATCAAGAGACCTCCATCATTGAGAGGACTGAACTTCTCAGCCAAAGGCGAGCCGTCCTTGTCAACCCGCAGAAGGTTGAGACCTGAGGGGAAAGCCATGCTGATCATCTGCTTTCCAGTCCAACGGGGACGAGGCTTAATAATTGCGGGAGGAGGAATGGCACCATCCCAATCAGGGACCCACAGCATGAGGTTCATAACTTGGTCCTTGGTGAGGAAGGTGTCACGACGGCAGATCTTGTAGATACCGCAGAGGGTATCCTGCACAATACCCATCAGAGGACCGTTACGCTGCGGAGAAACAATGTTCTTCGGGACCAAAGTGAGCTCAGCGAGCTCAGCGCGCGCCTCTTCGCCCTGGGGGACGTGCAAATTCATCTCATCGCCATCGAAATCAGCGTTGTAGGGACTGGTAACAGACAAGTTCATCCGGAATGTGGAGAAGGGCATAACGCGGACGCGGTGACCCATCATGGATTCCTTGTGCAAAGACGGCTGACGGTTAAACAGAATGTAATCGCCGTTGTCAAGATGGCGCTCGACCTTCCAACCATACAGCAGTTGCTGAGCACCTGCACGCTTAGCGTGACGAAGATCAATTCGTTCACCGTTGTCGCGAACGATATATCGGGCACCAGGATGAATGTTGGGTCCATTTGCAACCAACTTCTGGAGCTTCTCAATATTGTAGGGGGTGACAACTTCCGGGTAGGTGAGAATACGAGCGGTCGAGTATGGGACACCAACTTCGTCCAGCCTCAAATTGGGGTCACCTGTGATAACGGTACGCGCGGAGAAGTCGACACGCTTTCCCATCAAGTTCTGACGCAAACGACCCTCTTTACCTTTCAAACGACTGCGAAGAGCCTTCACAGGGCGGTTTCCCTTTTGCATCGCGGTGGGTTGACCAGCAATGTCATTGTCCATGTAAGTGGCAATGTGGTACTGAAGAAGAGATTCGAATTCACGAATAACGTGCTCGGGTGCTCCCTCCTGCTCACAACGTTGAACATTCTGGTTCGCACGAACAATTTCCGCGAGCTTATAAGTCAGATCATCCTCACCGCGAGCGCCGCTTGTGGTTCCCATTACAACGCTAGGGCGGACGGTCGGAGGAGGGACAGGCAAGACAGTAAGAATCATCCACTCAGGACGAGCGTAGTCATTGCTGAGGCCCATGATCCGGACATCTTCCACGGAGATGTTTCGGAAGATGTTCAAGGCCATTGTGGGAGTAATGACTTTCTTCTCCGGTTGAGCCATCTCATCCTCCATCATAGCCTTGCTAGGCTTCCATGTTCCAACCAAACAGATGCCTTCCTTCCTAACGGTGGGCTGGGCGTTACCGCAGCCGCCATGGGAGCGGCCCTTCTGGGAGTCCTTCGAAAATTCCTCATCATCAGCAGGCGCGTCGGCTTCACATACCAGGACATCCTTGGAGAGACGCCAGATAGAATCAAAGCGGCGCTTGGGATCACGGAAACGGAGGGCTTCTGTAAACTTTGAATCGGCCTGGTATCCATGTTAGCGAAGTGAACCACTCAAGATTTGCCATCCCAGTAGGGATGACTAACCGTGTTCGCCTTGATCTTTCCACAGTTGTGGCAAACTGTCTCCAAAAGCTTCTTGATTTTAGTCAAAAAACCTAGAGTGGGGCGAAGAGTCAGTATGAGCAGAAAAGACGAGAGGAAACCGAGGCAAATATGTTACGCACCAATATGGAACACTGGAGACGCGAGCTCAATGTGACCAAAATGTCCAGGGCATTCTTTCGGACCCTCTTCGCAAGTCTCGCAGTTGTATTGACGGTCGATTGTACCCAGGCGAGGGTCGTTGATACCCTTAGTCCGAGGCCGTTGACGTTGATCGTCCTATTGGTTATTTAGCAATCAAATCGCCATGCGCATAGGAAGGGGAGATCTTGTCTTAAAATAATGCATCCGCCGGCAAAAAAAAAACCAAGAGTTACTCACCAGTGTTTCGGGATATTCAATGTGGACCACACTCATGCGCTTGATCTCCTCGGGGGCGAAGAGACCGAACTGGATTTCCTTGATGGTGCGCAAAGGCGCCTTGGAGTAAGGGAAAAACACGTTAGACATGATGGCGAAGTTGTGGTGACAAAAATTGAGGATGAAAAAAAGGCGGAGATGACCGGTCACGTAGGCGTGTCGTAAAACCGGTATAAACGACAAAAATTGGCTCGTAAATGTCGCGAAAAAGGAAGTGAAAGACTCGCTCGTAAGCTAGAAGTCAGATTTACACGTAGCGACGATGAAAAGAGGGTGGTGTGGAAGCAGCTGGCCGGCTGAGGCCTTGGACAGCCCTTGCCACGAGGGCGCCGGCGACCTATAGGTCCCGAACGTCACGGAGCAGAAAAGAAGGAGAAAAGGAGCGCGGCAAAGAAGATCGTCTTCGCGGTATCTTGAAGAAGTATCGCGATGGGAAAGCGCGATCCTCCTGGGTTGTGGAGGCGGTGGGTGATGGCGTGTCGGGGAGATGAAAGGGTGATGTTCTGAGGTTGCCTCACTGTGATGGGGCTTGAGTTTTCCCTGCAAGATGGTTGCCGTCTAAACGGGACCTCACCGCATTGGCAGAACTGTGGGTACCTTCCCCAAAGTGCAGGCCACGGCAGAATTAATGTTCCATTCACTATGGTAGATGAAAGCGGTGAATATTGCAGGCATCAATATTAGGCATCGATATGGGTTTGTTTTAGATGGGCTTCTGTCACCGCCCTAGCACCTTCCAGATTCTATGGATCTCGACACTGGCAGTACTAAGATTATTGTCACTACAGAAAAGCTACCTTAGGTGTTTCACTAAATCTGGATTTCACACTGGATGCTTGAACAACAGTTATTATCCTGGCCTATCTAACAGGCTGAGGACTCACTTTGAATTCAAATATCCACCTCCATCTACATGCACCTAGCGCAATGAATCTCTCACTCGTCGATCCATTTGTCCTGGCGCAGGAATACCCAGATACTTTGACTGAGAAGCTGAGTATGTGCCACTCACACCTGCTCACAATGAAGACTACTGACCGAGTCAACACGACATAGGCAGCGGCCATGCGACATGTTTAAGCTTCAACCACAAAGGCGACTACCTTGCCTCCGGACGAGTTCGTGAACCCCAATACCACAAATGACATATATTCGTATAATGGCCTGAAGACTAAGATATCTTCTAGGTGGATGGCACAGTGGTGATCTTCGACATTGAGACCAATGGCGTGGCGCGCAAATTGCAAGGCCACACGCGACAGATCCAGTCTCTGAGGTACAATTTCCCCAGACTTAACACACTGATCTACATTGAAGCGCAAAATACTGACTCCATGCCCAGCTGGTCTCGTGATGGCCGCTACCTCCTCACCTCTTCCCAGGACTGGAAATGCATCCTATGGGATCTCAAAGACGGCTCACGAATCCGCACAGTCCGATTCGAGGCGCCGGTCTACATCGCCGAGCTACACCCGTTCAACCAGTACAGCTACCACAATTCCCCAACTATCTGTCAAGCCATATCAACTAACCCCTTCTCCAGTCTCCTTTTCGTCGCCTCCCTCTTCGAAGACCAACCCGTACTGGTAGACGTCTCCGGCACAAAACCAATCAAACTAATCCTCCCCTCCGCGCCCTTCAGACCGCAAGCCCCAAACGGCGAAGAAGTCGACCCGGCCGTAGCGGCCAAACAAGCAGCGCAAGACGCCAAGCATTCGACATGCGTAACCATCTTCACAGCCTTCGGTAACCACATCATCGCCGGCACCTCAAAAGGCTGGATCAACATAATTGAAACCCAAACCTGCACCACAATCCACTCAATGCGCCTCTGCAACGGAGTCGTAATTCTCCTCCGCCTAGCCAGCAACGGGCGCGACCTCCTGGTCAACAGCTCGGACCGAGTAATCCGCACAGTGCTTATGCCCGACCTATCACAGCTAGGAATCGACCTAGAACCATCCGCGATAAAACTGCACGTGGAGCACAAGTTCCAAGACGTGGTCAACCGACTCAGCTGGAACCACGTGACATTCTCATCGACAGGCGAGTTCGTGACCGCGACAACATTCATGAACCCGGATATCTACGTGTGGGAACGCAGCCACGGGTCGCTTGTCAAGATCCTGGAGGGACCGCGGGAGGAGCTTGGCGTTGTGGAATGGCACCCGAGCAGACCTATGGTTGTGGCGTGCGGACTGGAGACTGGGTGCATCTACACGTGGTCTATCGTGTCGCCGCAGAAATGGTCGGCACTGGCGCCGGATTTCGGCGAGGTCGAGGAGAACGTTGAGTACATGGAAGCGGAAGATGAGTTTGATGTTCACCCGGCTGAGCAGGTGCATCAGCGACGGCTGGATCAGGAGGATGAGGAGCCTGATGCTGTGACTCCTGATTTGATGAAGGGGGATGTGGATGCTGATGGCATTGAGCCGTTCAACCTGCCTGTCTTGCTCGATGTTGAGGACAGTGATTCTGGCGAGGATGTTGTTGCTGTTGGGCCGGGAACTATGCGGCGCAGGACACCTGGGGCTGGCAGAGAGGGTGTCAATGGTGATGCGGAGAAGCCTGCGGCTAATGGGGCTTCGAGGGGTACTACCAGGAGTCGGCGACGATAGTTGGCTGGTCTTTTTTTTTGTGCCTGCGTTACACTTTCCATCTTCTACCTCCTCCAACCCCATTGTTGGAGGGTTGTACTAGCATATCCTGCATATGGTGGCGTTCATTTTTAGGGCGGAGATGATTGATCTGCAATCCGGCGTTGGGGGAAAGCTTCTGAGCTTTGTTTGATTTCTACTGTAGCCAATGAATGTATGACAATATTTGAAATACAATGCAGCCAGGTCATGATGATTAAAAACGTAAGTGCAGCTATGTTCAAATGAGCTATGTACATGTATATCTTTCTAAGACTTGAGATCTTCTTTATGAAGAAGCGGCAGTGATTGCAAGAACTAATAGAACCTGCCATCATACGTAACGGAATCAACAGCTGTTATAGTATTGAAGTGGACTTGCTGATCTGTCTCGGCAAATGCATTATAGCAATGCAGGGACCATTAGACTCTAAGAAATGGGGAAAGAGATATAGAAAATAAGAATACAAAGAGCAAAAGTTGATTCCAAAGAGACATATTGACTCGTCATTTAGGTAGCAAATGGAAGTGTCAGAAACTATAGGAAGGTAATGTGGGTATATGTCACAAGCCGAAAAGATTCGAAATCCTTGGCTGAAAGCCCAAAACGCCAAGAGATGCAAAGTCCAGCATGCAGAGAAAAGAAACAAAGAAAAATAAAGGATAGTAGCGTAGAAAGAAAAGAAAAAAAAAATCATGACCCGAGTGGGCCGTGGGTGCATCGAAAGAAAAGAATCACATACACATCGTGTCAGCCGTCAATCCCCCAAACCTCCTAATAAATCAATTAAACAATGTTCATGGTCCTGTCAGCTGTTGGGGTTGGGACCTATAAGGCCAACGCTTTTCGAAGATAGTATCTCGGTGATCATATTGACCTGGACCTGGAACAAAACAAAATCATAAAGCTGTGCTGAAAAGCCGTTGGCTCTGGAGCGAACATCTAGTTGCAGCTACTTGCAGCAGAAGCACATTCAACGTGACGTGGCAAGTGCACACTCTGGGCCAGCCAAAGTCTGTGAGCGGCGGCCCGGTCTATTTTGAATCTGATGATCAAGCAAGTGTGCTTCTCGGGCAATAAAGCCAACATTGTCGAGATCACCTCCTTCAGATTGAAGGAGTTGCCCTTTGGTCGACTGCCATGTGGGTAGGTAGGATTCACCAGCTTATTCCTCGACAGGTTTTCGGGCTTGATAAATGTGCAGAAGGTTGTATGTTTTGATCTTTTTGTCAAAAGCTTCCTGTTTGACATCGAATGCAATGCGGTCAATCTGCTCCCTAGACCAAGAAAGAACCCGACTGAAAGGAGCCAAACACAATGGCTGAACGCTCTCGGAGATAGCCAAATTGTACCAGCGCGCAACCTTCTGCTCATGGGAATCGGGATGCCATGGATTCATAGGCAATCCCACGATCTGGTGGTCGATCTCGGTGAAGCCCGCTTCTTGCAAATTCCGGATCGTGTCGTTCGAGCTATGTGCCAGGGGCCGCATAGTAGCTTCAGTTGCATGCTTCAAGGTCGAGTACCAGCTAGCCATAGCGCGTCCCGGTTCACCATCTTTGTCCTCGACGCGGGGTCGGAAATCGATTTCGACCTGCTCAAACCAGGCGCCCGGCCGGAGATGCTGAAAGACTCGTCGGTAGAGACTTGGCCAATTTGCGACGCTACCACACCCCATCTGCATGTGGATGATATCCCATGAATCCTCCCCCATGGTCCAGGGCGCTTCAAAGTCGAACGGAGCATAGAAATCGCAGTTCTTCGGGAAATTGGCCGGTTGTATTGGCGCAAGGTCAACACCGACCACGAAGGAATCCGGGTATTTGTTCGCAACTTCGATGCTCCATATGCCTGTTCCACAGCCCAGGTCGAGAATTTTGGATCCCGGGGGATGTGGTGCATAGATTAAGCCATCCTCGGCCCGTGCAACCGTGAACAGTTTGTGGAATATGTCGAGACGGTCCTGTTCTTCCTCGTCGCACGGGAGCGGGTAGATTCCTTTCCGGTAGCCATGGTACAATCGGCCGTTCTCTTTGTGATTCGGGTATTTCTCGGGTATCCTGTTAGGACGGAGGTCAGTCAACGAATTGCACGATTAAGGGCAGAGCGACGTACTTGCGATCGGAAACTATGATCGGAGATGATCGCGATACTTGAGATGTGTTCGACGCGTGGGATGCCTGTGTGGCCACCGATCCATTGCTAGTAAAGCGAGCGTTCCTGCGGGGATCTTTATCGACCGGATCTCTGTCGATCAGTGTGTACAGGTCCATCGCGGAAGACGGTTGTCGTGATCGGACTCGATCACTCGCCGCCACGGAGTGTGAATAGTATCTGGAGTGGCCGGCATCGGTCGCTGGGGTTGACTCGGACTTGTATCGTTTGGGTGGGGGTGGAGAATTTATAGGAGGCAGGTGTCGCAGCCTGGAATCCCCGTTCGTAAACATTTTTGGCAGCGATGTGCGGTCAGGCGTGGGAAAGGAGCCAGATGACTCTCTGTAAGACATCGCGTTGTTATTGGCGATCATTCAATGAATCGCGCACGATATCTAAGGCGGTTGTAGATCGACCGATCATGCCAGTCATAAAAATATAAAAAAACAAGAAGAAGAAAAGAGCAAATTAGCTGCGAGGTGCTAAAAGCGCAGCGAAAGCACACGAGCAAGTGATGGTTAAATGAGACGTTCTGCGATAGGGCGGTACACACGGTCGGGTGAAGCTCAGGGATTCGAGATTCTCAAGAAAGCTCAAATCGCAGTTTTCCAGCCTCAGCTCCAGCTCCAATTCTTAGTCAAAAGAGAAAGCTGAAGGGGTTTTTAAGGTTGTAAAGCTGTGGTTTTCCTCCCGTCGGGGCCCACGGGTAGCGGGGTGCGGGTAAAGCAGCCAAAAGAATGAAATGGGATGAGAGAGGAAATATGAAAAAGAAGTTGCAGGATTCGGTGCAGAAGTACAGTGGAAAGGGAAAAGTACGACCCGCGCTACCGGTACTGTATCCCAATGGTCCAAGGGTACTTGGGCATATTTGACAATTCAATTCATACGGAGTACTCCGTACGGGAGTAATCTCATGAATATATTATATTTGTACCTATACTTTTATGCACATGCATCCCAGAGCACCGGTTGAAGGAGCTAAACCAATTAGGGCTTTGACCTTAATCCTGGTAATATATAACTCTTTTGCTTTTTGCTTTTTGCTTTTTGCTTTTTGCTTTTTATTCTATAATTTGAACTTCAAGATGTTCTTTCATATATTCCATCGGGAATAACCTTGGAATTACTCCGTACTACGTATTCCGTAAGAGCTAGATCGACGTGGACCAAAAAGTCGACCCACGTCCTAGCGGGATGCGGACCGTCTGGGCCTCTCATTTCCAGGGATTCCACTTGCTAAGGGCCCAACGGAGTGGTAGAGGGCGTCAACCTAGCCCTGGAGGTAACCTAGGGTAAAACCTAGGGTAAGCGTGCCGCTTCCCCGATCCAAGGTTTCTGTCTGGGCTTAGTAGTAATATGTCAATATATCAATATATCTGACTGTGCCACCTGGGTAACCTTGGAATGTCTACTCCGTATGTACTCCCACTGTCACACAAAGAGCCTGCATTCTGCTCCAAAAAAGACCCTGCAATTTGTATTATGCAGTGATGAATCCCCCCTCACCGCAACCCAAAGCCCTGGGTCTGTGGATGTGACATTCGAGCGAATCAAAGTGGGATACCACGTCTTGGCCAATACCTTAGCTGCACCTTGACCCTGGTAATCTTTTACTAGGATGGGTTCTTTTGTGATATGTAAGAATGACCCTAACACCACCGCGCTGGGTCATGACTCGTGTCCAAGCCTGTACATTTATTTTTCTACACCTTACTTACTCTGTACTCCGTATATATGATGCATTATACGTGTCAACATTCCCCAAGCCCAATAATGATGGGTGTTTCCCCATTGGGGTATTTGGCTTCCCAGGACACCGGTTCCACCCCCCGGGGCTGATTCATATTACTAATAAAACGTGTTCGGACTAGCCCTCTTCATTATTACTTCGTAGAGAAATATGGCGTCGGTCAAATCCCGAGATCGGTGTCTCCTTGCATGATACATACTCTGTACGGAGTAGTTACTCTGTTAATATACAAAGTTGAACATTTCATGCCTTCCGGCGCTTACCGCGCTGATCGCTGATCTTCCCAGCCACTAACGCCGACTCGCCATTGAGGGATATTGATCGTCGCAGGCCTGGTTTCAGGCCTGCTCAACACTCTTAGTACTGACAGCTCATGGGATTAGGTTTAGCAAGAGTGCATGGCGCATTTGGTAGGACTAACATCTAGCGTACATTGTACATACTTTTTTGCCCCTTATTCTCGGGGGTTCTCTTTTCGATTTCGAGGTTTCACATTTTACAGGAAGCAAAATGAATATTTTTGCATTCTATTACTCTACTATGTACTCCGTACTACATATGTAGTTGGGTAGACAAGTGCGTAGTAAGATATAGGACTACAGGATGTACACCTGGGCATCGTACATCGTACACAGCGGGAGCCCCACGTCCCGCTAGGAAAAATTTCCCTGGCCAAACTCCCGAAACTCACCATCCAAAGGAAATTGATTAAATTGCTACGCCAATAATACGTAAAACTCAAATATCACCATACAACACAGTCGGAGACATTACATTACTCAAGTCGGAAACATTAATCGCTGCCCCTCGCATCAGCCACAGCGGGATCCCCCCAGATATCAATATCTCTATATCAAATTCAGGGAAATCGAACCACACCGCAGGAACGGGACTAGCAGCTCCCAAATTCCACAATGCACACACTCAAAGCAGTGGCCTCATCGACTCTGTCGCTCCCGGCGGATAATTACATCTACTCGATCGTCCCGTCAGCGCCGGGGACATTTGCCGCCATCTCATCAGATGATTCACTACGCGTGTTTGACGCCGCCGATCTCGATCGCGGGTCTGTGGTCTCGAACGCTACTCACAATGGCGGTGTTACCACGCTGCGGAGCTTCGCCATGGGCGAGTCGCACCTCTTGGCTACGGGTGGCCGCGATGGGAAGGTGAAGGTTTGGGATGTTCGGGCTGGGAATGGGAGTCCGGTTGTGGAGATGGAAACGGGTGAGTTTGTTTTGGTTAAGCTTTTTTTTTATTGTTTTCTTTTTGAGGATCTCCAAGGTTTATGCGTCTATTGCCTTTTTGGGTTGACTTCGGGAACCTGCGTGCATTTTGTGTTTTGCTGCTGCATTTCCGCTGGCCTGTTACTGGTTTTCGGGGAATTTATCGGCGCTTTGATTCAAGGATGGTCCTGGCTTAGTTGGGGTTTTCGTCGCTTTTTTATCAAATGTATATTGGCTAATACATTGTCTATGTGTCCAGCGAAAAAGTCGCCTGTTCTGTCTGTGGCTTGGAACCCGGAGACAAACACTATTGTTGCGGGAACGGAGCTTGTCTCTTCGCAGGCTGTTGTTGCATTCTGGTAAGTTTCATCTTATACTTCAGTTTTGATCTGAATCCTGGGCCCACCATTATCATTCGATAACTGCATCAGGATATGTCTTCCAACCATAAGACAAGAACAAATGTGCTCTATTATCAAACCCCAGTCCCACTAACCAACAAATAGGGATATCCGCTCCCCCCAGGAATTCCGCCTCCAATATGTGGAGAGCCACAATGACGATATCACCGAGGTAAGTGTACCTCGATTCTAAGCCCGGCGCCCCCAACATCCCCCACCATCCAATCCAACACCCACATGCAGCACCAGCCAGGCTTACCATTACATCGGCACCTTGCCTGTTACCGGTGGTACACAGCTCCAATATCACCCGACGCGCAGCAACATCTTACTCTCCGGCAGCACGGACGGACTAGTGAACATCTACGATACGACCATAACAGACGAAGACGAAGCCCTGGTTCAAGTGATCAACCACGGCTCCGTACATCATGCCGGGTTCCTGTCGGAAAGCACGATCTTCGCCCTGAGCCACGACGAGCACTTCTCCGTGTACCCGGCCACAAACCCGGACGATGCCTCGCAGGAGCCCGAGCCCGTGCATTTCGGTGACGTGCGAGACCCGCTGGGCTGCGAGTATGTTGCGCAGTTGTGCGTCGGCGCGCAGGGGCCGTATATCGCGGCTGGGAATAAGATGTATGTTTCTTGTCCTGTTTTGTGTCTTTTTGTGTTCGGTGCTCAGAATAAGAAGTCATGACATGCACACCTGCTGTTGTACTTGTGTTTTCTGGGTTCTTGGGCTGGGCTCGTGGGTGTTTGCTAATTAATGTCTTGCAGTGACAACCGTCTCGATCTTGTCCCACTCGTTTCCAGCCCGTCGTGGAAGCTGGACCGGGATAATCTGTGGCGCTTGCCCCGTGCTCATTGCGAGGAGGTTGTGCGCTCGGTGTATTTGGATGAGCAGGTACGTTTTTTGAGAAAGATTCTTGTTATGTTATATCTGTTTAGCTGTTTTTGGCTTTCGTCCTTTATGACCCTCGCTAACCCAATCTCCTCGATCAGAGTCAATCAGTTTTCACCTGTGGTGAGGATGGCTTCGTGCGAGCATGGAGGGCTGAAGAAAGTGATGCTCCAATCCAGTCTGGGTCTGCAAAGGCTCGGCCGAAGGAGAAGAAGAAGGATAGATTCAAGCCGTACTAGTCTGTGTACTGTGTGCGGGTGAATGCATCTGTTGCTGACAGTTGTCTGTTGTGTACCATTGGGTGTTTGGGTGTGGGTAAAAATAGATAGTCCTGCACTTAGGTCATATGAGGTTATGTCGTTATTATTTGAATTGCTGTAGTGTGTAGAATAAGTTGGTTGTTGTTGGGTTGGCAATATGTAGGTTGAAATATATTCCCAGACTATGACTGCTGTTAGGGCATAAATTTTGAAATTGAACCACATATTCTGAACAATACCAACTGAATCCAAATTATATGGTTTAAACTCTTTCCAAAAAATAAAAAGAAGAAACACAAAGCCATTAAGTATAATTGATAGAATTGAGGGGAAAGAAAAAGGAAGCAAAAAGAAGTAGTCGCGTCCGGGATCGAACTGGGAACCTTCTTGGATTAGGTATCAAATCGGATTTCCGACCGGACCCTGTAGGTCCAGTCAAATCTTTATCTCCAACATTTTTTTTCCGTATCAAAACTTTTCTTGCACAAGGGACTGGGCAACTCCCTCGACTTACCTCTTCTCCAATACCACAACATACATACTCACGACCCAACCGAAACACCCAATATTCAAAAACCAAACCCCATTGCCCATCCAAACCCCACCCTCCTAGGGCAAACACACCACCCACCACAAAATGGACGCCCAAGCCTACCTAATCAAGCACGGCTGGTCCGGCCCCGGCAACCCACTGAACCCAAACAAACGACCGGGCGCACACAGCGGCCTAGGCCTCACCCGACCGCTACTGGTCTCGCGCAAAGCCAACAACCACGGCGTGGGCAAGAAGACAACAAAAGACCCGACGAACCAGTGGTGGCTGCGGGGGTTCGAAGATGCGCTGAAGGGCGTGGGGAACGACAGCTTCGAGGCCAACTCTGCGCGGGAGAACAACGCGCTGACGAGTGAGCTATATCGGCATTTTGTGAGGGGGGGATGGGCTGGCTGGTACGCTTGAGGGGATGGACAAGAATAAGAAGGATGAGAGCGGGACATCTACTTCTACCTCGAAGTCGAAGCGCAAGCGGGAAAACGAGGACGATGGCGATCGCAAGGCTAGGAAGCTGGCGAAGGCTGCGCGGAAGGTGGAGAAGGCGGAGAGGAAGGAAGTGAGGCGTGTGAAGAGGGCTGCGAAGGTTGAGAGGAAGGAGAAGAAGACTGCTGGGAAGCTTGCGAAGAAGGCTTTGAAGGAGAAGAAGGGGACTGCTTCTGAGGAGGATTATCCAACGCCTACGTCGATTGATCAGGAGTCCGATCAGACTGGGGCGGAGACGACGGAGACGGATGAGGCTGTTGCGCGTTTAGCGGAGAAGGCGGCGAAAAAGGAAATGAAGGAAAGCAAGAAGGCTAAGAGCACAGGTGGTGATGTGGGTGCTGAAGATAAAGACTCGAAAAAGAAGTCTAAAAAGGAGAAGAAAGACAAGAAGGAGACCAAAGCCTGATGTGTCCATCTTGTTGTAATCATTTTGATATTGGAGCGCTTCGCATGCATGTCAGGGCCATGTACAAAATTCTGCATATACTATTTCTCTCACGCCATCTAGAAACCAAGATACCCTTTTTGTTTGGCGAAATCATGACTATTGCAACCATAGGAAATGTAAATGTCTATCTTTCATTTTTGTGTTGGAGCTAAGCTACGCTGGTAATTTTCCTGGATTACCGGATAGAATCCATGGCCTTTTCTCCCAGAACTCATCTTTGATGATATCGATATGGTCAACCACGACCTGTGCTTTCCGACGCAGTTTGCGAATCTTGTCTTGCTGTGACTTGGACTGTGTAGACTCGACCACCCCTGATTCTTCGTCTGCAGGTGATTTTGTAGGCTTAGGTTCCTCGAGCTCGTACTGTCGAGAGAAGTGTTAGAACAGGCTGAGACAGAAAGAAAAAGAGCATAGAATTTTGCGCATACCTGGCGATAAAGAACAGTGCCCTTTTTATAGATCTCCAGCTCGTTATTGTAGTTGATTCCAAACCGCTTGAAGAGAATCTCGTTTTTGTCGGCAGACACAGTACCCTGATATAAAGTCAATTACGGGTGCCTCGACTTGGAAGAACGATAGCCTACCTTTAACTCTTGCTCGGCGTCTGTGTTGCTCATTCCACCTTGCAGCACCATTGTCCAGAAGGTAGTGTTGTAGAGGTTATTGATATGACCTAGTTATATTGGTTAGCCAGAGGTGGTTCGAAATCAGGGCTTTGCGAGGCCATGTCGCCACAAAGTCACTTACAATCAACTTGTCTCCAGCTCATATAATCGCGGAGAATTCGGTTATTTGGGTAGATGACCGCACGTCCATCGAAAGAGGGTAGATACGGTGGCAGGAGAGGTCTTTCAGGGAAGTATTCGCTCCACTTGTAAATGTAGTGTGCTGTGAACGTAGAGACGATGGTGGTCACTAGTTTCCTGGATGGAAGAACTCCTATCAACGGCCGTTCTTGCAAATTATACCTCATGAGATAGAGGAAAAGAGGAAATACTCACCCATTGCGCCGCTCAAAAAGTTGGCAGTTGGGGTGGAAGACAAAACTGAGGCAGTACTGTTAATAATTGCGAGAATAGCGATGTGATGAGCTGCACATACCTGAATTCGTCACTGACTCCGTAGGCGATGCATAGGTCCGGAAGCTCTTTCATGACCTCAACTGCCGCGGCATTCATCAGATCCAGTGCCCGGCGGTCATTGGGTTTCGCGAAAGCATAGTGATCAGAGAGTCTATATAGGTTAGACTCTGAAGAGGTGAATGCGTCGTTGGATCAGAACAGCAGTCATATCATTATATCTTAGTAATATATGCATAGAAAGACATGTATATGGATGCCGTTTTTTTCTTTTTGCATGAAGATCCCTCATGCGTAGGGCATCCCCACAGGCATCGAGAGATGGAGACTCACTTGTGAAATCCTCGTCCATCAATGCGGACCACAATCCATGTACTGGGGAGCAGCACGTCCGGCTGCTCGAAGGACTTGACGTACTCAAACCTGTGTTCCTTTAGTAGCTAGATTGATTTTCTTTGGAATTTTCAATGCTTACCTTGAGTTCGCCATTGTTTGATCTACTGGACTTTGATGTTAAGCGATGAATAGGTCCGGAGAATGGATGTCTTTTTGTGCGGGCGATTTCTGCCCGCCCGCGTTTGCCCCAGTCAACTCGAGGGGTTCTTGATTTTGAGGACTTTCAAGTGATTTGATGGATAAAAATAATACAAAAATTTTCCGTGAAGACTACAAGCCACTACATATCTATGTATACCCAGGTAAATGCTATTCAGAATAAAAAAAAGTCCGTAAATAAAGATATTATGTTGTTGAGATGCATATCAAATACCCTAAGAGAGCAGGATACATATTTAGAATCTAGGAAATGAGAGTGAAAGGACAAAACCAAGATGGTCTATAGATACATCTGAGAATCATGAGTTCTCAATCTCAGGAATCTCTTCATCGCCAGTCTCACTGGCTCGCTCGCTTGTCTCGCTGGCCTTGTCAGACTTGCGGGACTTACGAGAAAAGAATCCCAGGCTGCTGCGGGTTGAGCGGTCAGCGGATGTCACACTGGAGACAGTGCTGTCGACACTCTTGCCGAGCTGCGCTTCGCTGGCCGCATCCTCGTCAATATCACCTTGCGAGGATTCACCTTTCTTAGAGAAAAGTCCCGAGCGATCCTTCCATGAGCTGAACTTGCTGGAACTGCCCTTGCGCGTGATCTTACGAATAAACGACTCCTTAGAGGCATTGTCCATGGAAGTCCCGGATGGCATGCGCTCCAACGATTCATATGAATCGCCTGTGAAAAGGGACAGGGAACGAGATGTGCGAGACTCCGAAGGAGACCCATCGTACTCGTGAAGATCAAAGGGACTATCGGGATCGTTGCCCTTGTCTGTGTCTATTTCCGACTTCTCTCCCGTGAGAACCGCCGTGAACGCCGGAGCAGCGGGATTCAGCTTTGGGGTCAGCGGTCGATGAGACGATGATGGACGAGTGCCAATCGGTGCCTGGAGGGGTCGATGGTGGCGGTCAAACGTGTCCTCTACGAAATCAGGCTCGCCGGTTAGACCGAGAGGAAGATGACCTGACGATCCATACTGGATGGAAGGTCGCCGAGAAGGAGCTCGAGACCAATTGGATGGCGCGGCCCAGTCAAACCCAAGCGGGCTGTTGCGGTGCCCAGCATTATCAGTGGATGGCCACCCGAAATGGCGGTTGTCTGTCGAGGGGTGCGGAAGCTGATTTGGTGTGTCGAATGAGGTCGACGAAGGCCGCGGGGACAGAGAACCGCGTCGAACGCCACCGAGAAGCGATGATGGATCAATAGGATCATGTCGAGGACTGAACTGATTGTATCCACTGCTAAGATCGGGATTCCCACGGGTGCCAGCACCACCGAAGCCAAACTTGCTGGATGAGAAGATATTTGAGAAAGCAGCTCGCCGGGAGGGCGCATGATCAGAAGAGCTGTCCATGGTGACACCGGCCGTGTTGCTTCGAGGAAACAATGACATCGGGTTTGCCCAATTACCAGTATAGCTCGATCGTCGCCGGCGTGCACCGATTGGATCCAGTTCGTCAATATTGCGAGGGAAGGATTGACTCTGGCCGGGTTTCAAAGAACCCAGCATAGGAGATTCATCTGCCAGGGTTTTTCCACGAGGCCGGTGAAAACCGAAAAGTCCAGAAAGCTTTCGGGATGCGCTTTTCGGCGCTTCCCCAGCAGCAGACAAATGAACACTTTGGGATTCGTCCTGCCGATTTTGAGCCTCTAGTGGACTGGCAAAGATACTGCCAGCCCGACTATCCGAAGAAACAGGCGACACTGGACCGTGACCGAAGCTGTCCAAGGGAGTGCTGGATGCCTCCATAGTTGCAAATCTTGGACGAGTTATAGATCGTGGGAATTCTGGCGATTCCTCGTCACCAAGGAGATCGGATGGCAAGAGGGCATCAGCGCGGGGACTCATTTGCGGGTTGTTGAAAGCAACTTCCGTATCTGAGCGCATGATCTCGGGGGGATCAGAAAGGCCAGGAAGGGCCATGCCGTTGTTGATATTGAAGAACGCAGAGCTCGGAGGAAATGTAGGTGACTGACCAGACGGGTTGTAGTTGACGCTACTTGGAAACGATGTTTCGATACCCGGAAAGTTCAGAGGGGAAGACATATTGCTGTTAAGTGAGCTGCGATGGCGACGGGGCCGAATGGTGGCAGTATTCGACATATCGAGTTCCAAGGTCGGGAAGGCAAAGGGTCCTGAGCTGCCGGGTCGTTGGGCTGTGAGCCACTTTAGACGTTCTTGGGCTTCTTGATATTGTTGCTGGGCTTGCGCATGCAGATTCACAAGTGTGGCATAGCGTGCGTGTAGGTTGCCCAGCTTGTGCTCCCACTGACGAGCTCGCTCGTTATCGATCCGATCCAGCTCCTTGCCATCTTCACTATCGCCTTCTTGTAATCCCATTCTTTCTTCTTCGAGCTTCTTAACTCGTCCTCCTTTGTCCTGGATCTCATCATCAATAGTCTTCATCTCCCCTTGCTCTTTCGCGATCTTGGCTCGGACCTCATCTGCGCGCACCGTCCCTTCTTCTTCAATTCTGGCCTTGTCATCCTTTGCCTGTATAGCATCGGAATTCATACGTGAAATCTTCTCCTGCCATCGCAAGATGTCATTCTTGCGCTTCTTGCGCTCCGCCTCTTTCTGCTGAAGAAGTCTCATGCGTTTTGACTTTTCGCCCTGCACGGTCCGGTTGACGCTTTCTAGCTTGTAGACATGCTTTTTCAAATCGCCACTTGCTTCGTCCTTCTCCCTGACACGCTTCCGCAGTTCACTGCGCTGTTTTTCGAGGTCCTTCAGCAGTGCAATATGCTCTTCTTCCTCCTCTGTCCCTTGCTTCTCCACATTCTCGTTCTCATGCTGTAACGACTTCAAGCGGTCTGCTAATTGCTCCAAAGTCTCGTCTTTGGCGGTCTTCGCTCTGCTCTTGAGTGTTTCTTCGAAATTGCCGTGTGAAACGTCCGTGGTTCCAGCTGCGGGCGAAATTTTCCGTCCGGCCGAGGGTCGTTTCCCCGGTAATTGGCCTGCACTATGCTCGCGAGACATTATTGGGGCAGATGGCGTTGGGAGGCCTACTGTAGACCTGGGGATCGAGGCGCGGATAATTGGACCCCCGGCGTTGCCATTCTGCTGGGCTTCGGACAGCGGAAGAGATTTTGTTCGGACATGGAGGATCGCACTGGGCGTCTGAAAGTTGGCGGCGCTAACGGAAAGAACACAAATATGATAGATGCTCCCGGGTAATAGATTTGATATTTCCACTGCTGTTTCTGCTCGTTTGGATTCACCGACTAGAGACCGTTAGTGCTTTGTTTAGTGACAGGAAAGAAACATATGTATCTTATACCTTTCACGTTATTCAGTTGAATGATATGCTTATGTATTGAGTTATGAAAGTCGGGCTGTTTCCAAGCAAGGCGGATTTCACGGGCTGTGATCTCTTCAAGGGTGACCTCTGGCGGCGGAGGAATGTCGAGACCGAGCTTCTCCACCAGGACCTCATTCGAAGTCTGACAGACTTGCCAAGCACGGTATAGAAGCCTTCATCCATTGGGTCAGCCAAGCAAAGGAAACGCTGGAATAGACAAAGGACTTACCATATCAAAGCCCACAAGATCGAGACGGCGAGAAAGAGGGCCATGACGCCTCGTACTCTCACGCGAGGGACCACTGCTGGGTAAGCGTCAAATGCAAAGTATAGCGGCTCATACATCCCAACGTCTGTAACCCATTGGACGTGGGCGGCGGGATACAGGAGAATTGCAAGGATCGCCAATGCTCTCCGGAGTGGGCGGTGGGATAGGCCCCCACGTGATCCAGAACTTTAGCCACCCAAAACAGGTTAGCGCTAAACCGGAGATCAGCCGCTACCGGACCTCGGCATTCTTTAAAGCTGACATAATCATAATTGTTGGGCGTTGAATGCTGTTGACGAAACCAACAAATGTTGGAAGTCGGAGTACGGAGGAGTTCGGAAGTAATTATATGTATCTTCTTTATCACCAGGCTGAGACTTCATAATCCCGTTTTCGTGGCTGATATTGTGCTGATATTATCCCGTGACAATGGTTATGTAGCCTCGTCCATTGTCTCCAAGTGTCAGTCACATGGGCCTTTTAACTTCCCGATTCTCCAAAAACCTGTCTCAGTCTTTTTGACCGTTCATTCGGACCATCTTTTCGCCTCTCTGCATTTCTAGATTTTGCTTTGGATCGGCCTGAAACTTTACCCAGAGCCGCTGTCACAGGTGCTAGACACCCATTTGGCGGGATGCAGCTCTATCGCTCTATAAGTGGTTCCGTCTCCAAGACGTGGAATTCTATCAACCCGGCCACCCTTAGCGGGGCTATTGATGTCATTGTCATAGAGCAAGAAGATGGTATTTACAGGTTTCCGAGAGGTGACATTCACGCACGATACTGATTTGGCTTTTCTCTTTCAAGGCACCCTCGCTTGTTCGCCCTTTCATGTCCGGTTTGGCAAGTTTTCGCTCTTGCGGCCATTCGAGAAGAAGGTGGAGTTCAAAGTGAACGGCATAAAACAAGAATATGCCATGAAACTGGGAGAGGGGGGCGAGGCGTTCTTTGTCTTTGAAACGACCGATGACATCCCCGCATCCTTGCAGACCTCGCCGTTGGTATCTCCGGCAGCCAGTCCAAGAGCCCAGAGCGAACCAGATATTCTCCCTTCCCTGCAGGAACCAGATTACCTTGACCTGGACAAAGGAAACGGGGATGCATTGTCGGAAGGCGCAAAGACCCCACCGGCGATGGCGATGCCATCGAACAAGTTACGGGCCAACACCGATCTAGGTAGGACACATCTCCAACCCTTATTTTCGATCCCTGTCCTCCGTTACTGACCGTTTTAATAGGGACAATAACACCCTTATCGGGATCTCCCGACGAATCCAACGTGGCTCGTTCACCGCTCGATCACACACTGTCGGACAATGTGCTTTCGACCAGCTCTCCTCAACACCATGATATTGATATCGAGGGCGAACCACATCAGCGCTCTCGTAGCCCTCCTCTGTCTCCACAGGAAGCGGTGTCTCGTGCCATTTCGCTGTCAAAGAAACTGTCTGGTTCCAATATTCCATCACATGTCACTGAGACTGGAGACCTGATGCTGGATATGACTGGCTACAAAAGCAACGAAGAAGATGCCCTTCGCGCGGAGGTTGTTGCGCGCAAGATTCTTGCGGAAGAGCTTGAAGGAAGCTATGATATCGGTGCACTGATTGGAGCCGATGAACACGGCAACTTATGGATATACAGCAGCGAAGAGTCCAAGGAACTAGCTGATCGGAGGGCCACTCTTCACTCCATGCGGCCGAACATAGGGATGAACGATGATGCTCTCTCCGACCCAGGATATCACAGCGAAGGGGAACAAGCTGTCTTGGAGCCATCATTGACTACGCGCCATCACCGAACCAAATCAGATGTCCAACCCGGCTTTCCCACACCACCTGACTCACCCTTACATGATTCTTTCCCCGTCGAAACCCGCAACTATGCCAAGACACTCCGCTTGACAAGCGATCAACTTAAGGCCTTGGAACTGAAAGGCGGTGCCAACACAATGTCTTTCAGCGTCAACAGAGCAATTTGCACTGCAAACATGTATCTGTGGAATGGCAACACCCCGATCGTGATTTCTGATATTGATGGAACTATCACCAAGTCGGATGCCTTGGGACATGTTCTCAATATGATCGGACGTGATTGGACTCATGCGGGAGTCGCCAAGTTGTACACCGACATTGCCAACAATGGGTACAATATCATGTATCTTACGAGTCGGTCTGTAGGCCAGACAGATACCACACGGGCCTATCTTCACGGCATTTCCCAAGATGGATACAAACTACCAAGAGGTCCAGTGATCTGCAGCCCAGATCGCACGATGGCCGCTCTGCGGCGGGAGATCTACTTGAGAAAACCTGAAGTTTTCAAGATGGCATGTCTGCGGGATATTCTCAACCTCTTCTGCGGCAAAGAGAATCCCTTCTATGCTGGCTTCGGAAATCGATTGACAGACGCATTGAGTTATCGTTCTGTGAACATTCCGTCTACTCGGATCTTCACAATCAACTCTAACGCTGAAGTGTCTTTGGATTTGCTTAGTCTCAACAAGTACAAGAGCAGTTACGTGACGATGCAAGAGCTGCTCGACCATTTCTTTCCACCGACCAGCCTTCTTGTACACGACGGTGGCGAGGAATATACGGACTTCACATACTGGAGGAACACTCCGCATGAGCTTGAAGATTTCTCGACAACAGACAGCGAGGATGAAGACGAGGAAGATGCCGATGAAGACTTGGCAGAAGAAGACGAAGATGGTGATGATGATGATGATGAATACGATGAGGACCTGAGCGAGGGTGAAGGCAGCGAGTATCTTGACGAGGCTGAGTTGGCCGAGGAAGATCTTGGTGCAAGCTACATGTCGCAGGACTCGGTTGCCTTGTCCAACCCAGCAGGCTCAATACTTGAGTCGGTGGAAGGGGAGCTCGATGTCGAAGAGCGGGCTATCGGTGAAGAGGAACTGTCTCCCATCGTCGAGAAACCACAAGAAGCAACCGAGCCGAGCACAACCTCTCTTCCCATCCGGTCCAAGATTCCCCAGAATCTTTGAACATACACTCTGCACTATGCCTTTTTGATAAGGGATCGATCCCTGGGCATTTCTTGCGTCATAGATACCCGTCTTGCGAGTGCTTTACTGAGCCTGATTCTGCATTAGACTGCTCCGACAGCGATATATTCACGTTCAACACTATTGCATGCAGACCTGGAGTTGGAGACTGCATTATACACGGCAGTTTTTGCCCGATTCTTTCTAATTCATGGCGTTCACGGCGTTTCTGGATTTGTTTTTGTACATTCATGGCGCACATACTTGGAGGATTGAATAGGACCATGGGATGAATGGGATGGGATGTAATGAATGAAACAAGTGAATGGACCTGCGCAAACACATTGAACGATTCAATAAATTATATGAGGATAATCTAGAATGTAATATAGTAAAAGCATTAGATTAACCGTCTGTCAAGGTGCAGCCCTGGAGGGCTGTAGCCAACCCGATTACCTAATCGTGATATTGGCCGGAGCACTGGAGCTCATGCTTCTTTTCGGCCTCATTTAGCCATCACTTTCTCTCTCTCGATCCCCACACTGAACACTGCTTGCATCTTTGGCTGTTTTCTAGCCTCTGAGCATCGTGCTAGGAATGCTGCCTGGCTACTTTTTCCAGGCCTTCTAATCATCACTTACTTAATTCAACATATTGACCACTTTCGCAACACCCCAATTCGCTCTTTGCCTCCTGCTTGATATTTGATCAGCAATTCAAGACAAAATGGCATCCCCAAGCCAAGCGCAGGGCTCAGTGCCCACAACACAACCTCTCACCCCACCCGCCGAATCCTCCTCCACCGCGAACGGGGCCTCCGCGCCCGCCGCAACAAGCTCCCAGACCCAACCCCATGTTCCAGCGACAGGCCCTTCAACAACAGCGCCACAACCGCCACCAGTCCCCGGCATATCAACCCAAGACAGCGGAAAAACGCGACGACCACGGGACGTCCGGCTGGTCCACATGCTCCTCGCCTCACTCGGGGTAACCTCCTACCAAGACCGGGTGCCCCTCCAATTGCTCGACTTCGCCTACCGCTACACTGCCAATGTGCTACAAGACTCCGTGCACCTCGCGACGGAAGGATACGCCGCGGCAACAGACGGTACCGCGGGCGCAAAGGGCTCCGCCGAAGTGAATAGTGTTTCTCTGCCCGCATTGCGGCTGGCCATTGCCTCCCGCTTGCACTTCCAGTTCCAGACAGGGCTGCCAAAGGAATTCCTTATGGAGGTCGCGTCGGAGAGGAATCGTATCGCTTTGCCCGGTGTATCGCGGGGCTTCGATCCTGCTGCCGGCCCTAATGGCGCTGTTCCAGCGGCGAATCAGAGTGTTGTTATTGGTGGCATGCGCTTGCCTCCTGAGCGCTTCTGTCTTACTGGAATGGGGTGGAATATGAACGATGAGTGGGATAGTGAGGGCGAGGAAGATGAGATGCCTGATGTGATGCAGCAGCCTGGGGCTGGGAGGGGCGTGGGTGGTGATGGAGCTGAAGATAATGAAGACGAGGATGAGAATGATGGCAAGATGGAGGATCTCTTCGGGGAAGATACTACTATGGGCGAGGCAGGCGATGGAGATGAGGACCGAAACATGACTGATGTCTGAGGGAGTGCATTTACGCCCGGGGGTTCTTCTGCCTTTGGCCTTGGGCTGGTGGTGTTTCTGGCGCTTGGTGTTCGTTCCCATTTTTTATCTCTAATTCACCATGGGACGGAGTCCTGGTTTTTACTATTATGAAGAGCATCTATTTCATGACTTGTGTCTACAAATTGGAATCAAAGTCCCCTCGCCTGACCATAAAGGCAAATAAACTGATAAAGAAGACTTCCTTCTGGTCAATTAAACCAAGATATGCAATCATCTGTGTGTATATTGTACATAATTCAGTCCATCCAATCGCTCGCATTCGGGATGATCATGCAATGTAATAAAGATGCCCAGCAAAACGCCTGCTTTGTTTGCCTTTGTGCGCCGTGAGGGGGAGAGAGAGAGAGAGAGAGAAAGATATAAAGTCCGAGTCCGGCTTGGCCAAGAAAGTCCAGGACCGACCTGCCCGGCGGAACCAGTCTGATATCTGTCTATCAAACTGAGGGCGGGAAGAAGGCCAGGCTGGGCCTCCGGGACTCTGAATTATGGGCCGAGTGCTTTGCGGCATACATGGCCCAGCCAATCAGGCAGTCAGGTCAGGTAAGAGTCCAACAGCTCCCTTCCCCTCGCCCAAACACTCAGCCCGAAGACGAAAGTCCTCGCCCTCCGACCTCGGAGAAACGCAAGAAGCAGAATACTCAAAGACGCCGAAACCCATATAGACAAGAAATACTCACACAAGAAATGAAGAGAGCGAGAGAGGGAGGGATACATGGAGTAAAAAGGAAAATCTCCAATCATTTTCCCGCCGCTCGCGCGCTCGCTTCATCCTCGCGCATCATGCGAATAACTTCCGCACGCCGCTTCTCAACACGTGCAAGGTCCTCCTCTTTCGCGCGTCGCCGTTCCTCATACCCCGCGAACCACTCCTCACGTGCGCGATCCTCTTCTTCCGGCTTCGCGTGGGCGACCATGCATGAATTCATTGCAAGACGTTGCTGGCGGCAGATCCATGTTGCAGTGACGGTGCGGTTAACGGCGCACTCGGCGAATGCTATATCATAATGGGGTTAGTTGGTTGTTTCAGGCATCTTCGAGGTGTGGGGAGTGGATCATGGTCATAAGATCTGGAGTTGCTCTTCTGCTTGAGCTCATGACCGGCCTTTGCAAGTTCAAAACTATGCATTGTGAAGAGGTGATGGATTTGGCGTAGAAAGCAATCCAAATGGCATACCTTTAATCTCGGGGGCGCAATAGGCGCGTACTCGCTTGTAGTACAGCAGTTTCACTTCTTGTTCTTGGGGGGCTGAGAGCGGAAGCGGGTTGCGAAGATTATATTGTTTGGGTGCACTCTTAGGCGCACTTGTTGAAGAGGTATCGGGAGATGTGGAAGACGTAGCCATTGGGACTGTAGGTCGATCTCAGAGATCGAAGTTGATCGGGTCGAGTGTATGGGCTGGTCGATCGGAGAGTTTGCTTTGAGGGGGATTGGTCCCGGTTGTTGAGGGAGAAGATGTGAGTTCAGCTGACCCAGAGCTCAGAAAAACGGACTGAGAAGGGTAGAAGCAGTTTAAAGAAGGGTTTACTGAATGGCTTTGTAGAGAAGATCGAGGCCAAGTGGGAGTGTTGATTGCGAGTGAGCCGGGCTCGGGCGGAGAGAATGTTACTATTGGCAGAATCAGAAAAAAAAGTTCTCCGACTTTGCATCTCGACTTTGACTTACACTCTTCTGCTGGAGACTTCGGCGTCTTTTCGTTTTTCGGATTTTTCTTTCTTCTACACTTTCTTGTGCTTTATTTATTGTCTCGGGAATTATCAATACCAACACCCAGCATGTCGTCAATGCGCAACGCCGTCCAACGGCGGAACCACAAAGAGCGTGGCCAGGTCCAGGGCCGCGAGAAATGGGGCCTCCTCGAGAAGCACAAGGTCAGTTCCTGCAGAAGAGCTCTTGAGTTACTTACCAATGATCCAAGCTTTCTTCCATGCCCAGTTTCAAGACAAACGTTCTAACTTCAACAGGATTACTCGCTCCGTGCCAAAGATTACAATGCCAAGAAGGCTAAGCTTAAGCGCCTCGAAGAGAAGGCGCGAGATCGCAACCCCGATGAGTTCGCCTTCGGTATGATGGGAGACAAGAACCGGACCCAGGGTCGGCACGGACGTGGCAAAGGCACAGCACGAGACTCTGCCGCAGCGCAGGGACTGAGCCACGAGGCGATCAAGCTGCTCAAGACGCAAGATAAGGGTTATCTTCGGACGGTTGGCGAGCGGGTGCGCCGCGAGATCGAGCGCCTGGAGCGCGAAGTGGAATTGCAAGATGGCATGAACAAGGCCCTTGGCAAAAAGGATGGGAACAAGGGCGATGAGAGCGACGAGGATGACGGGTTCGACGACGATTCCGATTTCGATTTCGGAGCCCCGGTGCAGCCGAAACCAACCAGGACGGTGTTTGCCGATGATCGACAAGACCAATTGGCAATGAAGAAGCAGAGGATACAAAAAGAAGAACCTGCTCTGGAATCAGAGGAAGAAGACCAGACGTCAAACAAGACCCGCAAGACACCCAAGCAGCTTCAGGCTGAGCGGCAAGCACTTGCGGATGCTCGACGGGCTCGCAAGCTCCGGAAACGTACCATCGAGGCCCGTAACAACAAGCTGACAGCGTTGCACAAGCAACACGCTGAAATCCAGACTGCAGAGCAAGAGCTTGATTGGCAGCGGGCCAAGATGGAAAATTCCGTGGGAGGCACCAACAAGGACGGAATCAAGTGGAAGATCCGTGAGCGCAAGCGCTGAGTGTTTTTGTTTCGACGGAGTTTATGAGTGATGACTCGCTATCATCTTTTTTGTACATATTGATACCAACCACCATAGAGGCAGTCCGGCGCATACAGTAGCATCCAAGGAACCCACTTCAGTCCTGGCCATCAACTCCTGGAAAGCTCGGTAACATCAAGCCCTGTGTCAGGCGATAGCTGGAAGACCTGTGATAAGACATCGCTGCTTATACCGGTAGATTTGACCATCATATCAAGTACGGTGGCCTAGCTATATCTACATCTGGGTGTGGTTAGTTTTAGTTGTTGAAGTACTATCAAATCCGGCTTCTCTTTCTGTGTTAAATACTATTCCAGACTTGAAAAACAGTTCTATGTCTCTTTCATGCCTTGTTTTCCTCTCTGATCAATGTTCTGAGTCGTATTTACCCGCGAACAGACCTTGAGTTTCGACAAAATGAAACAGGAGTTATTTTGATACCATTTATTATGATAGTAGATAAACCTAGCATCAGGGGAGTGTAGGCTCTGCTAGTATTTCGATTCATCTATATCTAATAGTAAAAAAAATCCCACGAATCCCACTTTGTGTGAATCCGACGTCTATACACATCTCAAGAAGGGTCTAATTCTGTACTCCTCACAAACCCGAAAAAGGCACGTACAGGAATCCTAGGCATGACCGATATAGCTATCTCGAGCCGCTTCTAGCTGGCCTAAAACCTGTTGCGCATTTTTGATGAGGGCCCTGCGGGCAACGTGTGCGTTCTCATCGCCGTTTGGATCAATTCCATCCGCTTTAAACATCACGTGCGCAAGGATCGTCATCGTCACGCTCAGCTTCTCATGTTCGAAAACCCGCTTCTTGATATCGGCCGGCGGGTGAGCAATGTATTCGTCACAAAGTGGGATCATCTCATGTTCAAACCACCTAGCCAAGGCAGTCACTTGCTCCATTGCTGTATGCAGTAGTTCTATATTCGGTGGAGGCCGAGGTAAGTTTCTAGGTGGAGCGGACGATGTGCGTTGTGATGGGGGAAAGGGCGATGATGCGGTTTCGGTTTCACCGCGAAGAGAAGAACTATGTCTAGTCTTCTTGTCCTTATTGACCGTAATTTTGGACTGGGCCTGAGGCAGATTGCTCGCATGGCCTCTTTCATAGTCGGAAGAGTCGTTCAGTGTATTGGGGTCTGTTTCGGGGATGTCACATAGCACTTCTGAATGTTGTTTGAGCCCGCTTTCTTTGCACATTTGATTGTCGTCTCTTAGCGTAATTCCCTTATACGCCAATCTAACAAGATTCGGAAAAGGTGCTCCAACTTTCTTCGCAGCTTCCAGCCGCAGCGCGCCAACAGTGAGCACACCGTCCTCGATAGCATATGCGCGGAAGTGGAGTGGATAGATGGTTCCACGGTACCTAAGAGCGATAACATCGGGTTCACCCTCATCATCGTCCCATCGGCGGTCCCAATGTATTGGCTGTGTGGATGTGGGATCCGCAAGATAGTCCGGTGTATAACTGACTGCTGGCTCGTGCACCTCAAGATGGATCTCCCCAGGCAAGTTGTTCTCCCTGGCAGACTGGGTTTCTGCTTTTGAACTCGAGCCATGGTCATTGTGAGCGTTCTTATAGTTTGGCGGGTCGATTGGATCTTCCGCGCCCAGGAAGTTGTGCTTCGACGCCTTATTCATTTCTTCCTCATCGTTCACCTCAGTGAGGCGCATGTGGTTGATGGGCTCGGAGGATCCTTGCAGCACCTTGATAATTATACAGTTGTCAATGTGGTCACTGAAGTCCTGGGCGTCCCTGAAGGTTTCATTGCAGATAGAGCAATTTCCAGTGGAATCGCTGGTGTGCTTCATACCTATCTCGATGGAGGACATCGGCCTGGTATTACGCTGGTTTGGTGGCAGCTGCTTCACCCCATGGACGGCGGAAAGGTGGCGTTTGAATACATCGGCCCGATTGAAGCTCTTTTCTTTTGGTGTCCCAGGGTCTGGACAAAAGTGACACACCATGACGCCCCTGTAGTGGGCCAGGACGTGGCGATTCCTATCGTATTTGCGAGCGAACCCCTTTGTGTGATACTCACACGTTACGATCGGGCACTTTTCTGGCCGCTCAGTTCGGTTGTGCGTCAAGGCGTGAGATCGTAGGTCGCGGAAGACTAGGTCACATTGGGGACATCGCCCCTCACCGACCGGATCGTACGACTTATCAGAATCCTCATCAGGAGAAATTGCAGCTTCATCGTCGTCTTCTTCTTCAGATCGCGGTAACGCAAAGAGCGCCAGCTCTTCCAGATGCCGGCCCAGGTGTCTTTCAAGCTGCTTCCCAGATGGAAGTGAAGATGGGCAGAGTGGACAGTCCACATGTACATCTGGGCTCTCAGATATGGAATGCTGACTTTGCAAATGAGCAAACCACTCTCGGCGGCTTTCATATAGTCGATGGGGTGTCGGACAGCTAGGGAAGATACACAGATATGGCATCAAGTCATTAAAGACATGACGAGCCCAGGCCCTCCGGCTTGTGATGGTGATAATTACAAAACAATAGGGACATTCAAATGGAGCTCCATCAGCGGAGTCTTTCGGGGGAGGCGGAAGAACCGTCCCTTCCGCCCCATTCAATATGGTTTGAGCATAAGATGTTTGTGAGGCGACAGTTAGCAGTTCCAAGTTGTCCTTTGCCACTGGTGGAACTTCCACAAACTCAGTTGCAACTGTGTCTGATAGTTTGGCTGATTGCCCGTCTGTCTGATCTTCAATAACCTGATTGAGACCCTGGCCGAGTTTGGTGCGATGACGCTCACGGTACCGCATTACGGCTCGACGCTGTGATATTGCCAGCCCAAGACGTTTCAAAATATCCTCCCCGGCTTGAGGGTATTTTGCTGTGACATGTAGGTGGTCAAACTTCTCATAAAAGACTGCGTCCGATCTTTTGGTGCCAATAAGGCGATCATGCTGAGCTGGCTGACGAATGACCATTGACATTTGGAACAGGTTGTTGATAGTATCTCGCAGAGCATGATATATAGACTGCATTTCTGTTTGATGCTCGTCACTATCTTCATCCCCACTTAGATCGGAGAAATCGTCATCTTCAGGTGAGTGATGTAAAACATCGTTGATATCCTGGGTAGTTCGCTGCAGCCGTTGAAGGACGCGGAGTGTCTGCTCTTTAATGTGCGATGCATCTCGTAGTCGATGATCTAGCGACGATTGACCGGTCTGATGTGCCCCAATATTGGCAGCCCAAACTCGCAAACGTCCCAACTCATCTTTCCACAGCGGTGGCGGGACTTCCGAAGCGAATGATGTCAAGTCTTCGGAAACAAGCCGACTTAAATCTTTGAGACATTGAACCACGACAGACGCAATATTTATCGTAGAGGTGCTCACAGCTGTGGCTGTCGTTGTTGTTATCACGGGGTGCTCATGCTTCGTAAATGGCCTTTCTGAAAAGGCCGCTTGTTCATCGAAATTTGGTTTAGTAATTGGGGATGCGCCCTTAGAAGCGTTTCCCTTTCTCTCAGATCTATCTTCAAGGACAGCCTCCTCAATAGAGGAATCAGGTCGATCGAGTGGTGCATAGTCGTGAGCAATATCTGCACTCACATCCACTTCACGAGTCCATCTTGAGATAGAGGCTTGTCTTAAATCGGCCACGTTACTGTTCTCCGGCTGGAGCGATAGTTGCAACGAACTATATGGACTGGAAGCAGAGATGAAGTCATGTTGCTCCTGCTCTTGCTTTGGTTCAGTGGCTTTGGGACCTTCCATCCTTTTGGACAGCTTTTGCGCAAATGCCCTTGCATCCCTCTAATTTCTTTTACCTCAGAATAGCACGGGACTTTGCGAGATCAGACGTTTGAGGTTGATCCTACCGCTGCGGGGTTGCGGCTGAAATGGAGCTGGCCCCCGCGCTTACACAGCATGACCTCTGGAATATTTTGGCCTCTAGTCTATTCATCTCTGTCCCGTTCGACTCGATGCTCGAATATGGAGGCTGCAGGAATTGCCCTAGCAATCCTCCCACTTGTCATCAATCAGCTCGATAACTATGTCCAGGGTCTTGAGACCATCAAGAGCTTCGGGGCCAAGCGCTACCGCAGGGAACTTGAAAGCTATTCATCAAGCCTTGGAACCCAACAAGCCATCTTCGTTAATACCTTAGAGCGGGCCCTTGACGGAGTGGTCGAATACGAAGATGGGCTGGATGAACTAAGGAACAATCCTCTGGGGAATTTGTGGAGAAGGCAGAACCTGCAAGCGAGTCTTCATGAAAAGCTAGGAAGAGATTTCTACCCTTTCAATCAGATGATGATAGAGATTGCGACTCTATTGGAGGAACTGTCACGAAAATTAGGATTAGACAAGAATGTTTCGGTGGTGAGTATACTTCAGCTCTCCCGAGGTCGCGTCCCGAGGTCTAGGGCTAACTAGAATCTTGATCATACTACAGAACTATCGGGTCGACCAGTCTACCATCAAGAAGGAGGCCAAAAAGTTCAGAGACATTTTCTCGAAAAGCATCTATCTTGATCTCTTCGCCCGTATCGATGCAGCCAATAAAATCCTGAATACCTTAGTGGAGCAGTCCGACTATCGAAGCACAATACAAAAACGGAGAATATCAAAAAGACCCTTACTACGCCAGAAAAAGGCTCAGAAATCAGCCCGCAGTCTTCATAATGCAATATTACGGGGCAAGTATTGGAAATGTGCTTGTCAGGATCAACACTCAATCCATTTTGTTCTTACTTATTCACCGGAGGATATACATGACGGGTCTATGGAGTCCTCCCGTGGCCCTCGCTTTCGAATGATTTTCCCTTCCAATAGCTCCATAGATCTTGCCAAGGGATGGTGCGAGATTGAAGCCGAATCGGACACTATTCAATCGAGCGTGAATCCTTTGAACCAATTTGTCCCCCAGGGCAGCCAAGAGACAATTCCCTTCGCTAAAAAGAAGACCAGAGTGCAGTTTGCATTCGACGGATCACCCGAAGATCAATCATCTACGACGTCTAATATGCCTTCGGTGCCTCCGATTGTGGACATCTGCTCAACGCTGTCTACCGTGGGGACGAACGGCGAGACAAATGCACCTATTGGGTTTATCTCCGATGAAAGCCACCGCCACAATATGTATTATGTTCGGAAGCTCGCTGGGAATCTGAGATCGCAATCGCTCGCCGAGCTCATCGCGGCTTCAAGTGATGCTTTCAAGACGCCTAGCAGCAGCAGGTTTCTTTTCACATGGGGCCACCGTCTTCGGGTTGCGGTTAATCTCGCCTGCAGCGTGCTCCAATTTCACGGAAGCTGGCTGAAAACCCAGTGGACATCTCACGATATCATGTTTACCAAGAATTCATCTGGTGATATCGATAGGCCATACGTCCTTTGGAACATAGGCAGTGAATCGGATGCCTGGAGCATGTGCAGAGACAAACCAACATTCTCGCTCATTCAAAGCGAGATTCTGTTTCCCTTGGGCCTCGTTCTTGTCGAACTTTCTTTATGCCAGACGTTAGAGGCACTACGTATACCGGAGGATGATGATCGAGTTGAGGGATATGTGAATCTAAAGACTGCGACTCGCCTCTTGCAAGTGGTGGAGCAGCAAAGCGGTGCAGAATATGAAAAGGTAGCGAGACGATGTCTCCTTTGGCCTGGTACCAAAGAATCTACACTGGAGAGCGAGCAGATGCAAGATGAGATATTTCAACTTATCATCTCGCCATTAGTCGAAAACCTGAGGAATTTCGAGGGCAGGTCTTGATTCTTGATCGTATTCTTATAGTTAGAGATAATACGAACTGCTAACCAAGTATTTGGCATGTCTCCATAAAAAAGTCCACTTCAACATGAGGTAAAGTTAGGGTTTCTTTCCGCCTGGTGTTCCAGGGTTCAACACCACCTTGTATAGGTCCACGGGTAGTTCGATAGGGTCCTGTTTTCAATAAATGTTCCATTATATACACCCTCGCCCTCATTTTATAGGATATATCTGATACCTGGATGAGAAATATGCAGATATATCCTTTGGCAAACTGTAAATCGTTGCCGGAAATGTGGAGCAAACCCGAAAAGACCTCGTATATGTTGGAACTGCAAATCAAAGGGATTCAATAATAGTTGGAAAGATATGTAGGTAGAGGGAATGATGGCTAGATCAAGCCCAATATCCCCAACCTGCCATATGCGGGTGTGATTGCCTACTTAGGAGGAAGAGTCGGTATGGGGCTGGTCATGTGATGGAGTCTTCACAGTGTGCGATTTCTAATATTAGCGCCACGATTGTTAATCGCTGTCTCTGACTGGCATCAAAAATTTTGATAGAAAGCACTCTGATACTCCGTTGTCGCAAAGAGTCCAAAACGTTCAAGTAATCACAACATCGCTGATAGGACAATCTTGACCATCTCCGAGGGCCCGCGGCATCCACAAGGCTTAATAATCATTTGCCACCCCTCCAAGGGAGGGTTATATTCTCAATTCTTTTCTCTTTTTCATACTTCATATCTCAAAATAAAAAATAACAATGGCTCCTTCATTTATAACCATTGACAGCAACGATATGGACGTGGATTTCTCCACGCCCAAGCCAGTCCAGGCCAAGCGCACCCTCCTCCTGGCACCCCCCTCCATTGCCACTCACGAGGACAAACTCCGCGGTCTCTTCAGCACCTTCGACCGCTCAACCACAGACCTACAAATGCTCGACCGGCTCTCCGCAGGCGTCGTCTCCCTTCCCGCAACAACCTACGACCTCGTCCTCATCCTCACCGACACAGACGGCACACGGCGCTCCGAGGCGCTGAAACTCCTCACTCGAGATGTATACACCACTCTCGTGCCTGCCATGAAGGCGGGCGCTAAGCTGCAAACCCAAGACTCAGCGCTAAATGCCTCGGACGCCATGGAAGCCGTCCTGGCCGGCCTCGTGCAGTCCGATAACGGCTTCGAGAAACCAAACTTCGATCCCTCCGCCGCGGTCCCTTTAAAATTCGGCCTAAAGAAGAAGAACAAGCCTACCCCACCAACCGCAGTCCCTAGTATTCCGACAGGACTCGTCGCGCCGATGGGGATAGACTCGCCCGCGACTAATCACGACCGCGACGAGGATGACGAGCTCATTAATGAAGATACGCTCCTTTCCGAGGAGGATTTAACAAGACCCATAATGCCTCGTATGTCAACACCCTCTCCCTTCCAAACCTTGCATATTGCATTTCTACAAGACTCATATCATCTAACACCATCTTCAGCCCCAGAGTGCCAACCCAAGACCGGCCGCCGGCGACGCGCCTGCAAAGATTGCACTTGTGGTCTAGCCGACAAAATCGAAGCAGAGGATAAAGAGCGCCGCGAAAACGCAGATAAAGAATTGAACGTGATGAAGCTGGATACGGGCGACTTGACTGAGCTGGATTTCACCGTTGAGGGCAAGACTGGTTCTTGTGGAAGTTGTGCTCTGGGTGATGCCTTCCGTTGTGATGGTTGTCCTTACATGGGTCTTCCTGCCTTTAAGCCTGGACAGGAGGTTCAGATTCTGAATGATGTTGCGCAGCTTTGAGATATAGTCTTTACTTTACGACGCGGGCTACTTTTTTTCAATTTTTTATGACGGAAGTGGGGGTACTCGGTCTTTGCATTGGGCTTTTTTGAGCATTTCTTTTTGGAATCGTTTTTTTTTGGGTTGGTTCATACAAAATTATGCTAGGGGCGTCTGGCTTTAATTTGATTATATTTTTTTGAACTGTCTGATCGTGACTCACCTGAAGATTTCGACTGAAATTTCGAGTGGAGCCCAACGTCATGTCTTAGATCTGATAGTGGGTATACATATGCCGTTGATCTGCCGGATATAATCAATTTACTTTATTTACTGCTTGGAATAGTCTATTGATTGGTTGTATATAAAATTTTAAGCCCAATGGTGACCAAGTTTCTTTTTAGCTATGCATCTGTGTTCATGGCACATCCAATCATGATAAAAAAATCCCGAAAACGATAACAAGAAAAATATATAAGGTATACTTGACCTATGACTGGTTCTTCTTCATGTGCGCAACACGGATGCTCACGGCACGCTTGTGCGCCTCCAGGCCCTCCACAGCGGCGAGGGTCTCAACCGTCTTGGCGAGACCGAGCAGGCCATCGGCGGTCAGGTTAGAGCTGGTGATGTGCTTCAGGAAGGAACCGAGGTTAACACCCGAGTACTGCTTGGCGTAACCGTAGGTAGCTGGAAAAGAATATGTTAGCAAGATTGAAACAGGGAGATAAGAGGAAAAGCCGTTGCAGAGAGATACTTACGCAGCGAGTGATTGACTCCGGCGGAGTAATCGCCAACACTCTCGGGGGTCCAGGCGCCGATGAAGACACTGCCGGCGTTCTGGACATCTTTCACAAGAGACTCGGCGTTCTCGACCTGAAGGATCAGGTGCTCGGGCGCGTAGTCGTTGCTGAGGGTCATGGCCTCGTTGATGTCGCGCACGACGAAGGTGACGGAGTGCGCAAGGGAGCCGCGGACAATGTCCATGCGAGGCAGGGCCTTGGCCTGGGCATCGACCTCGTCTTCGATGGCACGCAGCTCGGCCTCGTTCAGATCGACGGCGATGAGGATCACCTGTGAGTCGACGCCGTGCTCGGCCTGGCTGAGAAGATCGGATGCAACAAAGGCCGGGATGGCGGTCTTGTCAGCGATCACAAGGACTTCACTGGGGCCGGCGGGCATGTCGATGCTGACACCTGCGGAGGTATCGTTGGACACGAACATCTTTGCGGCCGTCACGAACTGGTTGCCTGGACCAAGGATCTTGTCGACCTTGGTGATGCTTTCGGTACCGTAGGCCATGGCGGCCACAGCCTGGGCACCACCGGCCAAGACAATGCTCTCAGCGCCGACCTTGTGGGCGACATAGACGATTTCGGGAGAGATGCTGCCGTCGGAGCGGGGAGGCGAGGCCAGGACAATCTTGTTGCAGCCTGCCACCATGGCGGGAACACCCAGCATCATCGCAGTGGAGGGCAGCACGGCGGTACCGCCGGGGATGTACAAACCAACACGCTCGATGGGGCGCGAGAAGCGAGAGCAGACCACACCGGGCATGGTCTCCATGTGGAGGGTTTCGTTGCTTCCCTTCTGTGCGGAGTGGAAGCGGTCGATGTTGCCAATGCTGATATCAAGTGCCTCCTGAACATCGGGGGACAGCTTCATGAGTTCAGCCGGGAACGGCGCCTTGATAACAGGGGAGGTGAGTGATGTAGCATTCTCGAACTTGTGGGTGTATTTGAGCACTGCGGCGTCGCCGCCATCACGGACATCGTGGATGATTGGCTTCACCAGGTTGACAATGGCTTCGTTAGATTTCTGGGAAGGACGCTTAAGGTAATCGGTGACCACCTGGGGAGTAGTAGAGGCAGTGATCACACGCTTCATCTCAATTCGGGTTGTGCGATCCTCGACCGGGGCGGGGGCGGGGGCGGGGGCAGGCTTTGACTCGGGCTTAGCCAGGCCAGCCTTCTCAGCCCAAGGTCCCTTAGCGTCGCCCTTTCTCCGCTTCACCTTCAAGCTCTTGAGGTCAAGGTTTCGTTCGATATCCTCCAGGGTAACACCGGCAGCAGTACACTTGGTCAGAGCAAAGTACAGCAGGTCGGCGGCCTCGAAAGCAATCTCCTCCTTGGTGTCTGCACGGCACAACTCATCAGCCTCCTCCATGATCTTAGCATCGATGAGCTTGGGTTCATTGAATAAACGCGCGGTGTATGATCCAGCCGGAGCATCTGCCTTGCGGGCGTCCAAAGTCTTTTGGAGACGAGACAGACCGGCAGATGCGCCGAAGCAGGTCTCAGTACCAAGGTGGCAGAATCCTAATGAGTCACCATGGTTAGTATACGAACATCATATATCCGTATAGAAAGCTGGTTCTTACCACGTCCAATTTGCTTGACAACAAAGACCAAACAGTCGGCATCACAATCGAAGCCAATACGGATCAACTCCTGTACATCCCCGCTAGACTGGCCCTTGTACCACAGACCGCGCTTCCGGCTCTGGTAAACACCGGTGCCAGTACGCAAGGCCTCGACAATGCTCTCGTCACTGCTCCAAACAAAGCCCAGACAAGCTCCCCGCTCATCAGTGACCGAAGTGGCATACAGGCCATTGGCCTGGTCAGTAACGGCGGTCGACGCGATAAGCTTAGCGGCAGAGACCTGGCCAGCCACATCCCGCTCAACGGTCAATGCCTGTGAGGGAACGACAGCAATCGCACCCTGCTTTGTGACTTGTGTAATAGCATCTTCCGACACTGTCTGAGTACCGAAGGTTGTGAAGAGCCGTGGGGAGTCCGAGCTAATCTTCAATTTCTCGGCGGCGGCGGTGATGGAGGAAGGTGCAGTGCAGACGCTAGCTTCGCTGCGCTCAGCATTGGCGGCAATCCATTGCTGGAAAGTATCCAATTGGGAGTCTGACAGGGCGTTGACGAGCAGACGGGACGAGGGCACGGATTGTTCTTTGGAAAGGGTGGTCAATTGGTCCAAGTTGATCAAGATCTTGGCGGCACCGGCGTTGAGGATATCGACGAGATCGCCGGCGGAGGAGATCTCGGTTGCATCGACGAAGATATCGAGGGCGCGGAAGTTCTGGCGCAAGAATTGCTCTGCCTGGGCGAGACTCGAGACCTTGATCAGTACGCGGCCGAAGTAGGCGATCTGCTTGAGCGAGAGTCCGGAGCCGGAGGTGGGGGGAGGAGGGGTCGTGGGAGATAAGGAAGGGGGTCGCCATGATGGGTAGGTGTAGTAGTAGTAGGAGGATAAAAAGATTGAAAAGGAGGATTATATCCCCTAAAATATAGGACCCTTTGAATTAATGGGGGAAATTGTGGAGGAGAGCGATGACTCCTTGGGCAACCTTTTTTTCCCGCCCCGCTGAATCATCGATTAGCCCCCGGGGCCGCTCTATCGCAGGATTTTGATATTATTAGTGATTCGATTTTGTGATCTATAAAATTGTGATATATTGTGTGCATTTCTGCATTCTATAACATATGTCTCATTTATGAGGGCCCTGTATCTATGTCTGCCTTAACTGCGAACCACCTCAGACAATTTTATAGCCAGAGATTTTGCTATCCCAGTACTCTTGGAATCCCCAGTGTACAGAATCTAAACCAAGCAAGACTTTAGCCTGGTTTGGCTTGACCTGGCCTTGCTCTAACCATGAGGGCAAATTCTCGAACAGCTTGCTGGCCAACTCATGGCCATCCTTCGAGGCCTAATCATGCTTAGCATTGGTATCCGAACCGCCAAAGAGTTACCGGCCAATGGAATATGCCATAGCCGTGGTCATTCAAGAAAGGAGTCCAAACGAGAACATCGCTGACGTGCGTATTGGCAGTCACTTGTTCTGTATTTGCCTTCCCTGGCCGCACGGTACATAGATAGCCTTCACGGTCGCCGAAGGCCCGAGACGAAAGAGCGGAAGATGTGGTGTTTCCAATGGTATCAAAGATGTATTGAAGATCGGGCGCGGTCTCAGTGATCTTCCCAATCACCTTCGGGTCATTGTAGTCAAAGACATGTTTGGCGCCGCAGGATCGGACAAGATCTGCATTGTGCGGACGACAAGTCGTGATTACATCAAGGCCATAGATCACGTCGAGCTGAACGGTGTACGGATGTTAATGCAACCAGAACAACGCATGATTCTCCAGCAGATGTAGTACTCACAGCTGCCACCCCAAACCAAGACACTGGTACCTTGGGATCTTGAGCGATCAATCTTCAAGCAACCCCTCGAGAACAAGGCGAGCCATGCTGTTGCCGCAGCAAGAGGAACGGTGATTGACTCCTCCCGCGAGATGCTTGTAGCAACCTTAAAGGAAATGCGCTCATTTGCGATGGTGTATTGACTGTATCCGCCCAGCCTGGAGATTTCTCCTAGTACTGTGTCAAAGGTTCTACATTTGTCATGGCAATATTCTTTTTTGAGGTTACGACTCACCACCCCAGATCAGTCCTGCCACAATGTCACCCTTGTCAAGTCGAGTGACGGTGTCTCCTAACTCGGTGACTTCTCTAACAAAATCACACCCGAGTACGGCTCCATCACCAAATGCATTTACATCAAAGCATTGGACTGCAGGTCATGAGCTACGTGGGTCGAAGGGGGTGGGGTATCAGATTATATCATCCGTTGGGGTCTGCGCCACATGCGACACCTTTACTTGCACTTGACCAGTGCCAGGTATAGGTAGGGGAAGTTCTTCTTTGACCAATTTGGGCTGTCCTTCTGGAACCCGGACAATCAGTGATGTCTTGGATGATGCCATGGTAAAGGATGCGGAGACTTCAAGGCAAATGATTTCAATTCCAGAATTCATTTGCTTGAACATTCACATGTAAATAAAATCCAGCCAAACTGCCCTGATATACCTCCAAAGCTGACACATGCAACTAGAAGTCGCCGAAGGCAACTCGGAAGTGGGGTTTCTCCACGTAAATTGCTATGAAGGTGCAGGTAACTGCAAGCGCCGGGACTTATTCGAGGTATTTTGAAGCTGGAACCCGAAGGAGCAAAAAATTATATGGTAGAATGATCGGAAACCATTGGGTAAGATCATCAGGTCAATATCAGATGCAAGGTCCCGAAGCGTCAGAGGAGAACAGGCAAAACAAGGTGTATCACGGATAAATGTTATACCGACAATAAACGTCGGCTTTGGGAGCATCTTGGTCGGGATTTGCTTCATTAAATTGATGCCTAGCGCGAATGGTCCGACGATAAGCAGACTTAGCGTAAGCCCGTCAGTTAAAAGCCATTCAACTCCCAGCAAGTACCTTGTGAGCAACATCAATACTATTCTAATATCAATATGCCACCTTTCCCACCCATCCCCACCGGTGAGAGCAGCTCCCACTCCGGCAACTGCCACTGCGGTGCCGTGCGGTTCAGCTTCACATTATCCCCGCCCCTGTACGAGTACCCCACCAATACCTGCAACTGCTCCATCTGCACAAAGAACGGCTACCTGCTCGTGTACCCGTTCACCAAAGATTTTACCATCGAAAAAGGCGAGGATGTACTAAAAGATTATTCCTTTACTGAGCGCAAGGTGAAGCACCAATTCTGCGGAGAGTGCGGAAGTAGTTGCTTCATCCGTCTTCCAGAAGAGGGACACCCACTGATCACTCCTGTCAATGTAAGTCGAATGGCCAATGCTATTTCGGTTGTAGCTACTAAGTATATTAGGTACGACTACTACAGGACATTGACATTGAGAAACTGGTTCTCAACAAGGTTGATGGAAGGTCGACCGGGCAAGAGTACAAAGTTTAGATCGGTTCTTTGTCTGATCCTATGATCCTATTCTATGATTTGGCCTAAATTGATAACTTAACATATCAATGTCTAGCGTAACTAGGTGGAAATGGCAGTAGATGATGTAAAGAGTATATGTCACAAGTAAATGATATATAGTGGAATGTAAACATTTACGCTTTGGCATTTCTTAGATGGATGGTAGGATGTAGAGGGACGTGAGGTAGGAGTGTTTAGAAGTTTCATTATTCGGTGCATGTTGTATTCTCAACCGATATTTCCGAACTACGAGTACTTGCGACAAGTGGTTGGAGTCTAAATGCACAATATGTCGGCACGGACCTGTTCATGATTGACATAAATGTTCCTCAGTTGGAACTAAGTCCGCTCGAAACCTGGGGGAGGTGACTTGTGTTGACGGGTCAGACACTCCAGTCCGGTGACAAAAGCCATCACATTGAGGGGTATGTGGCATGTCAAAGCACCCGGCGTGACGGCAAGCGCTTTTTATCAGCCAAGACCGTGCTAGTCAGGTACATCCTGGTCCCTGGATATGAGGCACCCGAAGACAGCATCATGTTTTCTCGTCACGTCAAGTGGTCGTCTGGTTTGGTCACCCGTATACATGTAATTGTGGCCTGGGGAAATCTGAGTCGAAGGTCGATCTAGCACATGGAATCGTACTTGAGTATATCCAACAAGATCTCAAATATGTGAAAACTGAGACCAAAGATACTTCGGCCAGTTACATTCTCCGATGCGCACCAATAGTTGGTGGAGCCCTTGCAGATCCCCAACGCGCCTGAATCTTGTCCGATTGGATCCGTTCATTTTTACTGGAATGGCATCCGATGCACAATTCCCAATTTTATGGCGATCAGAATGCAAGTGACAGGGGGAATAGTAAATAATTCGGGGTCGCGTGTCGGCGTGCCCGCGTGCTGCCTTCCCCTTTCGCCAGGCCTCTTTCTTGTCGACTGCAACCTCACTATATCATTTCACATTCCCATCATATTTAATAATTGCATTGACCTGCTGCGTTGCAGTTCAGGTGTTCCCTCGTTCGCAATTGAAAATTATTCCTACGCCGTGTGACCCTTGCACCGAGCAATCGCGCCTAAATAAACCCGTATATCTATACCCGACCACATCCAACGCGTAATCATGCGCATCTCTTCTCTGTCACTTCCTTTGGTGCTGGGCATCGCTGGGTCTGCTGCCGCCTATCCTTATTCTGAGCCAGAGGTGATCCAGCGCCGCGAGTCGGAGAACCTGGCCAAGGCCGATGCTGTCAAGGAGGCCTTCCAACATGCATGGAATGGATATGTCAACTATGCTTTCTCTCATGATGAGCTGCACCCTGTGAGCAATGGTTATGGTGACTCCAGGTAAGCATGTCCGATTGTACAGTTCACAGCAAGAATTGACACGGGATAGGAATGGATGGGGAGCCTCCGCTGTCGATGCGCTTTCAACCGCCATTATTATGGGTAACCAGGATGCTGTTCAAAAGATCCTGGACCACATTGAAACTATTGACTTCTCGAAAACCAAGGACGGGGTCAGCCTGTTCGAGACCACTATCCGATACCTTGGTGGCATGTTGTCCGGCTATGATTTGCTCAATAGTCCTGAAGCGAATCTTGCCCTCAATTCAACTCAAGTCGATGTTCTGCTTACCCAGTCCAAGAAACTTGGGGATGTCTTGAAGTTTGCCTTTGATACACCATCCGGTGTTCCCTACAATAACATTGACATTACTTCCAAGGGAAATGATGGCTCTAGCACCAATGGTCTTGCAGTAACTGGAACTCTCGTGCTGGAGTGGACCCGATTGTCCGATTTGACTGGTATTGATGAGTATGCCAAGTTGAGCCAGAAGGCCCAGTCGTACCTTTTGAATCCTCAGCCATCAAGCGGAGAGCCATTCCCCGGCCTGGTGGGAAGCAACATCAACATCTCCAACGGCCATTTCACTGACGGTGCTGTCTCTTGGAACGGCGGCGATGACTCGTTCTACGAGTACCTGATCAAGATGTACGTGTACGACCCCAAGCGGTTCGCGTCATACAAGGACCGCTGGGTCCTCGCAGCGGAGTCGACAATCAAACACCTCCAATTGCATCCCGCCCCTCGTCCGGAAATCACCTGGCTGGCCTCATACAACAACGGCCAATATGATCTTAGTTCACAGCATCTGACCTGCTTCGATGGCGGCAGTTTCATCCTGGGCGGCACCGTGCTTGATCGGCAAGACTTTATCGATTTCGGCTTGAAGCTCGTGGATGGCTGTGAGGCTACTTACAACCAGACCCTGACCGGAATTGGACCAGACTCGTGGGGTTGGGATCCGAAGAAAGTGCCCTCCGACCAAAAGGATTTCTATAAGAAGGCCGGATTCTACATGGAAAACGGTTCATATAACCTGCGCCCTGAAGTGATTGAGAGTTTCTACTACGCGTTCCGTGTCACGGGGAATGAAATCGTGAGCCATTCTTCCTTCTACTGATGCTCCAAACATACTGACCCATATATAGTACCGCGACTGGGCATGGAACAGTTTCAAGGCGATCAATGCTACCTGCCGCACTGGGTCGGGCTTTGCTGCTGTAAGCAACGTGAATACAGCTGGCGGCGGCTCGAAGTACGATAATGAGGAGAGCTTCCTCTTTGCTGAAGTCATGAAATATGCGTACCTTATACATGCAGAGGGTAAGTTCCCAGCCTTTCCAATCATATTTCTCTTTTCGAAAAAAACATTGCTAATGCTGGGTCTTGGTATAGATGCCCCATGGCAAGTCCAGAAGGGCCAAAAGAATGCCTTCGTGTTCAATACTGAGGCTCATCCCGTGCGTGTGTTGCACACCTAGTTCGTAGGATAAGTTGGGTTATCAGTACAGTAAATAGTACTTTCATCAAGCCTATATTACCTTTGCTCATTGGATCTGATGTAAGAATTCTTTTTTTGTAACCCTCTAGACTATTACCATATTATGTACAGCTTGCTTAGAAATATTAATTGTTTCTTAATCTCAAAAGCGAAGCCTTCAACTCGGACGACTCTCCAACCTGGCAGGGTGTCGCAAGATCAGAAGCAATATCAGAAGACTGCCCGGTGCTACACTCCAGCTCCATTGGCCATTTTAAAACATACAAGAGAATGACACCCGATATTTACGGATCGCGCCGGATAGGCTATTATTCTGCACTGAGTACTTAATAGTTGAGCACATGCTATATGGCTGACTTGCCGAGTTGCCGGCTTAAAGAGGAGGAAAAAACTACTATTGGTTATTGCTTCTCGATTGTAGAGCTGCGTAATATTATGTTTGTTATAAAATAAGTGGGAAATAGCACAAAGAAATCCAGTCGACCAATGATTTTAGCTCGGCTACACGATCAAATTGCGCCATTTGCAGACTCGGTGACACAATAACTCGCTACGGAATGAAATCTAATTAAACATGGATAGATCCCCAGGAATTAGGCCATAAATACATATAGTCCAGACACAATGATGTTATCCGCGATGTGTATCACGAAAACGCTAAGTTGCTAGTAGATGTCAGAGAAGAGCAGGCTTCATTATCGGCCGTGTATAAGATGGCTATGAAATTCTCTTGAAATACAATAGTAAATAGTAGAAAACTGACAATTAGTCCTTCCCAGCAAAGAGATTACCCAAAGTCATGTCTTTCCTAAAACAAACACTCCTAGCAGCCCTAGCAACAACACCCTCATTGTACCAGGGCCACTACCGCTCACGACCCGACCTCGCACCACCCCAACTAAACATCACCATCCCCGCCACAAACCCAAATGGCTCCGAATACGTCTTCATCGCCCCATACCCTATGGGCGGGACCCTTGAACGGCCCGGTCCGTACATCTACCGCAAAGACGGCGATTTGGTGTGGGCCGGCACAGGCTACTACGCCGGGTTCGTGGCTAATTTCCATCCTACCACGTACCAGGGGAAACCCGTTCTCCAGGCATTTCAGGGTAGTATGGATAGTGCCCATGGTGAAGGGTTTGGTCAGCATGTCCTGCTGGATCAGAGTTATCAGCACGTTGTTACCTCGACTGCCGGGAATCATCGTGTTTCGTCGATTCATGAGTTCAATGTTATTCAAGGAGCGACGGCTTTGATTGAGGTCTTTTATACGACTCCCGCGAATTTGTCGGCTTATGGTGGGAATTCTTCGCAGCAGTGGTTGGGGAATGGGATTTTTCAAGGTTTGTTGGTCGTGAAATCTGGATGATGAGTTTGCTGATTTTGATTATTTGATAGAAAATGATATTGCCACGGGAGACTTGATTTTTGAGTGGAATGCTTTGGAACATGTTGATCCGTCTGGTAAGAGAATTTGCTGTGGCTCGACACAGACACATTTTCATTAAAGCACCAACTGACCTTAAACCAGAAAGCCTAGTGACACTAGGTTCCACAAATGCCAATAGCGGCTTGTCTTCCGCCGAAGCATGGGATTACTTCCACATCAACAGCCTCGACAAAAACGAAGAAGGAGACTACCTGCTCTCGTCCCGACACACAAGCACGATATTCAAGATCAACGGCACAGACGGCTCAATCATCTGGCGGCTCGGCGGCAAATACCCTAGCTTTTCACAAATCGGCAACTGGACCTTCGGGTTCCAACACCATGCCCGCTGGCAACCTCAACTAAGCCAACCCGGGACAGAGGTAATCTCGTTCTTCGACAACTCCGGCGATGGGGCTATCACATTTAACAATGTGTCCCGGGCATTAGTTGTCCAGATCAACCACACAGATAGCACGGCAACCATTCTCCGCAAGGCAACGGCACCGTATGATCTCCAGGCACAATCCCAGGGAAATACGCAGCTGCTTTATGACGACCGAATCTTCGTCAACTGGGGATCGGAGGGTGCTTTCACGGAATTTGGTGCTGATAATGAGATTCTGTACCACGCTTTTATCCAGACGGGGTCGGTCAGCTACCGTGGCTTTTTGGCGAACTGGACTGGTACACCGAAGGAAAGTCCGGCACTGGTTGCACTGAAAACGGCTTCTAATATTGTTGAGCTTTATGTGTCTTGGAATGGGGATACCGAGACTTCGGCATGGAGATTCTTTTATGTTAATGGGCAGGAGAAGACGAGGGTTGGTCAAGTGGACAGGAACTCCTTTGAGACGGTCTTTACTTGGAATTCGACTTTTGCACTATCTTCCTCAGCTAGATTTGTTGCTGAGGCTGTTGGCCCAAATGGGGAGTCTCTTGCGCGGACGAGCTTGACTGCCACCACTGTCAACATTGACTTGCTGGAGTGATGGTCAAAATTGGGGAGCTTGAGATGAAGACTGGTTCGAGACCATGATATACTTGCTCGCAATTATTGATATTGCTTGGCGATGAAGTAAATCCAACCCCAAAAGTCATGTCAAGGATAGAACGTTCATATATCGTCTTAGACATTAAATAAAGGGACATTGTAACAGCACGAATTGAATATTAAACATAAAGTTCACCGAGTAGCAGACACTCAAATAAGCCATACAGCCCCTTGAAATTATAGCGCATATAGAAACAACCGCTAGTGGCCATCACGCGCCGAAAGCCTGTTTGATATCTCGCTGTTTTCCAGCCTTCCGCAGCCTATGACAAGCAATAGAGGCACGGACACAAAGGATGAGGTTGAATAGGCTGAATGATGATCTTCCGTCAGATATAAAACCACAAATAAAAAGAGGTATAATAAACCCACATTCCAAGAAGTATCATTGAACACCCCAGACACTCAGCCCCATATAATGGGCCAGCATCATGGATACTGGAGTAACCATAACCACCAAGGTTCCAGTAGGCAAGCTCGTGCAGATCAAAGCAGACGGTAATTAACTGGGCAATGAAAGCAATACAGTCAAATGCAACGACTACACCAGGGTGCACAGCGCAGTTGCAAAAGACGACGATGAGAAAGCAAGTGGACCAGATGAATCCATATGAGGCCTGACCATGAGAGGAATATAGAGTCAGTAAGCTTTCTTTATAGAACCTGATAAAATCATCATAGTAGGGATGTTTGGACTCACTGTGCCCAGATTAATGCTAGACCACGCTTCTCCTAGCCCATCGCTTGAAACGACTCCTTCATGATGCTGAACCATGGCCCAGGCAAAGCAGATTATCGCTATCATGTTACATAGTACCGTGCCAAATCGCAGAGATACAAGCGAAAGCCATTTTTTCTCTTTTCTCGGTACTGCTTCAATGCAGAAAGAAGGGGAGGGTTGGTGGTTTAAGGCCGTAGACATGGCTGTAACTGGTATGAGTTATTAAATAGTATGGTTATTATAGAGAGAAAGACGAGACGATATGGAAACCCCCATGATTTAGGAGCACTTTTATAACTTGTATACAACCACGAAACACAAAAATAGTTCATATGTCATGCTAATCATTACCTGTTATATACTAACACAGCCCTCAATATGCGGTGGCAATGCTAAGGATGCCCGAGATGAACCCCACAAATTCCGATCGGACCAGTAGGCTTGATGAACAGGTTGCGGGGCACTTATGCAGGGTCCAATCTACACTGTCGGCCCCCAAGTTGAGCCTCTTACCTACCAATTTAGCTAAACCATGCGCCGTCTACACCAATACTTCACCGTCAAAGTGTTTGTCTTGGCATCGTCTTGGCGTTCTCGGATAGGAAGGGAGTGGCATATCGCAGAGCCTTGGGAACAATCACGATTTGACAGAAATCTGGCAATACGACAATGTATGGTATACGGCGTCTCTAACCGCCAGTGCGTCATACCTGATTTTGCCTGCAGTGTACTTTGTAATATGAATATTTTATACATTTAAATACACCAATATCACACCAATTCTCTATACAAGTCCAAAATTCAAGTTCAATTCACCCTAGTCGAATTCTTGATGCTTGAATTACCTGTACTTCAATTCTCGATCAAACGATTACAATATCAGATCACAGTTTACATTTAATGCAATTCTTGATACAATCAATACAGTCCTCACCTCCGTTAACTCTTGATAGGCGGATGTACAAACTCTCTCGAGGTACCGGGTCTACCATTTTACAGCGTTGGCGGTGCAGGTACGCATTTCTCGGATGTTGATGAGGAGTGGAATGCGATATACCCGGCGAATAGGCGAATTTCTTGCCATGAAGTTGCCTGGTGATTCTGCCCGTAGTCGTATGCTTGTCACTGACGTAGAGGGATGCCAGGCTGCATGGGGTAGACGTAAATGGGAGTTTGTTTCCTATGCAGCACATACCTAGTAGAGCAGCAGATGTGGATGGCATTCGGTCCTATGTCTTGATTTGCAGGGTTTCTTTTCATGTGAGGTCTTCACAATTTGCGATTGTGCTTATGCTCATCGCTCCAGGGCTCCTATCTAGGCTGGTTGTCCTCGGCCACGCACGTGGGTCTAGGAAGACAGACGTCAGTCGTGCGTTGTATGCCTCGGCAAAGAGGATTGATCATATATAGCTGGTAGACTATCCTTAAAGTCATGTTCAGATATGTACCTCGGAGCCTTTGGCTGATTACAATATCCTGGGGGACGATATAATTACAATATAATCTGTACCGGCCCGACTTGATATGAAGTCCGGAATTAGTATCTTTATCTTCATATTGTGATACCAAAACACGGCCAGCATGGCCTCGCTCAAAAATCAAATTGCCGTCGAGTCCATCGACACCGACTGCTACCGCTCCGTCGCCCATCCCATACCTATGGGCGATCTGGCTGACTGGGCCTACGGCGGCAACATCCTGGCCATCGCGGTCAACGCCGCCTACGCAACCGTCACAGCAGGCCAGCACCTGTACTCCATCAGTGGCTATTTCGTGCGACCCGCTAGCCCATCCCAGAAGCTCATCTGCCACGTCGAGCGCATCCGCGACACACGGACCTTCCAAACAAGACATCTCCGCGTGGTCCAGTCCGGAGAGAAATATGAACAGCTATGTCTGATTGCAACGGCAGATTTCCACGTTGAAGAACCAGGTGACATGGTAAATTATTCGATTCGTCCGCAGCTTCCCGTCCCGTCGTCCCCGGCGGCAGAAACAGAGAGAGAGAAAACGCAAGAACCAGGACTTTATAGGATTCTGGACACAATTATGGAGCTCCACCCTCACCGCGCTGACTGGGGTGGGAAAGTTGTTTCGGATATCGTCTCGGCTGAGCGGTTCCGGGTTCATGGGGCTCTTCACACCGAGGCTGACCGAATCGCTGCCCTTGCGTTCTATATGGACCGTGGACTTGCGTATATTCCGGCTAACCATTCCGGTTACAGCCTGTCTGAGGCCAGTGCCTGTGCGACCCTAGACTTTGCGCTGCGAATCTTGACGCATGAAGTTGATTTGCAGAATTGGCATGTGAGCGAGAGACAGACTTACGGCGCGGGGAATGCGAGGGCGCTCAGCGAAGGGAGGGTCTTCAATGGGGATGGCCGGTTGCTGGCGAGCATGACGCAGAAGACGATTCTAAGGGCGAAGAAGGGGACGTCGAGGATTTGATTGGTCATATTCCAAAAACCATCATGGTACATTATGAGAGCCCTTTCTGCTTCGTGGAGTAGGAACTGGACTACCTGTTCCAACTATGCCTCTTTTGCAAATCCCATCAGCTTTTTGAGACTGGCAGCGATAAAATTGGCAGGGGCAGCCAAGCCCATCGCACCTGGGGGGATGATCAAGGGTTGAAAGTGTGCAGAAGATAGATGGGGAATGGATATGATGGGGTTTGAAGAAGACGAACCTTCCCAGATAGGTGTTTCTATAAATCAGGTAAGAACGATGCTACACTTGTGCTTTCCTCTTTTTGTTCAAATGATCTCATCCATTGATCATCACCTAGGCAACATCAATCATCCATTATGTGACAGCAGAAAGAGTCGGCCATCTTTCAAGGACTTTTAGGGGTTTCTTTTAGTAGCGCATCATCATGTACCATTTAATGCCTTATAGTCAAGTATTGATTGAAACCCCTACCAATAAGATGAAACAATGTCCTGCATCAAATAAAAAGAAAAAAAAGGTAGGTGTTTCCCGTCCAGAGCATGAAAGACGGCAAAGATCTGAATGAAGAAATATCCGAAATCTATCCATGCAAACTGAATTCAAAGCTTGGCATCATGTTTCCAGCCCGGCATATCAGCGAGATCTTTCGCTGGGGCACTGCGTATAGATTTGAGAGCATCACCCCCAGGCCTCCACATCCACGGACCAGCTAGGTCTGGCGGAAGACACCCTTCTATCAGCTCAACGACATGTTTGCCGATGTTGGGTAGAAGCTTGAAGCTATGACTGTAGTATGCGCTGTTAGCAAGCTGCTAACTGCATAAAACTACCCATTTTGGTTATTAACTCACCCGCTGTCTCCCGTAGCCAGAATGAAGTTTTTCCACTTGGGGTGCTCGCAGATCAGTAAACTGGCGTCGGCGGTATCTGTGCACCAGCACATAGACCGGTTAAAAAGCTCTTTATCCTTGAATTGAGGCATGAACCTCGCAATTGCCTTTCGAATGGTTACCTCCGAGGCTTCTGGGTAGGTATCTGTGGGATGTTTGGCGTGTGATCGAGGTACAGAGATGGACTTAGGAGAGGCCGCCCCATAAGGTTGATGCTGCTTGAAGCGAGAGAATCCGGGGAACTCGTCGCAGACTTTAATAACCCCGTGCCTATAGATAAGGACTTAGCACGCGGCTCTATTTTCTCCGACATTGGATTAAGACGAATTACTTACTCATTGGGCTCGAAGAAGAAGCCGTATTCGCCATCGTATACCACGGGTGTGTTTTTGTACTTGGCCACTTCCTCTGGTGTGAGCTGGATATGAGCAAAGACCCACGCCTGCAAGAATTGATAATTAGCAACTGATTCATTTGAACCGGAATTTGTGACAGGCGAGACAAGAAGGATATCCTGAACTTACTTTCGAAACACACTGATCCTCCAAATCTACCAATGTTGAACTCCAAGCGCCAGCAGCCAAGACTACCTTGTCAGCGTAATATCTAGTGCCATCTACTGTCTCAACACCATTGCATGTGATTCCATCCGCGGTAAACAGAGGTTGCTTGAAAGTTCCAGATCTATACAATTTTGCGTCAGTAAAGTGAGAATCCTCAAACTTGCTGGAAATTGCCAATGGAACATTACATACTTGCCAAATCCGAAGTTCACACCTTGATCTTTTAGAAAATGTCCAATCGCATTGATGGCCTTGGCTGCAGCAAGCCAACCTCCATCGCCACAAAACAAGCCTTTCCACCCCTGAACACACACTTTTATTAGCCCCCGACCCCTCAAGGTTGTGCACAGATGGAATTTACCTTTATCTGCTCTCTTGTAAAGGCTGGTACCTTTTCAAGTATATCATCTTCGCTTTCTAACAACCAGTTCGTTTTCTCTAACCCAATGTTCGCGTCGATGATTGATTGGTACGTTTGTCGAAGACTCGCAATACCGTCTTCAGATGACGAGCAGTCAATCTGAGTGTGTTAGTATGGAATTATCGCATCTCCAATAGCAATATTTTTTTAACTCACCATGCCCACATTATGAAAAAAGGGCTTGAATAATGGATCGTTTTTCCACATGTCAAGAGCCTCGAGCGAAAGTTGCAGATCTGGCCCATTGCGTAACCGGATACTCATAATTTTGTTAAGATCGTATCCTGCCGATTGAGCCGAAGGAATGGGATATACATCAAGCACTGTAATATTCGACGGAGTGTACCCAGAGCGGATGAGGTGCAACGCTGTTGAGGAACCCATGGTGCCGCCTCCCCCGACCACCACGACTTTTGTAGTTGTACGCGAATGAGCCATTTTTGGTGGCTCACTTTGTGCGAGGTGAAAGCCCAGTAAGGTAGACTTGTCGAAAACCAGAAGGAGGGGAAAGAGTATGTAAATTGAAGAAGTTGAACCGCACAAATTGCCAAGAATCTCAATTGATAAAGCGATTAGGACTTCGACCGATGTCTCAAGCGAGACAAAGATATTTCATGTTTATAAAGATCTCTGTTAAAAGGAACGTGATTGGTGCCAAGTGGAGCTGTATTACCGAACAGGGGGAACTGCAAAACATGCCATTCTATATGTCGCGTGGACCTTCCATCGCCCCGCAGAAACCCCCCCAAACCCCGATGATATGGATTCGGTCTTAGAAAACGCGGGGAATTGACCCACCACATTGCGATAAAGAGATAGCGCTGTTAATAAGCCCGGCTTTCGTTGCCAGTTATCATTTTAATATAATTATTAGCGACCAGTCAATATAGCCGAAGATTACACCTAAATACGCGTGCTTTCGCGTGGACCTTCACCGAGCTTAAAGTGACCATATCGTCCTTTGGATATAGTTATTGGCAACTAGTCACTAGTGTAGCCGAAGATTACACCGCCATGAATGAGCGTGATTTCGGATGGACCTTCACCAAGCTTCAAGTGGCCCCAATGGCACTTAACTGAATCCGAAACTAGAGCGCGGGGAACATGCCCCAGCTCGGATAAAAGAGATAAGCTCACGGCTATAAATAAGCGACTAGGTCCTGCAACCAATGTCAAGGGTATAAGTCAACACGCATGGAATGCAAAATATCTTTGACCTCAGCAAACTGAAAGCGCTGTCATAGCACAACCTATTATAATGGCTGAGAAAAAGACTCCTGTCGCAGATTTGCACGATGATACTCCTTCGTTCTCGGATAATGCGATCGGTCACGGTACAGTGATTGACATGGAGCACTACAAGGCCACCGTTCCGTTGTGGAAGCGAGTATGGCAGCATAGTTTGACACAGATGATGCTTTTGAGCATCCAGGCATTCTGTGGACCAGCAATGGCTGATGCAATTACCGGTGAGAACGATTCACCATTATACGATAGCGAGGCTACAGAGTGGTCTGAATGTTTTGCTAATATTTTGCAGGCCTCGGGGGTGGTGGTCTTGCTTCTCCACGGGTGTCAAACATTGCGACGGCAATCACATACGCCCTGCTGGCAATCGGTATGCATTCGATATTTCTATTACCCAAGATGAGTATTTAGGTGCTAAATTGAAATAGTCTGCTGCTTCGGTGGTCCTCTCGTGAACAAAATCGGCATTAAGTGGGCTCTTGTTATCGGCTCAATGTCCTTCCCAATCGAAGGCTCCGCATACTACTGCAACAGCAAATTTGGAAACGAATGGGTGAGTGATGAACCGTTTCTGGAATTCCTATTGGAAATGTCAACAAGCAATGTGAACTGTAAGATCTGACAATTCTCTCCCCAGTACCTCATCCTGAGTGGTGCTATCAGCGGTGTGGGGACTGCTTGTTGGTATGTTGCTGAAGCTGGAGCCATCATGACGCTTGCCCCCTCCGGCGCCCGTGGGAAGTATCTGGCTTTGTGGATCGTTTCGCGAAATCTTGGACAGTTGGTTGGGGGTTCAATCAAGTGAGATAATGCCCCAAAGACTCGGTTAATGGACAATTTTGACTAATAGTTTCGTCCTGTGCAGCCTGTCTAAGAACTACGAAAAAGGTGTCAGTGGCGGAGTTACTCCCGATACTTATATTGCTTTTGTGATCATCGAGTGTCTTGCGTGAGTGCTTCAAGAAAACATAGGCTGGAACAGGGTATAATCTTACGCTTATGATATTTAATAGGCTACCATTCGCATTGTTGATCACTCCCTTCGAACGCGTTGTGCGGTCTGACGGTACAAAGATTGTCACTTCGGAAACCCTTTCCACCAAGATGGAAATCAAGCGTATTGCAAATACCATGAGCTCGAAACTTGTTATGTGTTCTGCGCTTTGGGCACTTTGGTCATTCTTTTACAGGTAAGCTCGACAGTCACTACCATGCTCACCACCAGGCGATAACGCTAACATATTTGAAAGTGGTTCTTGGAATACTTATCTAGGAACCTATTTCACCGTTCGTGCTCGCGCTCTGTCATCGCTCATTTCCCCTTTGTTTTGCATGTAAGTCAAGTGCGAAATGTTATTATTAACACCAACTAACGTTGGTGCTTATCAGTATTGGCTGTTTCGGTCTCGGATTCATTCTCGATATGAAGAGTCTAAGCCAGCGCCGTCGTGCCCAGATCGGTCTCTACACTGTCGTCATCCTCAATGTCGGCGTCTATATCTGGTCCATTATTATGCAGGTCAAGTTCAACCACAATGAGCCTGGCGCCATCGATTGGGACGATGGACTGTACCCTTCGTCATTCCTACCATATTTCTTTGTGCAGACTACCGGTCCGCTATCCCAATCGTATATGTATTGGCTTCTGTCGTCTTTTGCCACCGACGCACAGGGTAAGTGACTCCATAGACTCCGATCAGAGTCCATAACGGCATTGGACGCTAATTGCAATGTTAGAAAATGTTCGCAATGGTGCCGCATTCAGATGCATCGAAGCTATTGGTCAAGCTATTGCCTACGGCATGAACACCCAGACAACAAATAATCCTCTGATTGGATTGTAAGTTCAATCAACTCGAATTCATCTCCCTTGACAAAAAGCTAATTGACCGGATACAAAAGCTGCGTGACATTCGCCCTACTCGGAACCTCTTTAATCCCCATGACTATGCTTGTGAACACAACACCCGACCGTATCCCTGCGGATTTAGTTGCCGAAGAGCAGAATGCTGCTCGCGAGAAGATTCGAGATGTCTAAGCCCGTCGTCAGCATGGAGAAGCCTATTGTAGTATTTTTAGTATTATTATATACAGATTCCGCTATCTTTAGTAGTCTTAGCTATTAGTCTCAAGCATTGTGCAGGTAGCTGATGTCAAGTAAGTCAGTTACCAGAAGGTAGCTCCCCTACTGCAGGAAGGTAGTTCAAATGAACCGTGAAGTATGATCTAAAAGGTGGTTTCCAAGTAACGATTTGGATTGATCACGAAGAGCTAAATACATGCTGAATGGGCGTCCTTATCTCCTGCATGACCCTGTCGAAGATCTGTTCGGATCGGATCCTGGGTATGATCTATCATGATGGTTGCTTCCTTAACCAACTGATCTTTGCCACGTGATCCCATTTGTGTCCTGACTCGTCCTCGTACCCCCTGCTAGCGTGTTGCTGACGCCAGGTCCATAACACTTATCTAGGGATTTTACCGTCCATAAACCGCAATATGGCCAGTCCCGAGAGGACCAGAGGGACCCTGGTTGAATTCGGAAATCGCAACAAAATAATCCGGATTCTCGGAACCGTCCGTTTTAACCTGATTTGAACCAAACCACGGACAGTCAAAGTGGATTTTAGCAACCTTTGCACCGCTTTCATCAAGCACCAAGTCAAAAGTGCCCTCTGTTCCAGAGGCAGAACCCGGACGTCCGCTAGTACCGAATGTGTAGTCCTTTCCAGCTTCTATTATGACTCCACTAGGACAAGAGACCTCCGATTCACGGTCTTGAATGTCATAACATTTACCCCTAAACAGTCAAGTTAGGAAATTATGTTATCAATATGGAGCTGGATAGTAATACAGAGATAAAGTTAAGTCGCGAATAGAAATTGGAACCTCCAGCTGGTTTCTGATTGTGGGCTGCCACCACTGAGCCTCAGTCGCAATCACAGACCCTATTGTACAGAGTACTGGAATGACAGTGGAAAGGATTGTATAACGCATTGTATCCGTATAGTGAAATAAGATAAGTTGTCAATATCTGCAAAAAGGATGAAAGTATTTAGTAAATAGATACTGACTCGAGAAGGATGTAAGACGGTATTTATACTTCCCCCCCCCTCTCTATGCATCTTAGGTATCAGACACTCCGTGGCCTGGCCCCTTTTTCCGCGTCACAAAGCCTGGATGGAAGAAAGGAGCGTCATTGGGGAATTACGATTGAGTGGTGATCTGTGACGATATGCGTGGGTCAGTCCCGCTTTTACAGATCCGCTTTTACAGATCTTGTTTTTCCTACAAAAGTACATACCGGAATTTCAGGTGTCTCGAACGTGAACATCAGCACATGGCGGGGGCTGAGCTCTGTGCGAATCGCGCTCTTCACTCGTGCAACCAGGTCCGGTGTGAACGCTACCCCTGGTCTCATGAGCAAAAAGAGTATCACTCGCTCATCTGTATCTGTTGGTCGTCGCTGGCCTACACATATGGAATCAACAATCTCTTTCGAAAATTGACCCTCGAGTACCCGATAGATCTCGGCCGATCCAAACCGTACTCTCGACGGGTTGAGCACCCCATCGGCGGCGCCCGTGAAACACGATCTGTTTCGTGATTGGATGGATGGAAACGAAGTCGCCGGGTTGAGACCATATCGGTGGATCCCGCTGCTAGTCTCGCCGATCTTGCACATCTCTATTGGTTCACTCTTACAGCCAACCTCTTTTTTGCTAATTCTACAATGAGAATCGCCTCTGTTAGACAGGTATCCTCCATTCTCGAGTTACAAATGACCAGCGCAAAATGCAGGGACAACAAGGAGTTCAACCCCGATACCTCGTGATGCGTCGACGGGTGAAGAAGTATGACTGCTAAGGGTCCGAAGGCTCCTTCGATCGATGGGCCTTTTTACATGCAACCCAATACTCGAGAAATTCACTAGTTCCGCGGATCGGACCGTTCCGACACATGACATATCCAATAGTTCGGATGATCTCACCAGGAAATGGAGATCGATTAATTTCAGAATGTAACCTACGGAGTAGAGTTAACCATGTCACGACGAATGGAGAAGTTTTACGCCGTGTGCTCTTGCGATTAGCGGGTAAATAGCAGGAGCTATAATTCAATAGTTTCGCTGATCCCCAGATTGAGATCGCTCATCGAGTATGAAGGATAGAGCTAGAACCGGCCTCCCGCTAGCCGTGCCGAAGTATACCTTATTTAGTGATACTACAGTTAGCCAGCACGTAATCATATAGATAGTAGAAAGGTAGATAGTCGATAAGTAGATCTTACTAAGGCAAATCTACTAATCTACTTTCCAAGGAAAATCGACGGCCAAGTCCTTCTAACTCCGATAGGGACAAAATAACGTGGCGCCCGCCCTGGCTCCGACTGAAGATATCGACAGACAGACTTGTAGACCCATAGTAGGTGCTCGGGGCAGTCGGTCCAAAGTTTCAATCGAGCTGGGCAGTCTTTTCTGGCGGGAAGGGGTATTTTGCCAGTGGTTGAGCGAGATAGTGTCTCAACACTCAACTGGTGGGAGAGAAGGACATCTCAGTGCTGTAAAAGTTCTGTGAAAGAGATCTGTTGGTTGCGCTCTTCTGCTTGTCGTCTCCTCTCTGTTTCCTGCCGTGTCATTTTTGTCCTTTCTACCGCACTCCGCTCAAAGCAGTTCCTACACAACGAAGGATACCGCCCATCGGATTCACTCGCCCTGACCTCAAATCTCTTACACACAATACACAGCACGTACGAAACCCCCTGCACGACAATCTGCGCCCCAGGCCCATACCTCGCCTCCTCAGCTTCACCACGCTGCATGAGCCCACAATCGACGCAAAACCGCTTCCTCGCGTCCCGGGCGCCTTTACTCCGTCTTCGCTGGAGCATACGCTGTGCGAATTGATACGCCGGTCGGAGACGCAGACAGTAGCAACATACGTAGAGGTCATGGGCTACGGCATGGTCGGTCCGTTCTGCGAGGAGGAGCTCGTCGTGGGTGAGCGGTGGTATGAGCGAGTTAAAGTAGGAGCAGGTTAATTTGAGGTGTATGTTGAAGGGGAAGGGAAGGAAGTTGGCTATGAGGAGGTGCAGTTCAGGGGGAAGCGCCGCCAAGTCTGTGATTCTTCGCTCAGGGTCATTTTGGGTCCTATTGCCATTCATTTCCATGTCAGTCAAGTTATTCCTGCTGTATTGATGGAGGTCGAATATGACGTAGGAGATGAGAGTGGATTAGAAAGGTCCCGAGGTCGGTACCTAGGTAGATTTTATTGGTTAATAATCATCGCCCCTCCCCGGGGGACCCACTACGGCTGTCTCTAATGGCCAGTGCGCAACATCATATTTTGCTTGCGGTAGTAGTGGTGGTGGTGGTGGTGGTGGTAGTAGTAAAAGTAGTAGTAGTAGTAGTAGTAGTAGTAGTAGTAGTAGTAGTGGGTACAAATTAGTGACATACAAGCAATCAAAAGAAGCTAAGCAAGAAGGAGGAGATGAAGTCTGCTTCTGATTGAATCTTGAGGGCTACTTGAGGAAGGGGAGGATGCGATTGAATATTTAAAACACCGTATCGCCCCAATATACTATAATATTATGATTTTATACGCTCAGGCAAAATATTACGAGTTTCAAAATGATGATAAGCAATATTTGCTCAGACTTGCGTGGCCAATAGATACTATGGCTCGACATATTCGCTGCTTTCAATTGCAGTGCGTGACGGCCAGTAGGTAGCGATTATCTGAACTTCCTTGCTCTTTATAACAACAAGTAACATGCCATAGGGGGAGTCCACGTATTAGTTTCCTTAATTTTGGAATGGCAGCCTACTGAGATCTCCTAGCATAGTGTGATCACTGCTGCATTGTAGCTTTGAATCCATTCTAAGAGGTTGGATAATTTGACCTTATTGATGCCCCAAACCACGAGGCTTTGTATCTAGTAGTTTCTATTGCTATTATTTCGATTTATTTTTGCAATTTCTGATATATATAGAATTCGAGTTTATTGTTAGCTTCGATCACTTTACTTGTTTGCGTTTTATCATGGCTAACTGTTATCTGTGAAGACCATTAATCGCAAGGTAGTCTGTTAGAGGGAAAATAAACGGCACTGGCCTTGACAATCACTTGTCGAGGGCTCTCTCTAAGCTTAGACCCCTGCACCAACAAATCAAAAAGCACAACCCAAGGGACGATTCTTTTTACCTGTTTCAAAGATGATACGACAGTACCTTTCGTCAGTGTCTGTAGGTCCACGTCACTCTCATCGTGGTAGTGAGCCTGATAGTGAAAACGAGGCTGGCCAAGTCGAGACCAGACAAGGTGAGACAGATCAGGAAAGCGAAAATGACGGCATGACCGCTAACTACCCAGCTCTAGAACAATCCTTGACTTCACACCCGAGACATCAAAGACCTGTTACCAACATGAGAATCCAGAGCTTTGACCCGCGCAACTACTCTCTCAACGGACCTGGCGAAGCTCCAGGAAGCCACCAATCATCCTCGACAGCTCGTGGTAGGAGATCCAACCGCACCAGAGATGACACGCATTCTCACCCGTCCACTGGACAGCGCAGCTCCGAAAACGAATCATCCGAACAAGCGTCACCTCCACCCCAAATACCTCGAACTCCAGTGATAAGGCCCCTACGACAAACAATTCCGGGATGGAAGCTCTCAGACCCCATTCCAATACCATCCCGAAGACCGACTGACGGAAGTTCTTCTCAGCCTCCACAGTTTCCCTTCTTCTCTGAAACCTCCTGGGAGGATTATGTCTCGGATGATACTGTCGCCAATTACCGTGCCATCGGGGCTCAATACCAAGCCTGGATAGCAGGCCCAACCACAACAGCATGTCCAATCCGACGATCAAGAGTCACCTGGACAGACTTAGTCAACCACCCGCTCGAAGATTACAGCTTCGAGGTGTATCTCAACGAGACTAGATCAACACCCGAGGAAGTAGGAAACATCGAATCGGCCGGGCTCTCAATGGGGAATAATTGGCGGTATGTTTTTCTGAGACAATATGGATCCTGGGATGGTGGTCGCCAGGAGGGCTACACAGTTTACCAGCACCGTACCGGTCTCGGCGCTATCTTCGTTGAGAACATTACCAGACGATTCGGACCTTACTGGGCCCAAGTGGCTCAGGCGCAGTACCAGCTCGATAACCACATCGATACCCTCCGGTATGTTTATTTCATCAACGTTCAGAACCTGTACACCTGGCCCTACGTGGAATGCCATCTATACCCTCGCCATGGCTTGCACTGGTTTGACGATTATAAGCCCCAGTGCTGGACATACGGTACGAGAGAGTATCAGGAGCTCCTAGGTACGAAGCTGGGAAGGGGGGTGGCTCGTCTGGTTCTGGGGGCTTGGCCGAGAGGTACGCATCGCATCGACACAATTTACACGTGGACCTTTATCGGAAACTTACAAATGAGGTTTGATATTAAGCAAATTTGATTCTCTACTTCAAGCCCTATGGAGCAAAAAACCCATTGGTCTAATGTAGAGCCAATTATAGGAAGAGAAGCGCTAGCCCTACTGGCGGGTTTGAAGAAGAACCTGCAGGTAGTGTGTCTATTGGATATGTCAGGAAATAGCGCCATCGTGGCCAATAAGATTCCAATTTTATTGTAACAATTTTAAACCCCTATATAGTATGTAATATAGTAAGACGTATGAGACATCTGTTGATAATGGTGCCCAATCCAGTGAGCAAGAGAGAATCTGCGGATTTCAACACTCTCATACCAGCTCTATAATACAGGCGAATAAGTTATGAGTCAGTAGGCTAGCATGACCCTTAAGCACTATCCTCCGGTATCACATTCACATCCAACGCAGGCAGAATAGGACTTGATAGGACCTCAATCAATATTCAAAAAAATCAAAGAAATAACCCCAGAATAGGAAAGAGATCTCACTCAGTCTGCCGACAGAAACACGACGATTTAATAGGCACATCCGCCCAGGCCAAATTAGCCTTCAGTTCCGGCAACATCTCACGCGCCTCGTATTTCCGACCCATCTTGACCAAACACTCATGATACCCATGCGAAGCCCATACATTACCCGGATGTCTCAAAGCGCGAGGCAGAGAATTGTCAACCCCAAGGTCCGCAGAATATACGGCCGCGGCCTCCTCAACGCGATTCTGTTCGAGCAACAACGCCCCAAGCGCGTGTCTAGTCGGCTGCATCCAGCCCCACGGCTCATCATACGGCAACGAATCATCCCTCTTAACAGCGTCCCGGAGATATGAAAACGCAGCATTGTATTCGCCACGGCGATATGCAATTTCACCATCCAACATCGCCTCACCGACACCGAGAATGTCGACGCAGCGGTTATTGAAGATCGTCCTCGAAGCAGGAACAAGTTTTATTGCCTGCAGGAACCGCTCTCGCTCTTCCTCTGCTTCCAAAACACGGTTGGTAGCAGCAAACGCGACGCCCTTTGCATAGTGCATCATAGCAGTGGTGACGCAGTACAGCTCCGCATCTTCCGGCAACTCCGCAGCAATAATCTCCTCCCAACGGCCGAAGCGCACAAATCCATGCATTTGCATGGCGACAAAGCCCTCCAGCCAGTCTGCCATCGGCGGAGACTTGATTCGCAGAAGAGGCTCGGTGATTATCCGCGCGAGCTCGGCCCCAGACTCAAGCGCGACCTTCGATCGGCCACCCAGCATAGCAGCATACATCCTAAAGTGATGATCGTGTGCAAGGTAGAGATTATAGAAATGACCGAGGGGCTGGTTGGCGAGGAACTTCTCGTCTGCGCGGATTGCGTATGTATTATCCTCCACTGCGCTTTTGTACCCGCCACACAAAATCTCGATGTGCGAAGGCATGTGCTCCAGATGACCAGCATCTGGTACAAGGTCACGCAGCCACCCCGCTACCTGGATGGCAATTTCAGGCGTCTGGGACATCTCCATCAAATGGATATAGAGGTGCAAGATACCGGGATGCTCACGGGCTTCATCTCGTTCCAAGACTCGATCTAGCGCTTTTGTTGCTTCGAATGTTTTTGCTCCTGGTGCGGCCTTACCGGTCTTTATGTCCCACATACCCCATGGTGTCAGGTTCATCAGCGCATCGCAATACAGAGCGGTCACGTCGAGGTCATCCGGGTAATCATGGTACACTGATGTCATTGCCTCGGCGTAGTTTTTATCCCATTCCCTGCAGTCTTCTGCGGGCTGTTCTTGGGGGTACCGATGCTGCAGTGCATCGATAAGAGCACTCTCCAATGGCGTCGCAGCGGGAGCGTGTAGCTTCGCCTCCAGGATCGCGCGATGGGCGCGAGTCGTAGTGGCGGAAAGATCTTCTCCGTCAAATAGCTTCCATGGCTTGTTATAGTTGGGTCCCAAGGCAAGGGCAATGCCCCAGTATCCCATGGCGCATGTCGGGTCGAATTCGACGACCTTTTCGAAGCATCGGGCTGATTCTTCGTGATTGAAGGCGTAGGCCCAAATCAAGCCCCGACTAAACCAGAGTTGGGCATCTTCGTCTGTTGTGCTCACATTGCGTCGGTAGTCACCTAGGTTATAGTACTCGGCGGAAGATGGCTGGTCCATTTTGTTGATGGTGGGTTGTGTATGTTGTGGTGGAGGGGTATGGTTGCCCGACGCGGCCCTACCCCGAACTCCCATGTGACCATTTTGATCGCATTAGACATTAGGATAAGCGCCCATAGTGAAACGAAGTATATACTGGGGGTTATTTATAAATAGTGACAGCTCAGAAAAGTACCTGAGGCAGTATTGTATCCCTGAGGCAACAAGGCAGCAAGGCAGTAAGGCAGAAAGGCATCAAATGGCCCCACATGAGCAGATTTGAGGAAATCCACTTTTAATCTGCTCACTCGTGCTCGATCACCCTCACCTTGAGCACCTTGCGGGCCTATTGAGAATCCTATTTAGATAGCCTTGTCTTTTTGTCTTTTTCTCCTTCTTTGTCTTTGTTACCTACAGTCAATATCATCACTCGTATACATATCAACCTTTTTCCATCTCATCTCATTAAAATATTTTTACTTTTATAGATCGCCATGTGTGGAGAAACCAACCGTCCAACATTCGGAGGCACCATTGCCGTCCTATTCCCTCAAGGGACTCATCAGAGCTCGAACACTTCAGATGCATCATTGTCCTCATCACCAGAATCAGTTTCCTCGTTCACATCATCATCGTCGACAGCCTCGATGTCGTCATACTCTCTTTTCTTTCGCGACACGGACGAAACAACCCCTAAAACGAGGGCGATCTTCCGAACGGAAGATGCAGAGACATACCATGCACTCAGAGCATGTCGAGATGTCGATATGCGCATTGAGTGAGTTGATTCTGTCCCATGGGTTATTTGAATACGGACAAAAGGCTTACAGTTCATGTCAGGAAATTCGGCGATCTCTCCACTACATCACAATCTACCTCACCACTTCATCAGTTCCACTTGAATATGCAACAGGACAAGAACTTGAAAACGGCAAATCCGACGGAGATCGAATTTGAGCTGCCCGAAAGGCTGGACCTGGGCGTCTCGGAGAAGGGTGTCATTGGCCGACAAGTGACAGTCAGAGAGCAAGGAGGTTCGATCCTGGGAATTGGAGTGGTGGGATACAATTAAACTCATGAACTTCTACTGTCTATAAACATACTTTATAGACATAATTGGAATCATCAATCATTTTGCGTGAGTTGGAACTACTAGGTCCCTTCAGTAGAGTACTGGATCATTGAAAGTAAATGAGACTGAAAACCTTGGTTCACTATCAATCTCAGAGCTTCAGCGGGTTCTCCACTCCAGCAGTGTATCGCTTCTCCGCTTCCGCCCAGTGAATGATCTTCCAAATGCCCTCGACATAGCCAGCCTTGTTGTTCAAGTACTGTATTCCACACTGATTAGCAGGCAAATACACAATATCAGGGACCAAAACACGGGAGTCAACCAACCTGGAGGTAGTAGGCATGCTCCCACATATCGACGCCAAAGACAGGCACATCAGGCGCATTGACAGGGTCCTGATCCTTAGTCGTAACGATCTCAAGTCGTCCCTTCGCACCACCCTTGCTCACCAGCCATCCCCAGCCACTCCCCTGAAGACCGAGCAGCTCCGTGCCAAAGGCCTTGACGAATGCTTCATGCGAGCCCCAGCGGGAGACGATGGCTTCGCGCAGAGCGGGAGCGCCGCCGATGTCATTCCCAGGTGTGCCGGGGGAGTCAGGTTCTTCCAGAACAGGGAGTGGTTGATGTGGCCGCCGCCGTTGAAGCGGAGCTTTTGTTGCAATGCGATCAAAGTGGGGACATCATTTGATGCAGTTGCAGAGGCTTGAGCTGATAGTGCTGCGTTAAGGTTGTTGATGTATGTCTGGTGGTGCTTCTGATGGTGCAGCTCCATTATCTGCTTGGAGATGACGGGCTCCAACGCCTATTGATTGTTAGCTTCATGCCAGGAGATTCTCGGGATTCATGACCAGACGAGGCTTACATCGTAGGCGTAGGGGAGAGGCGGCAGAGTATGAGTTTGAGAAGCCATTGTGGAATCGTAGATGTAAATGTGTCTCAAGTGTAGAGAAGAGTGGAAAGGAAGAGAGAAGTGTAGACAAGAGATAAACCACCAAGGTCCCTCTAGATACCCCTCTTCAGTGACGTGATAGTAAGCATCTTCCAAGAGGCCACCAAGGTGGATATCCACCGGTGGATGTGAACGGCAATTGGGATGAGTTGGATTGAGCACATTTTCGCCAAAGTTGCTCTAATTTGCTCACGGCGTGATTGCTTTCAAAGCAATAGCTGGTCTCCCCCAGGGCTTCCTTTACCTATAATGTTGTATGATATAACATATTCATTAGCTCTTTAGAGTGTTCTCGTAATTGTATATAGTAGTCCAATCTGTTCATGTGATCCTAATATGCGTCATTTCACACAATGATCATCCTCATCTGCGGAGAGAAACACGGGGAACACTAGCCGCGGAAAGTGGCTCTCTATACTCAGTGGCCTTGAATCAACATACTAATTCTATCGAAGGGAAATAGAGTGAAAATTGACAAGGATGGATTGCAAGAATGGTCAACAGTCTTTGACTAAAGATATATAAGAATGACTCGTGGAGAAAAGGATAGGCCAGGAAGATATGGAACCATAATAAGGAACCTTGAAGAAAACAAAAAGAGGGCTATCTCTGTAAGACAAGTGTGAAAAATTGGCTCAAAGAGACACACATGAGAGGAGATGATAACAGAGCCCCTTAGTTTAGCTCCTGACGGACAACGGGAGCACCCAGACACGTACAGTCTGTATCCGCAGCGGTCATAGCAAGCACCGGAAGCATCCGAAGATCGCTCATCGGTAACCCTCATATACATGCTTCGTGCCATTCGCAGCCTAGCCTGGGCCGCCTACAGACGACCCGTCAAATCCATTAGGATAACACCTTCACTGGACAACAGGAGAAATATGTTGAATATGACCCTGAAGCTGAGGAAGTTCCAAAAAATAGTGGGTGTCTAGGGAATCAATCAATCAATCAATCAACCAAAGTTCAATTAACCTGTTGCAGTATAAGTAGTTGCGTATGACTATGCAGGCGCTTCATCCAGCTGAAGCAAGAACTCGAAGCCAACGCCGAGTTGGGATCACTCCCAAGAGTATACAGATGCTGATCGTAAAGAGCGTGGAATCAGCCCATTCCTGTAGATCCTGTAGATCCATCCCAACAATCGCGTAATCCCACAAACCTATAACTAGATAAGAAATAAACATATGACGACTGCCGTGGAGTGCACCCTCTATCTTCCATCTCTCATTTCTCACTACCTCTTCTCACTTCTCGCTCTTCCCTTCCATCCTCTGCTTTCTCCCCCTGCCTCAGTTTCCATTGATAATATGGTTTCCCTGGCCAGCTGGTATAGTTGTCGACTCTGGCTGAGTTTCTCGTTCCACAGCATCACTTATCGTCATTGGCTAATACCTATCGTCTTCCACACTTAGATCCATTGCCGCAAGGCCTATCGGTTTGTCGTCGTCGTTTTCCTTATCGAGTCCCACGTGTTCAAACTGCTGGAGGAGACCTGTTCGGTGCATGAAGTTGACCATGTAGCGGGTGGCCTACGGGTTCGACACGATCTTATGGGTTGTAAAGTTGAGGCGCTTATTAAGCCATATACCGAGGTATTTGGCCGTTTCTGTCGGTGCGAGGATAGTCGGTATCGGATCCCCAGGTATTATGACTGGCATACCGTCATGACCTGACGGGTCATCTGGCACTTCCCAGATATCCGTGTCCTGAGGAGGTGCGTCCGCGTCCCGGACCGATCGCACTGTCTTCATTCCGGACCGATCGGCTTATGTTCGCGTTCGCATTCGCGTTCGCATTCGTGTTCGTGATTTTTGGGTTCGCGGAGTGTATCAGTTCGAATTTGTGGTGTCTAGGGAACCACGGAGTGCAATGTGGGTCCGGAGTGTTTGAAGAAGAAAGAAAGAAAGAAGAAGAGAAAGAAGTGGGGAGGGGCAGGTAGGGAACTGGGGTAAGTTACGACTTTCGACCCAAAAGGGAAGGCACCTCCTACTTTTGCTTTATTGAAGCCGCCTCCACTCACTACAAAGAAATAATGTCAATCAGATAGTTTAAAACAATTCAAGTTTCAAAATCTCAATCATCCATACAGTAGTTGGCACCTGAGAAGTTCTGTGTAGATTTAATTCCCCCAGGTTTCCACCTGGGCAAGGCTCCCGAGGTCCAAGGTTTCAACCTTGGAAATAGCTATAGCTGCATAAGGTTCGGGGTTTATAGAATTGACTTTAATCTCCAGGGCTTGGACGTGACATTGCGGTATTCGCTCTGTACCCCTAAGGTACCCCGTACCACCACGCTACGCTCAGGGCGATACCTGAAAGGTACCGGATCGGGAGGCAGTGTCGCCTTGTTGTCACGATAACCCTGAGGTAAAACGCCGATAGGGAACCACTAAAACAAAACGAAACTGGCTAAGGTACGTTTCGGGTATAGTGGAACGAGGCAGCGAGGTTCCGATCGGCGATACACAGATTCGGAATAAGCGTACGAGGAATCCAATCCAAAAGGCTTGAAAAGGCTTAGAATATATCCAACGCCGAGCCTGGCCGTACTGAAGTCTACGCTGATTTATTCAATGTTGTCTATACATAGTTCTCTAGGTTGCTGCCTAATGATGTCATGGCTTTTCATACGCAAAGTAATAGTTACCAATGCCTACGTATGTACCTACGTAAGTAGTCGTTCTGAGAATAATGCTTTGCGCCATATTCTTCCACTGTGGAAAAGGCTCAATATATCCCTGATACTTATCCAACAAAACATTCCCAAGGTTTGAGAAGTTACTCTGTAATAAGGTAGCCTCGTGGTTGACGAAGCCCCAAGTCGACCTCGATTAATACTAGGTCACATATCGGAGCTAGCCCTTAGTATAACCACCTCTGTTTCATAGACAAAGAAAAGAAAGCTCTAATTATACATAGAAAGTTCGCTTTACAGATTTTAGACCTTTTCCACAGTCTATTCTTATGTAAATATAAACACAAATACTGACCCTTGGTTGTCCCATTCCAATTGTACCGTAGGCAGCAGTCTGTAGAGCGGTCATCAATCCACAAAGGTAGATAGGGGATCCAGGATTTAGGGGCCAAAATGCAGGCACCAACAATGCCGCTGCCTCAGGGGCGCACCGTTTGCTACTTTTCTACATGGGAACTGTTCCATCGTCGCTTTCCCTTCAGTTGAACAAGCTTCCCATAATCTACGACAGCGGGCTATACCTACCTGTTCAGGCTATTCATTCGGTTTTGGAGGTATGGAATTTCCCTAATACCCCAATTGTAGATTTAGGCGCTTTTGCGAGCTAAAGCGATACAAGCCCTTGCCTATCCATTCCCAGAACTGACGAGATTTTCCTCTTAGGGATTATCGGTACGTACCACTACAAGCTGCAGCATATGAGCTTTAGCGTGGACGCTTCGTCGCTACTACCCTCCCGGTTTCGCGGTGGTGAGTCAATGGACCAACAGCAACCCCGACGCTTGGGGAACCGGGCAGTGACCTCGACCCTCCATTTTCTATCCAAAACTGCCTCTCTACACCCAATCCATACCATTTGCACCATAGCCATCTTAGCGAGTACCACATACGTTGGACTACTTAAAGACAGCCTTTTCCATGCCCCCGGAAACGTCGGCAAAGCAGAATGGGGCTCTTTGGTCGTTGGAAGCCGGAGCTTGATCACCGGCCCACAGAATGGCTGGAAGTGGCAGAGCTTCGACACGGATGCAGAGAGTCTCGAGGATCTTAACCACCAAGCACTGATGACCTTGGTATTCCCGGGATCGTATGCGGAGGCATCCCAATACCCCACAACGTCATTTTTTCCTCTCCCTGTAAACCTATCTGCGATTCACCTTCCCTCAACGTTAAACCCTCTGACTACCTATTCAAAAGAAAATACTTTTGCCTTCTCTGTTCAATACAACAACGCGCCCGAACTAGTGGCTGCTATGCAGGAGATTCCCAACAACGGTCCCGACCGGAAATCGCTCGAGGCGGAAGTCGTCGAGACGGAGCGCCAGATGTGGATTATGAAGGCTGCTCGGACTCATACGAGCAGCCTTGCTCAATGGACCCACGATACCTGGACAGAGTTTCTTGATCTTGTCAAGAGTGCTCAAACAGTCGATGTTATTGTCATGGTGCTAGGCTACATATTCATGCACTTGACTTTCGTCTCACTCTTCCTGAGCTTGAAGAACTTGGGATCGAAGGTTTGGCTTGCTACCAGTGTTCTTTTGTCGTCAACCTTTGCCTTCCTGCTAGGCCTCGACGTGACCATAAGACTCGGGGTTCCGATGAGCATGAAGTTGCTATCCGAAGGCCTTCCCTTCCTGGTCGTGATCGTTGGCTTCGAGAAAAGCATTACTCTGACCCGAGCTGTTTTGTCCCATGCTGTAGAGCACCAAAACCCCCATAATACACAGGCTCATCAGGGTAGCGCGGCCATCACCGAAAGTACCATTCAATATGCCGTGCGAAGCGCTATTCGGGAGAAGGGTTACGATATCGTGTGCCACTACATGGTCGAAATCTTGCTCCTGGTTGTCGGTGCTTCCTCGGGCGTGCAAGGTGGGCTACAGGACTTCTGTTTCCTGGCTGCATTGATCCTCTTCTTCGACTGCCTTTTGCTGTTTACCTTCTACACCGCTATTCTTTCTATTAAGCTGGAAGTCAACCGCATCAAACGTCATGTCAACATGCGGCACGTGTTAGAAGACGACCGTCTCAGTCGACGAACAGCCGAGAGTGTAGCCAAGAGCAATGATGTCCAGGACAGTGCGAGTGAATACTTGTTTGGTAAGGATATGAAGGGCAGCAGTGTTCCAAAGTTCAAGTTCTGGATGGTTGTGGGCTTCCTTGTCATCAACCTTGTCAACGTCTGCTCCATCCCTTTCCAAGCCTCTTCTAGAGCTTCGTTGTCTAGTATGTCATCTTGGACCGAAAGCCTGAGCGGA